AAATTAAATCCATTCCTATCATAAGTTTTGATGTATTATCTATCAAAGTTAATAATATACTAAAATTCAATATTTTACTATCAAGAGTTTGGATACGAATTCTATCAAATTCTATGAGTCGAAAAATCTTATAATTTTCTATCCATGAGTTTTGATTGAATATGTATCAAATTCTTTCCAAATGAAAATCTAATATTTCTCTATCCAAGATTTTGATACGAATTCTATCAAATTCTATGAGTCGGAAATTCTTATAGTTTGCTATCCATGAGTTTTGATTGAATATCTATCAAATTCTTTCCAAATGAAAATCTAATATTTCTCTATCCAAGATTTGGATACAAATTCTATCAAATTCTATGAGTCGGAAATTCTTATAGTTTGCTATCCATGAGTTTTGATTGAATATCTATCAAATTCTTTCCACATGAAAATCCATTATTTCTCTATCAAAAGGTTTGGATACAAATTCTATCAAATTTTATGATTATTCCCCAAATGTCATTTTACCGAACTGCACTTTTGCGAATAGTCATTTTTGCGAAAAGTCATTTTTACGAATTGCCATTTTTGCGAATTGTCACTTTTGCGAATCGCCATTTTTACGAATCGCCAATATTATGAATTGTCATTTTTGCGAATAGTCATTTTTGCGAAAAGTCATTTTTACGAATTGTCATTTTTGCAAATTGTCATTTTTGCGAAAAGCTATTTTTGCGAATTGTCATTTTTGCGAATCGCCATTTTTACGAATTGTCAATTTTCCGAAAAGTCATTTTTGCGAATTGTCATTTTTGCGAAAATTCCTATAGTAAATCTGCTTGTATGCATATATAGATTCACTATAGGAATTTTCGCAAAAATGACTTTTCGGAAATTTGACAATTCGTAAAAATGGCGATTCGCAAAAGTGACAATTCGCAAAAATGATTTTTCTCGAAAATGTCTTTTCGTAAAAATGACAATTGGCAAAAATGACTTTTCGGAAAATTGACAAATCGTAAAAATGGCGATTCGCAAAAATGACTTTTCGGAAAATTGACAATTCGTAAAAATAACGATTCGCAAAAATGACAATTCGCAAAAATAGCTTTTCGAAAAAATGACAATTCGCAAAAGTGATATTTCGCAAAATTGGCTTTTCGCAAAAATAAGTACTTATTCGCAAAAGTGCAGTTCGATAAAATGACATTTCGGAAAAATGACATTTGGGGAATAATCATGCGCCCCTTTATTGTTTTGTTGTGAACTACAGATTTTCATAAAAGTTTTAACATTTTAGAAAATCAACGAAATTTTTTTAACACAGTTGAGCTGTGTTTTTTATTTTTTTATTTCGTTTGATGTTATTTTTTGCAAATATTTACAAAAAATTACAAAGCGGTCAAATGACATTTAAGCAAAAATTTATTAAATATTTAATTAATATTTTTAACATAATAGCATATATTGCAAATCTCTATAAATATTTTAATTTCTGCTTGTATTTTTATGGGTACTTACAAAAATTATAATATTTTACATAAACTTACGTTTTTCAAATTTGCAGTTTATATAGACACGTCGAAAAATATTTCTCACGTCGATTCGGTAGCCGCGGTCGTTAAGCGTTTAGATAGATAGGTCATAGGTGCGGGGTTCGATTCCCATAGGGTACAAATTTTAATTTAATTCTTCCAGTTTAATTAAAATGTTTGTATGTTTGGAGTGTGCTAAGAATATAATGTTATTAATGGTCATAAGAATCTTTTATTATTTTTTCCACAAATATTTTTTTTCAAAGCGTATGTTTTCAATTGTAACCACCTTGGATACAATAGGAAAGAACTTTCTGTCATTTTTCGATATAGGATTTGATAGAATTTAAATCAAAAAATCTTATTGGATTGGAAACAATTTTTAATAATCAATTTTGATAGAATTTGATAGGACTTTCTTTGAAATCAGTGGGACAACATGGGACAATTTTCGGATAGACAAAGTATTGATTTGGATAGACTTTCTATTAAAAGTATGTGATAGAAACTGATTGTAATTTTTGAAAATTTTGGATTCAGAAACAGGATTGAAATGGAAAGAAATTTTTTTCTTTCCATTTCTATCAAATTTTTTAAACAGGGTACCCACGCTGCACGATTTTTAGGTTATAACGCTCTGGGGAAGTGCGTCTGATCGGAAAGGCAATATATAAACCGTTTTTTGACTCGCTGTTATATATTTATTTTGTTAACTTTTTACATATAACATTAAGTTAACTTTAAAAAGTTAACAAAATATTATCTAAAGATCGTTGATCTAATGATAATTTTAAATAGTTAACAAAATGTTATCTGAAGATCGTTGATAACTAATGATGATTTTAAATAGTTATCGTTTTTTTTAATTACTATTATACTACACAAAAATGTCAACTTAAAAATATTATCTACTAGATAACTTACAATTGTTGTCAAATTTACATACACATTTTCAATAACTTTTTGTTACCTTTTTCGACTTTGCAAATAGTTAACAAGATTTCGGTAAATATATGTTAACTTTTAAAAGTCAACAATTTGATGGTTACATTTCGTTAACTTTTTGTTGACAATTTCCATTACAAAAAAAAGTGACTTGAAAACGGTAACTTTAAGTTATTAAAACGTGAAGAGTGCCGCCTGGGAACGTAACCTCAATTTTTCCACGCTTGTCAAATATATTATAATTATTATGACAGACGGACGCGCGCAGGAGAGAACAGATGATGATTTAGTTGCAAAATAATTGTAAACAAGCGAATAATTGTTTAAATTATAAGTGATTGAAAAACTCGATCAAATTTTTTTCTTCGGAATATAAAAGTGTGAAAAACAAGGAATTTTTTTGTTCATAAGGCATTTAATTTTGAATTCTTGCTCAAAAGTTAATTTTATTTATTTAAATAACTTTTTTAATTAACAAAATAAGAAAAAATGTTAAAAACATTTTTTAAGCGTCTCGTCTTTATGAATGTTTAGCAAAAAAGGAAACTCAATTATATCTTGTACCGTTTAAAAGATATGGGCATTTAAACAATTTTGAGCAATTGTTGTAACTTTTAAATAAACAATTGATTTTACTTAAAAAATTGATTTTCTGAAACTTTAGACCAACAAATGTAATACTACCAAGTTTGAAAGAAATCGGTGAGGGTGCTCCGAAAAGTAGTAAATTTCTCCTGGAATGCCACTATAAACAATTTGAATTATTTATATGTCTCACCCCTCCAATTGCAATGAAACTTATAGAAAATGTACTCAGTATTTTTTTCTTGAAGGCCCCAAAAAAATGTTTAGTGTTTTTTTAATCACCTTTAGGTTTCTTGAAATATGTTAATTTAAGATATTTAAATTACTTTTAGATTTTAGAACAATAAATTACGTGTTCTATTATAGCTGATTTTATTATTTTTTTTATTATTCTTCATGTATACCCTTTCCGGGTATTTATCTGTTTTTAATAAATAATATTAATAAAAAAATAAATACTTGTTTATTCAATTAGCTTCTTATGTAAAGCACCTAAAAAATAGGGTTATTTTTAAATTTTGCAAATAATTAAGTTGGGCAAAGAATATGAAGATATTTTATGTTTTGATCAATTTCAGCATAAAAAAATAATTGTTATTTAAAAATAATGGGGCCATTCAAGTATTACGTAAGCATATTTTTCAGGTTTTTAGACCCCCCCCCCTCCACCATGTAAGATTTTTTATATGCATTAGCGCCATTTTTTCTAATGTAAATAAGCAATAGCTAGACCCCACCCCCTTAAATGCTTACGTAATACTTGAATGGTCCCAATCACGTACACAAAAATCTGTTACTTGTATTTTTAAAATATTTTAGCTTTTTCAGCAAACCATGCTTCTGCGAAGATAATTAGTAATTGAAAATAATTTCACATTTTCCAATTTTTTTTGTATTCCTTTAGACAATATTTTGCTCTCTTTAAGATTTAGCAATTTATCAATAAGTTCAATTAATTTTACAGTTTCTAATAATTAAAGAATTGTTGAACGATTAAAAAATAATACATCGACTGCATGGGTAATATTACCTACAATATCCGGTCTTTTAAAGAAACCGATTTGTTGATTATGTTTTATTAAGTGCTGTACAAATTCTTTGGAAATATAAGACAATTCCATGTCAGTGCTTGATAAAAATTGATTTGTTAATTTTTCATTTATGAATTCCATGTTGACTGGAACGCCTTCAATAGTGTTTGGAACTTTTGTGAATATTACTGAATGAATGTTTTTCATATAAATCACAGACTTATTTAGAGCTTTTTGCAATAATTTTAAATCATTTTCAGTGAAAGTATTATATTATCGTAACCGCATAGACTGTAACCATCCCAACAACTATACTATTAATATTTTCATCATGCTCATGATTAATTAAAATCTTTATAAAGTATGGTTATTTATTTGTTATAAAATATTAACTATCTTTTAATGCTTTTCTTTTTACTTGAAATTTAAATTATTAATTAATAGATTAATAATAATAATAATAATGATAATAGTTATAAATTAATAGATATACTTTAAATTTTGTACTTATGCTAGAAGAAGGTTAACGCTTCTATTCTATGTTTGTCAGGCGAAAAATAATCTTTGGAGGCAAAATAATTTAGTTACATTAGAAGTATTTTATGAATATAATGTAATCACAAAGTTTATTAAAAGTAATTCGCTCTCATATTTATAAAAATGGCAGGGATTTTAATCACTAAACGAAAATAGATTACTCATTTGTCAGTAATTTATTGAAGACAAAGTTTCTGATTCTTTTCCTCGAAAGACAATCTTGGAAATATTTCTAATTAAGATAGAAAAGATCAATAATTTTCAAACATTTTATCAAATTAATGGTATAAAGAAATGGTATAATAAGAAATAAAACATATTATTATACATATTATTATTGAACAAAAAAACACTTTTTAACAATATATTTAGATTATTTTTTAGGAAAATAAAAGCAAACGGAATATTTAATAAATAAAATATGTTAACAGAAATTAATAAAATTAATCAGAACAATATTTAATCATCTTAATTAAAATTTATTAAATTATCCTTATCCTTTTACTCTAGTTAACATCCTAATAACAAAGGGTGCAAGTTGTAATGCTTTGCCCAAGATGCCTGTTTTAATGTCATTCTTTTCATGCATCACTTTTAGTTGACAATTTATGTTAAGTAGTTGCTGCTTATTTAAATTTTGTTCTTTTCTTATTGACTCTTCACGTTCTTAATGCGTTATTTCACCTAATTGTTCGCGAATAGAAGAAATTGCTGACCTTACTTTTAAACGTGAAGACGATAGAACTTTTTCTAATTTTTTAGACAATATTTTGCCCTCTTGAAGATCTAGTAATTTATCAACAAATTCGATTAATGTTACAGTTTCTAATAAATGATTTTCATTAATGGTTTTTGCAATGCTATTATCCATCATTTTAAGAATTTCTATTCGTTTAAAGAAATCATGATCTGAAGATGTAGCATTAATTAAGTCATTATCTATATTTTTTAAAGTTTTTTGCATTAATTTTAATTGATGTTTAACATGCTTATCATCATCATAATTTAAATTATCTGCATTTATCACCTTCTTATCAACCAGAGAATCTATACCATTTTGTAATTCTTCAAATGCTGCTTTTGAATACAATGTATTGCGGATACCATATAGATAAAGTTGTGATGTTTCAGAAATACTTGGACGCAATTGTTGGAGATTATTTTTTGGTATGCTTTTGGTACTGGTGATCGCTGGAAAAATATTAACATCTACTGCAGTGGTTATATTACCTATAATTTCCGGTCTTTTCATGTAACCCATTTGTTCATTATGTTTTATGAAGTGCTCTACAAATGCTTTGGAATTATTAGACAAATCTATGTCAAAGTTTGATAAAAATTGATCTGCTAATTTTTCATTTATGAATTCCATGTCGACTGGAACGCCTTCAAGGGTGTTTGGTACTTTTGTGAGTATTACTGATATGCTTGAGTAGAAGTTTCTCATTTTCTCTCCTAATAGATTTTCAACAGCTGATAAAACTGATATAAAGGGTTTGATATTATCGTGGAGAATATCATTAATGTCAATAGTTAGAATAATTTTTAGAGAATTAACACTTTGCAATAATTGATAGAGATAATAGGCATTTGTGATATCTTGCACTGTTCCTCTATTGTCATCAAATCCAGGAGAATCCCAAATACTCATATTTGAATGTACGTCTGACACCCACCTTGTAGGGATTTTAGTTTTTGTCGTTGCACCTCGACCTATTGCAGGGCCTTTGGATTGATTGTCAACTTTTTCTATAGTAATAGGAGCGTTTCTGGAATGTCTTACAAATTTTAATTTGGTGCCAATTAAGTAATTAATTAGTGTACTTTTACCAGCTCTTATGGCACCAATGCAAATTGATGCATCTTCATTTTTAACTTCTTTTCTCATATAATTCGTAGATTGATGAAGAGCTTTTTGTAGTTGTCGTATGTCATTTTCAGTAAATTGTGTTTGTTGGCAGTTCACTGCGACAAGTATAGTAAATATTACTATTATTCCCCTCATAACAATAACCACTGGATACTACTATATATTCTGAAAAAATAAAAATCGGATATAAAATAAAACTGCTCTTAAAATTGACCTAAATTTTGAGAGCAAGGGTGGTCAGAAAGAGTTGTTTCGTCTAATCTTTACATGTAGGTCAAAACTGCTATTTAAAGTAACCTAAATTTTTAGATTAGAGCCCCTAATATATATATATATATATATATATATATATGTATATATAAAACTTTCGTTTATACAAGTATTTGCTTTGGACTTACGTTATGATTGTAGTCAATGGCCTATTAATTACAAAACTATTATGTTTGCTTTTAATACTATGTAATCAATTTTTTTTTGCTCTGTTAAAAATTTTTATTTACAAAATATTTTTTTAGTTAAGATATAAGAGGTTGCAGATCGATTGTTTAATATTAAAAGAACTCTTTCTTTTATAATCAAAATTTAAGTATGAAATTAAAACATTAATGTAAGAAGATGCACATGACACTCAATTAAGTTTATTAAAATGTGGCAAGCAAGTTGTGAAGGGAGATAACGTAATCTAATTTGAGTACCCTCTTAATATCTATATTGGCCGTTTTCGGTACTTTCCCCGGGTTAACTCCCGGTTAAAGGTGATTGGTTAGATCCAACAGAATGTTGTTGATGATTAGATAATTGTTAACTTGGGGTTTACCCTGAGTGAATGCTTAGAGATGCACGTCGATCCGAGATGTTGTTGAATTATTAAATCTCGTAAACAATCAACTTAGATACCGAGAAAATTATATTTTCATTTGTTATTATCGAGTTTTTTTATATCGACAAATTCAGTTTGCTCGCTAAAGTCAAAGGTTAAAATAATTGTTTCTTTTTTTAAAGGAAAAAGTTTATTTGGAGAAAAAATCAATTTTAGGAAAATGGAAATAGATCAAAATGAAGATAACAAAATAGACGAAATTGTTCAAAGTATTTAAAATTTTTTTATAAAATTATAAATACGTTTTAAATTTACAAATAATTTTTCTATATTTTTTTCAATTATATGAGTGAATATTAGATAGCTTTTATTTATTATTATTTCTTCAGTATGTGTATTATTAATTTAATATTTTCATGACATAGAAATGGATCAGAAGCAAAATGTAAAAAAATACTTTTTTTCTATTTAATAGATTAAACGATTTCCTTTTTTGTAAACATACACTTTGAAGAATGATAAAGTTTATTATTTTAAGCCAATCTTTTTATATACAGTTTTTCCAGTAATCTTGAATTAAAACAATAAAGTATCAACAATGTTGCACTGCAACGTTTTAATCCTATTATTCGTCTCAAATTGAGATTTTAAATAACTGGTGATATTGAATATTCTCATATAATTTTATAAACACATTTTAATTCAATTATTACTAGGGGAGAGTGGGGCAAACCGGCCATACCTACGGTTTTTTTACTCTTGTGACTAAACGAATCAACCGATTTCATTTTTCGATAGCTTGTTTGAAAGATCATTTAATTGCGCAACTTTTTCCCAGAGGCACCTATACTTTATCTTTTATTATTTAGTTGCTGTGTTAACTTTAAAAAATTTTTCAAACGGGCCGGTTTGCCCCACCCCATGGGGCAAACCGGTCAGTTGGGTTTTTTATCTACAATATTGCATTTGTATAATCTACAATAACAACAAACATAAAGAATCATGTGAACAATGGTTGTAATAATGTAAATAATAATACAGGATTGAATTTTAATTAAATAAATAATTTTTTTAAATAACAAAAAAAAAATGTTTGAAATTATCAGAGAAACAATATTAAAGGGTCTAATTATCATTGGAAGATAATTATTTTTCATTGAAAGTAAATATTTTAATGAAAAAAACATTCTAATTAATAATAATTTTTTTGAAACTCTGATACAATGGAAATATTCTATGGCCGGTTTGCCCCACAGGCTCATTTCGAGAATAAATATTTTTTTAAAAGAAACGCTTTGCAAATTCATCAAAGTTTTTGGTGGTAAATATTCCTGAAGTGTGTACCTTCAAAACCCAAGACCTAATATTTGGAAATATTACACGATTTCCTAAAAAAAATTCGTAAAAGTGTAGAAAAAAACTAAAAAAAAAACTTTTGCTCCCAGCGTTGCACAAACAAATGTAAAAATTGTTAAATTGAAAAAATAAGGTATACTACACATATGGTTGTTTCAAATTTCTAAATAGCACTTTTTACAATTTCGCCATTTCTGAGATATTGACCCCTGGCCGGTTTACCCACCGGGCCGGTTTGCCCCACTCTCCCCTATATTTCTAGAAAAAAAATTATAATAATGTATATTGATATTCTCTGATATATTTTTAATTGTATGTAGGAAATTGTAAACCAAGTTCAAAACGTGGAATACTTGTCGGAAGATGAAAACGAAGAAATTAGTTTGGGGGAAGGGGGGGGGGGGTCTTATTAAACGTGACACAATGTATTTTTCTCATATGAAATTGCAAAAATTGTGTGACAGGGGGAGGGGGGGGGGGTTGAAAATCTCAAAAAATTACGTGACATCATTTGTGAACGCTCCCTAAGATTAAAATTACTTTTTTCAAAAAAGCTTTACATAATTGAAGTATAGCCCCTAAATTATTGGTAACAAAGTTTCTGATTCTTTTATCCGAAAGAGATTTATATGAATTTCTGTCTGTTATTTATTACAAATTATTATTATAATGGAAAAAATACTTTTAAACAATGTATATTTAGATTCTTTTGTTAGTTATTTTTTTGTGTACAAATATGCAAATAGAATAATTTATAAAAGAAATGTATTGACAGAAATCCCAATGATTGAAAGCTCCATTAAAAAAAAACCCTACGCACAGACAGCACTATACATATAAGGCTGAGAGTTCAAATTGTGGCAGATAGATAAATAAATACTTCCGTAAAAATGTTAATAATAATTTTTTTTTAATTAATTTACATTTATTTTAATATATCAGAATATAATATAAACAGTTTTGATTTTTTACATAAATATTCAAATGATTTAAGTAGAATTTCCGAATAAATATGTAGTAGGAAATATTTCCTAAATTCATAGAAGAGATAATTTCTTTTATTTATTCGGAAAAATTTCCACCGTTTGGGGTTCCGTGCTGTCCGTATTTTTTCGGAAAAAATGCCAAAAAATTTTTTACAGTGTATACTTTTTTAATTATCAAATAAAATGTGCAATTACAACAGTAAAGGATGCTAACTTTAAATCAGTGTTCCAGTAGGTTTTTTTTACGTTTATTCTCTTTTTCCAGAAATTTTATTTGATTATTTAAGTCAAATAGTTGTTGCATATAATCCCTTTGTTCTTTTCTCATTGTTCTTTTTTCCTGTGGCACCAATGCAAATGGATACGTCTTCATGCTTAACTTCGTTTTTCATATAAATCACAGACTCATTTAGAGCTTTTTGCAATAATTTTAAATCATTTTCAGTGAAAGTATTATATTATCGTAACCGCATAGACTGTAACCATCCCAACAACTATACTATTAATATTTTCATTATGCTCATGATTAATTAAAATCTTTATAAAGTATGGTTATACATATTATTATTGAGCAAAAAACACTTTTTAACAATAATTAGATTATATTTTTTGAAAATAAAAGGAAATGGAATATTTAATAAATGAAATTTGTTAACAGTATAATTAATAAAATTGATAAGAATATTTAATCATATTAATCATCTTACTTAAGACTTATTACATTATCCTAATAAACCTGCAAGCCCAATAGCAAAGGGTGCAAATTGTAATGCCTTGTCCCAGAAGTTTTTTTTATCTTCATTCGCTTGATTCAGCAATCTTATTTGATTATTTAAGTCAAGTAGTTGCTGCTTATATTCATCTTGTTCTTTTCTCATTGACTCTTCCCGTTCTTGATGCGTTACTTCACCTAATTGTTCGCGAATAGAAGAAATGGCTGCCTTTACTTTTAAAAGTGAAGTCGATAGAACTTTTTGTAATTTTTTAGACAATATTTTGCTTTCTTCAAGATTTAGTAATTTATCAACAAATTCGATTAAATTTGCAGTTTCTAATAAATGATTTTCATTAATGGTTTTTTCAATGCCAACATCAAGCATTTCAAAAATTTCTATTTGTTTGAAGAAATCATTTGAATCAAATGTAGCTTTAAATAATGCATTTTCTATTTTACCTAAATCTTTAAGCACTAATTTTAGTTGAGCTTTCACATTACCATCATAATTTAATGTCTCTGCATCCATCACCTTCTTATCAACCAGAAGATCAATACCATTTTGTAATTCTTCAAATGCTGATTTTGAATACAATTTGTCACGAATGCCATAAAGACAAAGTGTTGATGTTTCAGAAATACTTGGACTTAATTGTTGAAGATTATATTTTGGTATACTTGTAGAATTGTTGATCGCTTCAAAAATATTAACATCGACTGCATGGGTAATATTACCTACAATTTCCGGTCTTTTAAAGAAACCCATTTGTTGATTATATTTTATTAAGTGCTGTACAAATTCTTTGGAAAAATAAGACAAATCCATGTCAAAGCTTGATAAAAATTGATCTGCTAATTTTTCATTTATGAATTCCATGTCGACTGGAACGCCTTCAAGGGTGTTTGGTACTTTTGTGAGTATTACTGTTATACTTGAGAAGAAGTCTCTCATTTTCTCTCCTAATAGATTTTCAACAGCTTTTAAAACTGATATAAAGGGTTTGATATTATCGTGAAGAATGTCATTGATGTCAATAGCTAGAATAATTTTTAGAGATTTAACATTTTGCACCAATTGATAGAGATAAAAGGCATTAGTGATATCTTGTACTGTTCCTCTATTGTCATCAAAACCAGGAGCATCCCAAATAATAATATTTGAATGTACGTTTGACACCCATTTTGTAGGGATTGTTGTTTTTGACGCTGCTCCTCGACCTATTTCAGGGCCTACGGATTGATTGTCTACTTTTTCTATTGAAATAGGAGTGAATCTGGAATGTCTTACAGATTTTAATTTGTTGCCAATTAAGTAATTAATTAGTGTACTTTTACCAGCTCTTGTGGCACCAATGCAAATTGATACATCCTCGTTTTTAACTTCATTTCTCATGTAAATCGCAGATTCATGAAGAGATTTTTGTAGTTGTTGTAGGTCATTTTCATTAAATGTTATTTGACGACAGTTAACTGCGACAAGTATAGTAAATATTACTATTATTCCCCTCATGACAATAACCACTGGATACTACTTCTATATTTTCTGAAAAAATAATGAGAGGATGAAAATTATTTTATTAGTTGCATAGTGTTACGCATTGTAAGTAAATGTAAAACAAGGCATAGTAAATTAATAAAATTTTCGTTTATACAAGAATATATTTGCTTTGAACTTACGTTATAATTGAAGTCAATGTCCTGTTAATCACAAAACTGTTGTTTGCTTTTAATACTATATTAATCACTTTTTTGCTCTGTTAAAAATTTTAATTTTCAAAATATTTTTTTTAGTTAAGATATATGAGATTGTAGATGAATTGTTTAGTATTAAAAGAACTCTTTCTTTTACATTCAAAATTTGAGTATGATATTAAAGCATTTATGTATGAAGATTCACATGAGACTGAAGTAAGTTCATTAAAAAGTTGTAAGCAAGTTGCGAAGGGAGATAATGTAATCTAATTTGATTACCCACTTAATTTCTATATTAATAGTATGGAAATTAATCAGTGTTGTTTATAAACAAATATAATACTGTATGATAAAGACAATGAATTATTCTAGTTTTATTTCTTTTCTTTTTTTATCAGAAGAAATTGTCAGACATTTATATAAATTTCTTTCTTTTATTTATTACATATTATTATTATAATGGAAAAAATAAATAAATAATAAATAGATAAATTTGATCAGAAGAATATTAAGATGATTATCAAATCACCTTAATTAAGATTTTTTAAATTATCCTATAAAACGTGCAATTACAACAGCAAAGGATGATAACTCTAATGCAGTGGTCCAGTCGGATTTTTTACGTTTATTCTCTTCTTCCAGCAATTTTATTTGATTATTTAAGTCAAATAGTTGCTGCAAATATGCCCTTTGTTCTTTTCTCATTGACTCTTCTCGTTCTTGATGTGTTATTTCACCAAATTGTTCGCGAATAGAAGAAATTGCTGCTTTTACTTTTAAATGTGAATTCGATAGAACTTTTTGTAATCCTTTAGACAATATTTTGCTCTCCTTAAGATTTAGCAATTTATCAATGAATTCAATTAATTTTACAGTTTCTAATAAATAATTCTTATTATAATGATTTTTTTAATGCCAACATTAGTCATTGCAAGAGTTTCTATTTGTGTAAAGAAATCATATGCAAAAAATGAAACATTAAATAATAAATTTTCTATTTTACTTAAATCTTCATGTACTAATTTCAGTTCATTTTTCACATTATTATATTTTAAATTCTCTGCATCCATCACCTTTTTATCAATCAGAATATCTATGCCATTATGTAATTCTTCAAATCCTGATTTTGAATACAATTTTTCGCGAATGCCAAATAGACAAAGTGTTGAAGTTTCAGAAATACTTGGACGTAATTGTTGGAAATTATTTTTAGGTATGCTTAAAGAATTGTTGAACGATTGAAAAATATTAACATCGACTGTATGGGTAATATTACCTACAATTTCTGGTCTTTTAAAGAAACCGATTTGTTGATTATGTTTTATTAAGTGCTGTACAAATTCTTTGGAAATATAAGACAATTCCATGTCAGTACTTGATAAAAATTGATTTGTTAATATTACTGTTATACTTGAGAAGAAGTCTCTCATTTTCTCTCCTAATAGATTTTCAACAGCTTTTAAAACTGATATAAAGGGTTTGATATTATCGTGAAGAATGTCATTGATGTCAATAGCTAGAATAATTTTTAGAGATTTAACATTTTGCACCAATTGATAGAGATAAAAGGCATTAGTGATATCTTGTACTGTTCCTCTATTGTCATCAAAACCAGGAGCATCCCAAATAATAATATTTGAATGTACGTTTGACACCCATTTTGTAGGGATTGTTGTTTTTGACGCTGCTCCTCGACCTATTTCAGGGCCTACGGATTGATTGTCTACTTTTTCTATTGAAATAGGAGTGAATCTGGAATGTCTTACAGATTTTAATTTGTTGTCAATTAAGTAATTAATTAGTGTACTTTTCCCAGCTCTTGTGGCACCAATGCAAATTGATACATCTTCATTTTTAACTTCGTTTCTCATATAAATCGCAGATTCATGGAAGAGCTTTTTGTAGTTGTAGGTCATTTTCATTAAATGTGATTTGACGTCAGTTCACTATGATAATTCCAATAAATATTACTATTATTTTCTTCATGACACTATTCACTGAATTTTGCTTCTATATTTTCTGAAAAAATGAAAATCGACTGAAATTTATTTTATTAGCTGCAAAGTGTTATGTATTATAATTAAATGTAAAACAAATTATAGTAAATTAATAAAACTACCATTTCCACTTTTCTCGAACGAAATCAGAATCTACGAACTTTATTTTAAATAAAATAATAAAATATAATTATAGAGTTAGTGTTTAAACCAAACGGTAACGCGATTGCAAATGAAAGGTTAAGTAAGAGAAGGGTCTATATATAAAGTAAAAAAGCAGGGTTGTGTAGTAACATACAATTTAACACAAACGCCGCCTTGCCTTCATTAACGGAACTAAAAACATTCAAAGAACAAGTCATTCCCTCTTGAACTTCGAGTTTCCAATCATATTACTTGTAAACAATTATATGATTTAAATACTTGATTTTGACATTAGGAGAGTAATATACGACAATTTTCAATCTATTAATTATAGATAAATACCATAAATATTCATCACTTCAAGGTATGTAAAAACTTTATAATTTCCAACTAAATAATACACAACAAATATGAATTCAATTTTATAAACTATATCTCCCTTTCTCTCCACTTTCTTTCTTTCATTTCAAAATTTTGAGGTTATGTCTCAAGGGTATTCAAGAAAAATTACACTTTAATCATAAATAAATCCTCTTAAAACAAAAATTTCATCAAATCAAGTTTTTCCAAACATAAATATTCCACATTGGGATTTTTAATAAAAAATAGAAGGTTTAATTCAAAAGAAAAATAATATTAAATGTATTAAATGAAAAATTTTAAAATTACATTTACAAAAGAATTTTAAAGCAGCGCCTCTGGCGGTATTTTTGAAAAATGTTTACCTTTCACAAATTGTCAGAATATTGTCAAATCGGAATATATTAGAAAAAATTAAAAAACAACCGAAAGAAAGAAAGAAACAGGAATAGTTTAAAACACTGCATTCAGGTTTTGTATAAAATGCGACGTTAGAAAAGAAAAGTATAGCTACGTGTGAATATTTTTTTTTTTTAAAAACATGACTCACTAAAAATTGAGTTCCTTCAATTGTGCTGATTGTACATTTTTTGTTTGTGTGTGCGTTTTGAATAAAAACCTCAGAACGATGATTTGTTACATCAAAGTGTATCTCATCATCATTCAGAGTGCAACTTAACCTTATTAATAAAGGATTATTATAAATATTTATCAAAAAAATAATAAGGAACATTTATGAACAATGAATACATTAATACGTGAACTTTCAGGACTATCAAATTTTCAAAATTATGCCGCATTTATGGATGCTTTTTCTTCAAATAATGCAATGAAGAATATTACGGATATTATGGAAATGAATATTAATTTGAATAATGACGAGAGACCGTTTAAGAGGAAGAATCCTTACAATAAATTATTGTCATACGCCGAGGATATTGATGACGAGGCACAAAAAATATTTACAATTATCAAGGCCAATCTTGCCAGGAGTGTTATGCTAAGGGAAATATATCCAGGATGTCTCGAAGCAACAAACAGTTTATATGTGTAATTATAAATTTTACTATTTTTAAAAAATATTCATATACTAATATTTTACTTAGCGAATATAATTTTTTTTCTGATTAAATTCAATTTATTTCAAGAAAAAGAAAAAAATTTTATTTCTAGGTGTATAAATATTTCAGTAGATTCTTGTCTTTTAATAAAATAAAAACTGAATATCTTGCCAAAAAAATTAACTCTTTTTTACGTCGAAAATTTTAAAGAAATATCTGTATTTCTCTAAAATTGCAATTTCCGACGTAAAAAAGAGTTAATTCTTTTGGCAAGATATTCAGTTTTATTTTTGTATTCGACTCTCTTGTTTTTTTTCAGAGTATTTTCTTTTATAATTTTTTCATAAAATAATTTATTTCAATTTTAATTTCGAGTCGATTGTATTTTTCAGGTTTTCGACAAGTCATGGAAAATCTGGAAATCATGGAATTGTCATGAAGTTTCCATTTTCCAGTATTTCCAAATCCAAATTGAATTTTTAGAATATTTGATTTCATATTTAAGAGAATTCGTGATTTATCGAAAGTTACATTATTTAGAAAATCGTTTAGAAAATTATCAATGTCATCAATATACTAAAATACTTTCCTTCCAAGAGGAAGTAAAATATATACAAAAATTCAAACTACATAAAAAAAAAACTAAAAGCAGACTCAAAAAGCAAAATTGTGCAATAAGGACAATAATTGTCGTTAAACAATTAAAATCGTTTTTATTTTTTAACTCATTTGAAATTTTTGACTCCAGATTTATTTTTATATAATAATTATTCAAAATTAATTATTCATTAAAAAGTATGAAATTATATTACGAACGAATTAATATTTTCTAGTTAATAATTTATTTTTTGTTATTATTTGCTTATAATTTATATCATTTTTTATTTACATTTTATAATTATCTTAATTTTTTTTTCTCCGTTTTATTTCATTAATAATCGTTTCGAGAAAAAGTTATTAAAATATTGTAGAATCGAAAAGAATTTAATTTTTAAATAGATTTTTATTAAAATTCTTTAAAATAATTGAATTGATTTGAAGAACTTTATTTTCAATTTTCTTGAAAATAATGGAGTTTTTTTAAATAATTTTTACTAAAAATTTTGAAAGTCATTGAATTTTATGAAGAATTTCTTTTAAGTTTTGAAAATAATCGTCTTTATTATTAATTGTAATTAATAATTTTCCTATTAAATTAAATTAAAATTATTCATAGAAAATTAAATTCTTTTAAACAATTTTATTAGAGTTTTTGTAAATAATTACATTTTTTTATAAGAATTTCATTAAATTTCGTAAAAATAATGTAATTTTTGAAAATAATTTTAATTGAAAATTTTGAAAATAATTGAAAATAATTGTATTCATTCGAGAAATTTTATTTAAATTGTATTGAAAATAATTGAATTTACTCCGAAACATTTTATTATTTATGAAAATAATTTAATTGCTTTGAAGAATTTTATTAAAATTTTTAAATAATAAAGTTTAAATTAAAATTTTCTTTCAATTGAATTTAGGAGCAAATTTTCAAAAGCTGATAAATCTATTTTTAAAAAAATTGAGATAAACGCAAATTTAATATTTTACAATCCTTATAAATTGACCTCTGACTATTGAATTTAAGAAACAAAATTTATTAAATTTTCAGATATATAAACATGTATGGAAAGGACTTCAGTAAAGAGGATCATATTTTGTTGATAAAATTATACTACGAATTGGCAATAATTCCCGATTTGGAACCAAATGCTCTTCTATCGTTTTTTCGAGCTTTAGAATTATTATTAAAGTAAGTTTTTAATTTTTTCGTCTATTGGAGGGTAAATTTCTATTTAAAAATTCTCATTTTTCTTTTTCTTTTAGAAAAATTGAATTAATACCTCAAGATGATTTGGAACTTGATTGGCGACCTCTTTACGAGCAATGGGAGAGAACTGTGGAAAATAAAATCTCACGATACGGAATGTATCGTCAAAGTGTCAAAATGATGGTAGTGATGGAAAAAGCGATTCGTGTGTTGAAAAACTATTTTCCGGTAAGAGAACACTTTAATTTTTAAAACAATTTATAAGTTTAAGAAAACAAATAAGACAATTCTTAATAATAATAATAATAATAATAATAATAATAATAATAATAATAATAATAATAATAATAATAATAATAATAATAATAATAATAATAATAATAATAATAATAATAATAATAATAATAATAATAATAATAATAATAAAAGTTTAAGAAAACAAATATGACAATTTTTAATAATATTAATAATAATAATAATAATAATAATAATAATAATAATAATAATAGTAATAGTAATAATTTTTGTATTTTCTAAAAATTAATTCTCATTTTATTCCAGTTGAATGCAACGAAAGAAATTCTCGATGAATTAAGACCAAAATTATATGTATTCGACAGTAAAATAATAAATACAACATTAAAGAAAGCAATGGTATTTTTACCAGAATTATTACCGCGTAATTCAATTGATCTTGGACATGAATTATGGTTTACTGAATTTATGAATTTTTGGGAAAATTTTCACGACGCAAATACATGGGAAATTGATATGATGGAATTAATATCGAGAATTGGTGCAAAAAATATTGGCTATATCGATTGGGAACCATATTTACCATTAATGTTCAATCGAATATTGGAAAGTTTCAATTTACCCGTTTATTATAAAAAGTATGGTCACAGTTATAAATATAAATTGGGTACAATAAGTATGGCTCGTTGGATTGTTTCGACACTTGTAAATATATTTCGATTCTTTTTTTCGAAAAATTAGAAAATAGAATTCAGAGAATGAAAAAAAAATAATTGTATTTCTTCCTTTCAGGGAAATGGTTCCAAGGCACAAGGCTATCTTGACAAATTTCTAAAGACAGTGGAAACATATCTTCATCCAACTAATAATGGATCTTGGGCTTTGAATTTAATGAAATTGGTTAAGGACATAAGTCAGTGTTTCATCGCTCGATTACATCAGTAAATAATTGTTTTCTTTCAAAAAAGAATTTTCAAAAAATGATTTTTTAAAAAATTTTATTAATATAAATAAAATAATTATAAAATTAAATAATATTTTAAAAAATTAATAGTTGAAATTATTTTTTTATATAATTCATAAATAATAAAATTTTGATTTGTTTTCATTAGGGAGCGATTTAGGAAAAAATCGTGGATTCCAGAAACGCCGGAATCACATAAATTGACGGATGGTGAAATTGACGATTTTGTAAAAAGTATTCTGCCCTTGGCGTTAAATTCAATGTTCAGTAAATGCATATTCGTTGGTGTGAGTGCTTGTTTTACATTGAAAAATTTAGCGACTATTCGTCCAAATTCGGTGATTCCAATTCTCCTGACGAAATTCGACGAGACTTACGATTCACTCACTGAACCCAATCGATTTACGAGTTTGATTTTTGGACTAAACGCAGTGTCACGACAAATGTGCCAAGGCTCGAGGAATGTCAATGCAGGTAAATTGAAAATTATATTTAAATAAATTTTTTTTAATTTAAATTATATTTAAATCAAATTCTTTAAAACGATTCAATTATTTGCAAAAAATATTCAAAATTCAATTATTTTCAAAAAATATTCGAAATTCAATTATTTTCAATATCCACAGTATTTTTATAAAATTTCGCAAACGAATTCAATTACTTAAAAAAAAATTGATAAAATTCATCCAAAATTCAATTATTTTCATAAATAATAAAATTTCCACTTGAATTCAATTAATTTAGAATAGCATTTTCAAAAAAATGTCGAAAAAATAAATTATTTAACAAAATTTTTATACAATTCTTCACAATAATTCAATTACTTTCACTAATAATAACATTATTCATGGAAATTCAATTTTTTAAAAAAATTTTAAGAAAAAATTCAATTATTTTCATAAATAATAAAACTCATTGAGGAATTTCAATTATTTTTAATACTATTTTAAAATAAATTAATCAAAAAATTCAATTATTTTCACAAATAAAGTTTTCTACCAGAATTCAATTATTTAAAACAAAATTTTCATAATATTCATTATATTTCTAAAAAATTAATTATTTAAAATAATGTTTATAAAATTGTTATGAAGAATTCAATTATTTTCAAAAATAACAAATTTTTTCACAGAAATTCAATTCTTTTTAAAAAATTTAATAAAGTTTCTCGCAATAATTCAATTATTTACATAAATAATAAGATTCATCGCATGATTTCAATTATTTTTAATACAATTTTACATGAATTGCTCGAAAGATGTAATTATTCTTAAAAATTTCGAAAGAAATCAATTACATAAATAATTCTTCGAAAGAATTCAATTATGTCGATAAATAACAAAATTATTCCCGAAATTAAATTATTTTTTTTACACATTTTAATAAAATTCTTTGGAAAATTCAATTATTTTCATGAATAACAATATTCATTACAAGAATTTAATTATTTTTAAAAGCAATAAATTTCACCTCGAAAACTCAATTATTTTAAAAAGTTCTAAAAAAATCGTTTGCAAGAATTCAACTATTTTCATAAAAAATAAAATTATTTAAAAAAAAAAAAATTCTTATCAAAAATTCAATTATCTATTCAATATTATACAATTTAATTATCTAAAAACTGAATTTTAACAAAAATTCAATTATTTTCAAAAATTTTAACAAAATTCTTTGAAATATTTCAATTATCTTTATAAATACCAAAATTGTTTGCTAAAATTCAATTATTTTTAGAAATTTTTAATGAAATTCTTTACAAAAATTCAATTTTTATTTTGAAAAATTAAAAAAAAAATTCTTGTCAAAATTTCAATTATCTTTATAACTAATAAAATTCTTTTTCGAAATTCAAATATTTTCCGAAATTTCAATGAAATTCTTTGCAAAATTAAATTATTTTCAAATGTAATAAAATTCTTGTCAGGAATTCAATTATTTTTTGAAGATTTTAATAAAATTCTTTACAAAATTTTTATTATCTTTATAAATAATAAAATTCTTTTTCCAAAATTCAATTATTTTCAAAAATTTTAACAAAACCTTTTAAAATATTTCAATTATCTTTATAAATAGCAAAATTCAATTATTGCCAAAAATTTTAATAAAATTCTTTGTAAAATTGAATTATTTTAAAAAACTTTTCGCATTTCAATGATTTTCAATATCTACTATTTTCTTAAAAATTTCCAAACAGAATTCAATTATTTAAAAAATTTTTTTTTTTGAAATCTTCGTAAGAATTCAATTTTTTTTATGAATAATAAAAATTTCTCAGAAATTTAATTCTTTAAATTAGAATTTTCATAAAATTAGTCGAAAGAAATGAATTATTTAAAATTTTTTATAAAATTCTCCGTGAGAATTAAATTATTTTTATAAATATTTAAATTCTTTCATGAATAATAAAAAATCGTTATAGGAAAATAAAAATAATATAAAATGGAATTTTTGTCAGTTTTTTGCGAAGTTTCTAAAAACGAGTTTTTTTGGTCGTCAAGTTTAATTTTTCCATAGCTACATTTTTACTACTTTTTTTTTAGTTTGAAAGATACTTTTTGCTATTTTTTTTTAAATTATTTATCGAGTGCGAAGTTTGTAAACGATAAATAATTAATTTATATTTTTAGATTACGCATACGCCGAGGGACCATTACAAATACTGCCACTATTATCGGTCGTATTGCCAGGAATTGATCGCAATGATACTTTCAAATGTTTAAAAGTGATGGATTTCATTGGTAAAATTGCGACTCATTGTCCATTTAAAGACTCGTCGAATACACAGGCAAAACTTAGTGATGAGGATCGACTTATTGCCGAAGTCACATCGAAATTTGAGGATTTTATATTACAACTACTTGACAGTATTTTCACTCTAGTGGAATCGGGTTCCGTCGATTTTGTCAGACAGGTAAAAAACTAAAATTTTAAATTTCAAATTTCAAATTTCAAATTTCAAATTTACTACCGCAAATTCAATTTCTAAGTTTTTAATTTCGCGCTTCTGTACTTTACCGGCAGTTCATAGATAAAAAAAACAAAATTTTTTTCCAGGAGAATGACACAGCAGTAATAAACGAAGAATTAGCGATTGAATCGTCAATATGTGATCTTTTATTTTCAATATTCTGTCAATCGAGTGACACACTCTTTGAATTGGCAGTTCATAAGGTTCGTGATTTTGTGATAAATAAAACGCACGATTCAAAAAGTGGAGGACGCCTCGTATTTCATTTATGTCGAATGTTTGTAAAAGCAAATTCACAAATTGCCTTACCAATATTATTACCGACATTTCTCGAGACAATTCTCAATTTAATTGATGAAATTGACGATATCACAGAGGAATATCTCGATAATCGTCTATTAACAATGTTAATGGTATTGGGTGGAATTGTCAATACATCAGGTAATTATTTATTGCCTTACATTGATAATTTAACACGAATACTGGATAAATGTCTCTTGATGAAATCACGTGATGGATTAAAATTCACATGGTCAATTATGAGAAATATATTTAATTCATTGACAAATTTAACGATGAATCGTGTATTGAGAATTGATCGTGATTACACGAGTGATGAATGCGCTGAAATTTTGGATTGGGGTCAACCGATATCAATGAAAAATATGCGTGCCGAATGGTATGTTCCTAGTGAGAAGGAAATTCAAGTTGCTCAACAATTATTCAATAAATATATAATGCCTGAAATTATGGTCATTGAGGAATTTATCGAGAATCCAAAATCAGTTGAAAGGTATTTTATTCGATTATTTTTATTTACCTCATCATTCAGGGCTCGAATCAGTGAAAGTATTTTAAAAATAAATATAATATACTGACTTTACGGACCAAAAAAATGAAAAATTGCTGATCATTTACGGACCAATTACAAACTGACAAAAATGTAACCAGTTCGAGTCAAATAAGAGAACATTTTAAAAAATAAATAAAAATAAAATAAAAATAATAAGTAAAAATTTTCAATTTTTTTCAATTTTTTAATTTTAATAAAATTTTTTTTTTTATAAATACTATAAATTAAATATTTTATAATTCTATAAAACATGAAGATATGGATAACTCCGAGTCTTCGACTCGGATTCATCGATTTCTTTATGTTTTATAATAAAATTACGGAGTTATAAAATCATTTACAATTCAATTCTTATTTACAAGAATTTTTAACTAAAATTCTTCTTTAAATCGATTATTTTTAATAATTTTCTAAAAAGTTCCTTGACAATTTTCAAATTCATTTCTTTACCATATTGAATTTTACGAAATTTCAATTATTCGTAAATTCTTCAATTAAATAAATATTAGAAAATAAAAATTTAAAATAATATTAAAAAAATTCAATTATACTTTTTCAAAGAAATTAATTTTAAAATACAATTATTTTTAAAAATTCACGCTACATTGCTTTTAATATTCAATTATTATCTAAAATTTTACCTGAAATTCATTTTTATTAAATGAAAATCAATTTTTATTAGAAAATTCTACGAGAATTCAATTATTTAAATACAAATAAAATGCAAATAAATAATTGAATGTCTCTTAAAATTCAATTCCCATAGAGAATCGTTATCAACTCAAATTTTCAAATAATTGGATTCTATCAACGAATTTTAATAAAATTTTAAAGAATAATTACATTTTTTTGAGAAATTCGATTAAAATTGTATTAAAAATACGTAAAATAATTGAAATTCTGCGATTAGTTTTATTTTTTTGTGAAAATAATTGAATCGCTAAGAATTTTATAATTTTTTGGAAGAATTTTTTTTCGTGTTTTTTAATAAAGATCATTCTATAAATCTATTATTTATAATAATTATTGAAAAAGTTGTTTAAGAATTTTCAAATTTATTTGTTTATGATTCAATTTTACGTAAAATTTCAATTATTCGTAAATTCTTCAATTAAATAAATAGCAAAAAATAAAAACTAAATAATTTTAAAAAAGCTAAAATTCTTCGCAGAAATTCAATTCTTTTCAAAAATTGAAAAAAAATTCTTGTCGAAATTTCAATTATCTTTATAACTGATAAAATTCTTTTTCAAAATTCAAATATTTTCTGAAATTTTAAAAAAATTCTTTGCAAAATTCAATTATTTTCAAATGTATTAAAATTCTTGTCAGGAATTCAATTATTTTGCAGGAATTTAAATAAAATTCTTTGAAATAATTCAAATATTTTTAAAAATTGAAAAAAATTCTTGTCAAAATTTCAATTATCTTCATAACTATAATAAAATTCTTTTTCAAAATTCAAATATTTTCCGAAATTCCAATAAAATTCTTTGCAAAATTCAATTATTTTCAAATGTAATAAAATTCTTGTCAGGAATTCAAATATTTTCCAAAATTATAATAAAATTCTTTGCAAAATTTAATTATTTTCAATAAAAAAAAAATTCTTCTCAAAAATTCAATTATTTTCATAAATTTTAATAAAATTCTTTTCAAAAATTGAAAAAAATTCTTCTCAAAATTTCAATTATCTTTATAATTAATAAAATTCTTTTTCGAAATTTAAATATTTTCCGAAATTTGAATAAAATTCTTTGCAAAATTCAATTATTTTCAAAAATTTCAACAAAATGTTTTTAAATATTTCAATTATCTTTATAAATAGCAAAATTCAATTATTTTCAAAAATTTTAATAAAAAATTCTTTGCAAAAATTCAATTATTTTCAAAAATTTCTCTCAATTTAATGATTTTCAATATCTACTATTTTAATAAAATGTTCCAAAAGAATTCAATATTATTCAATAAATTATTTATTTTTCTATTTAAATAATTGAATTCTCGTAAAATTTTTTAATAAAAATTGATTAAAAATTGAATTTTCGTTAAAATTTTAGATAATAATTGAATATTAAAAGTATTATTGCTTGAATTTTTGAGAAATAATTGAATTTTGAAAAGGTTTCAAATTAAAATCTTTGAAAATCTGAATTTTTCAAACTTCCAACTAACAATTTTGTAGAATTAAATTTTTTTGTAAAAGTTTAATTGAATTTCTTTTCAAGTTTTTTGACGTTTTTATTTTCGTTTATATATTTAAATTGTAATTAATTATTTTAATTAATTAAGTTTTCAAAAATTTCAAATTTAAATTTTTTTGAAATTCAACAACTTATATATAATTTTACTTTCGAAGAAATTTGTAAATAATCAGAATTCTTTATAGGGTCATGGAAAAAATCAAAATTTTTTCTGCAAATCAGGGAAAAGTCAGGAAAATATCAAATTAAATTTTCTAGCAACCCTGAAATTGTTTCCCAAAAAAAAAAAAATATAAATTAACTTCAGAATTCTTTATGGAATTTCTCTTACTTTTATAATTGAAAAAAATCTAGTTTGATAAAATATTCTTCAATTATTCTTTTCTTTGTATGAACAAGTTTCATTTCAAGAACATTTGTTCTTTCCTTTGTATGAAAAAGTTTGATTTAGAGTTTTTGAGGTAAAATGTTCTTTTATTGTACTCGGATAGATTCGTTTGTAAAATCCGTATTCATACTTTGAGTTTATGTCAGAGAATTGATAAAATATTCTAGATAGCCAGATAGGAAACTAAAAACAAAAAAAAGTTAATAATACAAAAAATGTTTTTATTATTTTTCAGACAGATTTTACACAATAAATTACAATCGATTCACGAAATAATAAAAGGCTGTGAAATATTGCTGCCCGTTTGGAATGAAGCGCCATTAGTTTTGATGAAATCAGTGAATGAATTGTCTAATTACAATTCGAAAATTGGTGTCAATGGTGAGATAACAATGCCCGATGGTGGTAATGTGAGATTATTTTTTGTCAAGCTTCTCACACGTTTCCAGCAAGTAATTTTAAAATCAGCTGAAGATGATACGAAAACAATCGGCACTCTCGTCTGGGTAAGAAAAGAAAAATTTCGAAATTCGAAGCAACTTTTTTTTATTGGTTTACCTATCTGTGTTCAATCGGTAAAGTAGATTTTTCTTTTTCTTTTAGTTGTGGCAGTGCATTCTCTTGGGTCCAATTCGAGTGTACAGTCAATACTTCAAAAAACTGTCGTCCCTCGAAGTGAAACGTAAACTTTCCAATGAACGATTAACCCGCAAAGATTGGAATATCGACATGGTTTGGGAGAGAACTGTTCTCCAACAGGAATACAGGGTTATTATGCAAAACTCCACTTTCACTGAGACACACAAACATGTTGTTGTTCAATTATTGGAATTATCGACAAGTAGATATGCGAAAATTCGCATTACGGCGCAATCAGTTTTAGCTGATATTACAAACGTTCTGCCATTAAATTCAGGAATTGATAAAATCCTCTTGTCCTATATTCTCGATATTTTGGCGAAGGATACAACGGAATGTCATGACGCTTACAAGGTTTGAAATAAACAGTTTTTTCAATTCAATTATTTTCAAAAAATTTTAATAAAATTCTTGTCAAAATTTCAATTATTTTCAAAAATTTCCCTCAATTCCATGATTTTTAATATCTACTATTTTTTAATAAAATTTTTCCAAAAGAATTCAATTATTTAAAAAAAAAAATTCTACGCAAACCTTAAATTATTTTCATAAAATTATAAAAATTTCAGAGGAATTCAATTATTTACAAATTTTTTCTAAATTTCTTTCACAATAATTCAATTATTTTCATAAATAATAAAAATTTTTTACAGATAATAAAAAATAATAAAATTCTTTTTAGTAATTCAATTATTTTTAATAATAATACAACTCATAGGAGAAGTTCAATTATATTTTTAAAGCAATGTTAATCAACTTCCTCGAAAAATGTAATTATTCTTAAAAATTTTATTAAAATTCGTCAAAAGAATTCAATTATTTTTAACATTAATAAAATTCTCAGCAGAAATTCAATTATTTTCAAAAATTTTTATAAAATTCATTGCAAAATTTCAATTATTTTCAAAAGTAATAAAATTAAAAATTTTTAATAAAATTCATTGCAAAATTTCAAAAATTTTCTGAATTCAATAATTTTTATATATTTATTATTTTAATAACATTTTCCAAAAAAATTAAATTATTTAAAAACGATTTTGACAAAGTTCTACACGAATATTCAACTTATTTTGAATAATTCCAGATTAAAAATTAAAAAAATTGAATTATTCACTAATTTACTTATTAATTATTCTTGTTTATTAATTTCAAAATTTATAATAAAATTATTCCCAATAGTTTAATTATTTCCATAAATAATAACATTCTTCGTTAAGAATTAAATTATTTTTACAAATAGTTAAATTGTTTGCAAAAATTTTATTGTTTTTAAACAAAATTAAAAAAAAATATCACGAACGAATACGAATTTTCTAAAATTTTAATAAATCCTTCGAAACAATTGAATTATTTTTTTTTAATAGCAAAATCTTTGCAAAAATTCATTTATTTTAATAAAAATTTCACGAAGTTCAAAAGTTCAATTATTTAAAAAAAAATTCACTACAGAATTCAATTTTTTTATTAATTCGTTATAAAATTTTTGCAGAAATTAATTTCATCTAAAATTTAATTATTTAAAAAAAAAAAAAAATTATCCAAAATTTAATTATTTTCAAAATTGAATTTTTGCAAAGAATTTTGCTATTTATAAAGATAATTGAAATATTTAAAAGAATTTTGTTAAAATTTGTAAAAATAATAAAATTTTTGATAAGAATTTTTTTTTCTTTGGAAAATAATTGAATTTTGCAACGAATTTTAATAAAATTTTAGAAAATAATTGAATTTCGGAGAATTTAATTAGTTATAAAGATAATTGAAATTTTGACAAGAATTTTTTTCAATTTTTCAAAATAATTGAATTTTTACAAAGAATTTCATTAAAATTTCTGAAAATAATTGAATTTTAGCAAAGAATTTTGCTATTTATAAAGATAATTGAAATATTTCAAAGAATTTTGTTAAAATTTTTGAAAATAATTGAATTCCTGACAAGAATATTATTACATTTGAAAATAATTGAATTTTGCAAAGAATTTTATTGAAATTTCGAAAAATATTTGAATTTCGAAAAAGAATTTTATTAGTTATAAAGATAATTGAAATTTTGACAAGAATTTTTTTCAATTTTTGAAAATAATTGAATTTTTGAAAAGAATTTCATTAAAATTTCTGAAAATAATTGAATTTTATCAAAGAATTTTGTTAAAATTTTTTAAAATAATTGAATTTTTGATAAGAATTTTTTTTCTTTTAAAAATAATTGAATTTTTCAAAGAATTTTATTAAACTTTTCGAAAATAATTGAATTTTGGAGAAGAATTTTATTAGTTATAAAGATAATTGAAATTTAGACAAGAATTTTTAAAAATTTTTTAACAAAATTGAATTTCTGCGAAGAATTTTATTTTTTTAAAAAATTATTTAGTTTTTATTTTCTAATATTTATTTAATTGAAGAATGTACGAATAATTGAAATTTCGGTAAATTGAATATTTTAAAGAAATGTATTTGAAAATTGTCAAAGAACTTTTTCGAAAATCATTAAAAATAATCGATTTAAAGAAGTTAGATTCTCGATTAATTTTTCGATTTTTTACCATACCGTTTATTTTTTTTCAGGGCGTTCTCTACATTCTCTTGAATAAAGAGCACATAACACTGTTAATGAATCACGGCTGGGAAATTCTGAGAAAATTATGGCCAGCAATTATTCTCACTAGGCCATCGGAGAAATTGTCTGTCATCAATTTAGAAGATACTCTCTTCAATTATCTAATGAATGGTCTATTGACGAAACAAATTCAACTTGAAATACCAAAAAGTTGTAGCGATGCAGCAACGAATTTGTGGGATTTATCAAAGATTAAAATTGAAAATAGACCAACTAAGGAGGAAATTGAGAATGGACGGGAAATATTTGAGAGGATTGGTAAAGAAAAATTGGAGTCCTACAATTCATTGCAGGAGAATTTAATCGAGATTATAGTCGAGAAAAATCTTCATTGGCGACGACGATTTGAAGCGATGCAACTTATCGTCGCCCTGGGTCATCCACAGGGTAAATTTTCCCCTCGTGTTGTAAAATATTTTCTACAAGCAATGATTCATGATATTATTTCCGAAAGGGAGGTTGCCATCAAAGTGATTGTGAATAGTCTTCTTCAGCAACGTTTAGAATACGTGAAGGTATTTTTTCTTGTTTTTGATCTTCTCTTAGATTTCTCTTTTTAATCAAAATTGTTTTGCAGATTGATCTCGATTTATCCAAAGTAATCGCATCCGATCAAAAAGTGACATTTGGCGAAAGAGCAGACAACGCATGGCTTCAATATAATTCAAAGACCCACCAAAAAAATGCTGAAGAATGGAACAAAACACGTTTTGTCGATTCAGTTCACATTGGTTATTATGCGTGGCCAAAGAAAATTGAAATCACCGCACCTTCCAATGAACAACCAACATTGGACATTAATCAACGAAAACTAAATCAAGTCGAACTGGAGATTTACAATTTTTTCATCAATCCCCAAAATATCGAAAAACTCATTAGATATTTGAGTCTCGAGAAGAAGAAGGGAAAGGAACATTTCACCAACATCAATTATTATTTATTTAAGAATTTGTTTAAAAATTATGGTGATGTTTTCTTGGATAATTTTCTACCACATTTAAAACGACTTGTCGCTGATAAACAGGAAAGTTCACAACGTTGTGCATCGGAAATTATTGCTGGCATAATACGTGGATCAAAATATTGGCCCTATGAAATGGTGATGAGAATAGCCAAGGAATTGACGCCTATTGTTAGGATTTCAATGAATAATTTAACGAATGAATCGATAATAATGTGGAGTATTGCCTATGCACAAGCACAACATAATATTGATCCAAATAGAAATTGTTGGCTTATGGAATGTCTTATGGATGAATTATCATCGATACAAACAGACACGTCATTAGTGCAGGCTGGAAAAATTAATATTGTGCAGGTAAATATTTACTGCTTGTTTTTTTTATAAACAGATGGCAGAAAAAGGGCAGTAAGAAAAGAACAAAAAGTTGTTTTTATCCACAAAATGGAAGGGAGTTTTTTCTTCATATCGCTGTATAAAAAGAAATTAATTACAATTTCTCTTAAAAATGGAGAAAATAATTATTCAATGGTCTACTTATTTATTCTCATAAATAATAAAATTCTTTTAGAGCAATTTAATCATTTTCAATACAATTTTAATTAAATTTCTTGAATGAATACAATTATTTTTTAAAATATTAATTAAACTCGATTATTTTCAATAATTTTAATATAATTTCAATTATTTTCAACAATTTTGATGAAATTCTTTTAAAAAAATTATTATTTTCAACATTTTTAATAAAATTTTTTCAAAAAATTCAATTATTTTCAAAAATTCAAATAACATTCTTAAAAACAATTCAATTATTTTTTTGAATTGTAAAATCCTCCACAAGAATTCAATTATTTTTATCAATAAGAATATTCTTCGCAAGAATTAAAATATTTTCATAAATAATAAAATTCTTCAAAGGAATTCAATTATTTTCAAGAGTTTTCATAAAAATTCAATTATTTTTAACAATTTTGATAAAAAATTCTTCGAAACAATTAAATTCTTTTTATAAATTGTAAAATTCTTGTCAAGAATTCAATTATTTTCATAAATAATAAAATGTTTCGGAGGAATTCAATTATTTTCAATACAATTTTAATAAAATTTCTCGAAAGAATACAATTATTTTTAAAAATATTATTTAAATTCAATTATTTTCAAGAGTTTTAATAAAAATTCAATTATTCTCAACAATTTTCATAAATAATAAAATGTTTCGGAGGAATTCAATTATTTTCAATACAATTATTTAAATTTAATTAATTTCAAGAGTTTTCATAAAAATTCATTTATTTTTAACAATTTTAATAAATAATTCTTCGAAACAATTCAATTCTTGTTATAAATTGTAAAATTCTTGTCAAAAATTCAATTATTTTCAAGAGTTTTCATAAAAATTCATTTATTTTCAACAATTTTGATTAAAAATTCTTCGAAACAATTCAATTCTTTTTATAAATTGTAAAATTTTTGTCAAGAATTTAATTATTTTCATAAATAATAAAACTTATCTCAGAATTTCAATTATTTTTAAAAATTTTAATAACATTTCTAGAAAAAAATTCAATTATATAATTAAAAATTGTCAGTAAAAATTTTTTTAAAAAAAACTCCCTTTATTTCCAAGAAAATAAATGAATTCTTGAATAGAATACATGCGAAAAAAATTTTTTGTTTCTACAAATAATTGAATTTTTGCAAAATTTAAAAAATAAATGAATTTTTCAGAAGAATTTTATTAAAATTGTATTTAAAATAATTGAATTTCTGTGAGAAATTTACTATGTAGGTATTGATATTATTGAATTCTGTCGATGAATTTAAAAAGAAATGTTTAAAAATAATTTAATTTTCCCTGGAATTCAATTAAAATTGAATTTAAAATAATTCAATTCCAGCGAAAATTTAATTATTTTTAAAAATAATGAAATTCTTGAATTGAATTTTATTAACAGTTTTTTAAATAATTGAACTCTTGTAAAAAATTCAATTATTTTTTAAAATAATTGAATTTTCTCTGAGAATTTTTACATGATTTTTAAAAATAATTGAAATTATCGAAAAAATTAATTAAAATTGTATTGAAAATAAGTGAAATCGTGATAAGATTTTTATTATTTATATACATAAAAAGTAATTAAATTTGTTACTACAAATTTTATTACTTATTGAATTCTTGTCATGAATAAATTCTTCATTTAGTTAACTAATTAATTAATTAATTTTCATATAAATTCTCGATTTATTTAATTTTTACACTTTCTTCATTAAAATTTCTTTTATATTTAGTTTTAAAATTCGTTCTTTTTAATTTCTTTTTTTAAATTTTGCAATGAGTCTTTTTTATATTGTAAAATTATTAAGTATTTTTGTTAATTAAAAACTAGTTTATTAAAAGTAATTCTTCTTTAATTTTTCAGTCAGTAATTCGACAAGTCTATTGGCGATATTCGGAGATATTTCATCGTCTATTAAATTTCGCCGACGATTGCATCTTTCACAATCCATTCCAAATGTTAAGAAAATGTTTAGGACAATTATTGGCAACAATTTATGCCACTGATTTACAAATAGAAGACATTCCGTCCCAAACTCGTCCACGAGCGCAAACATTAATCGACAAATTAGCACCAAAATTACAAATGCTCGCCGAAAATTCCAATTTAATTGAAGGGAAAAAATCTCTCACATCGGGTGTGGCGAACGTTCGTCTAGACGAGGAGACCGAAGAGGATAAAGAGCGTACGGCTGCTATTAAAATATTCAAAATAATCTGTGATTGGATGGTAATTATTAATTTTTATAAATTTTTATTTTACTTTTAAAATTTTTTTCTTTTTTTTTCTTTTTCTTTTTTTCTTTTATAAATTGAACAATATTTTTATTTATTTTTTTTTCAGAGAAATAATGCAATTTCAAATCGACTCAATATGCATCCGAGTTTCTATGAATTTTTTCTCACACTTTGTCAATTGGAAAACTGTGATACGGACGATGAATTGGCATCATTGTGCTCGGGAACATTGTCGGCACTTGGTAGAATTACAATAAAAATGAATAACGTTCCGAAAATGTTGAAAGAAATATTGAAAGCCTCACGTAATACTTCCTGGTGGGTGAAAGCTTCGACACTCGATTTTCTAGAAGTCTTTGTATTTCATAATATGAGTATTTTATTAAGTCAAAATGAATGGATTTTAACAATACAAGAAACTGTACTTCGACTACTCGAGGACGAGAGGCTCGAGGTTAGGGAAAAATCGTCACAAGTCTTGGGTGGATTACTTCATTGCGCCTTTATTCCAGATCGAGAAACATTACTGGTAATAACAAAAAATTCCCTTTTTTAGATTTTACTTAAAACTAAAAATTAAATTTTTCATAACTATATGAATCATTACAAGAATTTTTAACTAAAATTCAAAACTTAAAATAATATTTTAAAAATTCAATTAAACTTTTTCAAAAAAATTAATTTCAAAATTCAATTATTCGCAAATTATTCAATTAAATATATATTTGAAAATAAAAAATTGCCAAAAATATCTGCAATTAAAGATTCTCAAAAAAAATTAATTCTACAGAATTGTTAGTTACAAATATGAAAAATTCAAATTTCCAAAAATTCAATTATTTGCTGAAATTTTAATAAAATTCTTTGCATAAATTCAATTATTTTCAAAAATTTTAATAAAATTCATTGCAAACATTCAATTATTCTCAAAAATTTTTACAAAATTCTTTTAAATATTTCAATTATCTTTATAAATATTAAAATTATTTTCATAAAATTTAATTATTTGCAAAAATAATTAAATCCCTAAGAAGAATTTGATTGTTTTTGAACAATATTTAATTTTTACGAAGAATGTTTTACTCTTGAAAATAATTGAATTTCTGCAATAATTTGAAACCTTTACAACATTAAATTTTTTTTCGTGTTTTTAACTAAAAATTCTTCTATAAATCCATTGTTTATAATACATTTTTCTACTTTTTTATGGCATTTAGCTTTAATATTTTTGGGCTCTTGAAAAATACTTTACTTACTTAATAGTCTCGACTCTTTGGTAAAAAATCTAAAATTATCGAAAATTATCAAAAATTCAAAAATCCGAATTTCTAAAAATTCAACATTTTTCCTTCTTTTTTATGGCATTTAGCTTCATTATTTTTGTGCTCTTGAAAAATACTTTACTTACTTAATAGTCTCAACTCTTTGGTAAAAAATCTAAAATTATCGAAAATTATCAAAAATTCAAAAATCCGAATTTCTAAAAATTCAACATTTTTCCTTCTTTTTTATGGCATTTAGCTTCATTATTTTTGTGCTCTTGAAAAATACTTTACTTATTTAATAGTCTCGACTCTTTGGTAAAAAATCTAAAATTATCGAAAATTATCAAAAATTCAAAAATCCGAATTTCTAAAAATTCAACATTTTTCCTTCTTTTTTATGGCATTTAGCTTCATTATTTTTGTGCTCTTGAAAAATACTTTACTTATTTAATAGTCTCGACTCTTTGGTAAAAAATCTAAAATTATCGAAAATTATCAAAAATTCAAAAATCCGAATTTCTAAAAATTCAACATTTTTCCTTCTTTTTTATGGCATTTAGCTTCATTATTTTTGTGCTCTTGAAAAATACTTTACTTATTTAATAGTCTCGACTCTTTGGTAAAAAATCTAAAATTATCGAAAATTATCAAAAATTCAAAAATCCGAATTTCTAAAAATTCAACATTTTTCCTTCTTTTTTATGGAATTTAGCTTCATTATTTTTGTGCTCTTAAAAAATACTTTACTTATTTAATAGTCTCGACTCTTTGGTAAAAAATCTAAAATTATCGAAAATTATCAAAAATTCAAAAATCCGAATTTCTAAAAATTCAACATTTTTCCTTCTTTTTTATGGCATTTAGCTTCATTATTTTTGTGCTCTTGAAAAATACTTTACTTATTTAATAGTCTCGACTCTTTGGTAAAAAATCTAAAATTATCGAAAATTATCAAAAATTCAAAAATCCGAATTTCTAAAAATTCAACATTTTTCCTTCTTTTTTATGGCATTTAGCTTCATTATTTTTGTGCTCTTGAAAAATACTTTACTTATTTAATAGTCTCGACTCTTTGGTAAAAAATCTAAAATTATCGAAAATTATCAAAAATTCAAAAATCCGAATTTCTAAAAATTCAACATTTTTCCTTCTTTTTTATGGCATTTAGCTTCATTATTTTTGTGCTCTTGAAAAATACTTTACTTATTTAATAGTCTCGACTCTTTGGTAAAAAATCTAAAATTATCGAAAATTATCAAAAATTCAAAAATCCGAATTTCTAAAAAATTCAACATTTTTCCTTCTTTTTTATGGCATTTAGCTTCATTATTTTTGTGCTCTTGAAAAATACTTTACTTATTTAATAGTCTCGACTCTTTGGTAAAAAATCTAAAATTATCGAAAATTATCAAAAATTCAAAAATCCGAATTTCTAAAAATTCAACATTTTTCCTTCTTTTTTATGGCATTTAGCTTCATTATTTTTGTGCTCTTGAAAAATACTTTACTTATTTAATAGTCTCGACTCTTTGGTAAAAAATCTAAAATTATCGAAAATTATCAAAAATTCAAAAATCCGAATTTCTTAAAATTCAACATTTTTTCTTTCTTTTTATGGCATTCATCTTCATTATTTTTGGGCTCTTCAAAAACACTTTACTTATTTTATAGTGTTCACCCTTTGGTAAAAAATTTAAAATTATTAAAAATTATCAAAAATTCAAAAAACCGAATGTCTTAAAATACAACATTCAGGGTTCCTACAGAAATCCGAACTTAAAATTCTATACCTTTTCCATGATTTCCAAGTCAAATTTTTAGGAAATTCCAGTGAAATTTTAAATTTAATTTCCACTTCGTATAATATTTATATATTTTATCTTAAAATTTCTCATTGAATTTCTATTGAAGAGAAAAAATGGAAAAAAAAGAATAATTTAGAAACTTAGAAATTCCAGGCCATTTCCATGATTTTCCTGATTTCCAGAAGCCTTTTAAAAATCCCATACTATTTCCTTGATTTCCATGATTTCCAGATTTTGTAGGAACCCAGTTTATTATTTACGAAAATAATTGAATCCACGTTAAAAATTTTATTATTTATGAAAATAATTGACTGATTGCGAAGAAATTTATAAAAAAAATTTGTAAATAAGGAAATTCCTATGAAATTTTTATCATTTTTTTAAAATAATTAAAAGTTTGTGTAGAATTTTATTAAAAATTTTTTTAAATAATTGAATTCTTTTGGAAAATTTTATCAAATTACCTTTTTTTTAATCTTACACCTCAAAGTAAAAAAAAATATTTCCCTTTCTTTATGTTTAATAAAATTACAGGAAGAATTTAAAGTGAAATCGAGAACGAGAATACGAAAGAGAATGAATAAAATTGCGCAGGGCGCAGCTGAGAGGGCAAATACAGAAGAAATAAATGCTGTTGTTAAAAGGCACGCGGGAATTTTGGGATTGTGCGCTTTTATTCAAGCTCATCCCTACGATATTCCCAATTACGTGCCCTCAATTTTCGAACACCTGGGATCTCATCTTCACGATCCTGAACCAATTCCTGTAAGTTGATAATTTTAATAATTAATTTTACTTTACATAGTAAAAAAAAATTACAATTTTTATTTTTTTTTTAAAAAAGGCCACAATTAAGAAAACAATGGGTAATTTTAAACGAACACATTATGACGGTTGGAGTGAACACGCTCAACAATTCACCGAAAAACAATTGGAGGTACTTCAAGATTTAATAGTTCCGCCTCCACATTACACGTAATTAAAGTTAGTGTCTTTTTTTATTATTTTAAATGACATGACTAATTGTAACTATTTTTTTGAGTATTAAGAGGAACAGAAAAAGAGAAAACAAAAATTATAATTACTTTTATTTCTTTAAAAGTCGTGTAAAAAAATATTATTATATAGTTGACTTTTATGAATTTATAATATTATGTAGAGAACTGTGCAAAATGTAATTGTCTTTTTTTAAAAAAGAAAATGTAGTAAAATATTTTCAAAACAAAAATTTTAATTTATTTCTATTCGATTAACCCTTATATATTAGAATAATATTAGAAATCTTTTTAATAATTTTAATTTAAAATTAGAAATTTTTTTACTTAAAAGAAAGTTAGAAAACATTTTTTTTTTGTTTTTTTCGTATTTTGTCGAAGGTTTGAAATCTTACAACTTGAAATCATTGTAATAATTTGAAAGAAAAGAAATGCTTTAATATTTAAATTATTTACTTACATATATATTTACTTTTAATATTTTATACAATAATTATTTACAAGAAAAACTTAATAATAATGGAAATAATTACTGGTCAGTCAATTTTCGTTTCCTGCTTGGTATCGAATTCATTTTTAGGCGATAAATTCGTTTGTCGTTTGCGTTCCTCGGCTTTTCGTAAATTAGCGAGAACCATTTCTTCGAAGTCAATTTTTGTTGTTTTTTCTTCGCCATTTGTAAATGATGATGATGTTGATGATGATTTTGAAGGAATTTTATTTGTTTCTTGAGATCCACTACTCGATTGCGTTGAATCACTTGAATCCCAGAGGCCTTTTAAAATTAACGGACTTCCCGCGAGGCCGGTTTCAGCTTCTGTTGCCAATTTCTTTACAAAATGATAATTTTAATTAGATACATTTTTCAATAATTATTATAAGAATAATATTAATAATAAAAAAATATTTTGTCAAAATTTAAAAAAAATGACTTACTGCACTTTCCGAGTCAAGATATTGTACCATCGCTCTTCCCTTCTTCCCTGATAGAACAAGTGCTGATATTTCTCCGTACTGAAAATTTAAAAAAAAATTTTTGTTCTCTTCTTTTTTATTAAATTCTTAAATTATATAGTTACATTTTCTTTTGCTTAGTTATAAAATTGTATTTAGTTTTAATAAATTATAAGCCCCAATATTCAAATATTTAAATAAATAAACAAGAAGCCATTGTTAAATCAAGAATAGAAGCTGATTCCCCCCTTCAATTCTTAAGGTTCCAATAGAAACCTTTTTGCAGGCTTCACACTCAATAATTAATTTTAAAGAAGTTATATTAAAATTTTTAAGAAATAATTGAATTTCTGATAAGAATTGTTTTATTAATAAAAATAAATAAAATTCTTAGAAGAATTTTATTAAAATATTTGAAAATAATTACATTTTTTTTGAGTAATTTCTTTAAATCTTTTAAAAATAATGTAGTTTTTTCTAATAATTTGAAATAAAAATTTTTAAACGTACTTATATTTCACTAAGAATTTCTCTCAATTTCTTAAAATAATATAGTGTTTGTTAGCTATTGCAATTGAAAATTTTATTATTGAATTTTATTAAAATTTTTTTGGAAGTAATTGAATTCTTTTAAAGAATTTAATTAAAATTTTAAAAAATTGATTTTTGAAGTAGAAGAAGAAAGAAAGTTATTAAAATTGTATTAAAAATGATTGAATTCCTGAGAACAATTTTATTATTTATGAAAATAATTGTTTCAAAGAATTTTATTTGAATTCTTTAGAATAATTCTTTTATTTCAACTATTAGCAGAATTTAATGTGTGCAAATTTTCAAACGAAAAAAAAAATAGAATAAAGTAGCTTTTAGTAGCTTGGAATCCTTGCTTCCAAGATAGAAAGCCATTGTTAAATCAAGAATAAATGCTGATTCCCCCCTTCTGTTCTTAAGGTTCCAATAGTAGCCCTTGCTTCCAAGATAGGAAGCTATTGTTAAATCAAGAATAGAGACTGATTCCTCTCTTTTATTGCTGGAGATTCCAATAGGAACCCTTGCTTCCAAGATAAGAAGCTATTGTTAAATCAAGAATAGAGACTGATTCTCCCGTCCTTTTATTTTGCAAATGATACCTTTCAATATACCAAAGTATACAATGCGTTTCTGTGCTCCATTTTACTTTAATCATCGCTCTCCTCTTTATCGTATGTGCTCATATATGACTGATTTATTTCTTCAAAATGAAGATGAAAATTTAGATTTATTTTGTACATCTTTGAATGAGTTTGTAATTGCTGCACATAAGTATTTAAAACAATCGTCGTGATTTGTTGACGATTCGCTATTGAGTTGTAATTTTTAAGTTTACATTTTGTAGTCCTGTTATTGCGGTTTTTACCGTTGGGCTTGGTCTTCTTCAAATAAATAAAATAAATAAACACTTCCCCTTCCGACTTAAATCTGAAAAAAATCTTAAAAATTCTGTAAATGAAATTTCAAAAAAGTTTGATAATAATTACCTTTGACAATATTTCATAAAGTGTCGAATAGTCATAATTTCCTTCCTTCCATCTTATTTTTATTCTACAATTATTCTCATTGTATTTTGCACTTTTACTTAATTCGTCAATAACTTGTTGTCTCATTTTTTTCAATTCCTCTTGCATTTGCTCCAAATTTTCTTGTTCCACTCGTTCAACTGACGCCTTAAAATGTAAAATTATTAATTTATTTCCAAAGATTAAAAATTTATTTACCTTTATATTTTAAACTTTAAATTATTCCTCTTCGTTTTTTTCTACCTTAAACCTTTGCTCTTCATTTACTGGTGATCCTCTTCGTGCCGCTGCCTCACGATATTCCAAATCATTGATAAGTTTCTGTCGTTTTGCATCGCCCTGTTTAGCTCGAAGTTTTGCTTGAAGTTTTGCATTAACTATTTTATCGTACCTTGCCTTTTTGTTAACGAAATAAAAAATTAGAAATTTTCATTTAAAAAATTACAGTAATTTGTGATAATCTACTTAATTAATAATTAAGAAATTACTAAAACTGCAACAATTAAAGAATCTATAAATAATCAGTATGAAATTAACTTTTTAATTATTTAGAAACAAAAACAAATTTTATTAGTTAAAATAAACGAAATTATACAAAAAAATGTTTAAATACGTCCAAAGAACGTTAAATAACATAACCTCAAAATTGGATTTTTAATGAAAAACCCTATAAATTTGAAAGGTAAAAAATTTTAATAACTTACCCTCGATGCGGGGTCGGTTAAAAATAATAATGCAGCTTTTAATTCGATAAATAATGCCGCAGCATTCGGATTATTTGGATTTTTATCCGGATGGCAAATAAGCGATTTTTTACGAAACGCTTTTTGAATCTGTAATTAAGACAAAAAAATTGAATTAAAGCAAGAGAAATGACAATGAAGTGATAAAATATCATAGAAAATATAAAATAAAGTATTTTATAAACTATTTTTTTTAAACTATCAATATATAAATCTGAAAAAAGAAACAATAACAATTAAAAACAAATTACCTCCTTTTCTGTCGCTGTTGGTTCAACACCAATTATTTTATATAAATCCATATCTATTAGATTATCCATTTTTTTGTGAGAATTAACTATTAAACTTTAAACTATACAAAGGACAAACGTTTTAAATAATTTTTTCTTTTTTCACTAAAAACTAAATCCCACTAAAAAACAGAAAAAACGCGACGTAAACATTGAGTATCACATTGAAGTTATCTGCGAATACTGATTCAGAATTACCAATCGTTTTCGATTTATTTACAAAATATCCCTAGCAGCTTGTAATGCCAACTTTTTAAATTGAAATATTAAAAATAAAAAATGTAGTTTTACCAGGTTTTACAATTTTTACCTTCTCATTTTAATCAACTTTGTCTAAAATCTTCTTCAAAAACAAGTTTTTTTTAATTATTATATTCTACTCCTTTCCCATATAATATGGAAAATTCAGCAAACTAAATTAGTTAGGGAATTTAACAATTCTATATTTAAGGTTTGTCACATTTGTGTCACTATTTTATGTCCTGAACACGATGCGCACGATGCTAAAAAATCGTGGCGACTTAACCTAAAATGATTAAGTTATTGAGGTTATTGAGTTCATTATAAGATATATATATATGTGTGTGTAGAAAAATTTATCATTTTCTTCTGTAAATATAGTAACAAAAAAAAGAGCCGAGATAATTCAAATTTTTTTTAGTGTATAGAAAAATGACTCTTGCTCTTCATAATTTTCGCAATATTTGTAGATGTTCGTTAGTTAATTTTATACAAAAGTCACAATGTCACACGCTTAATACAGGTATTTATAAATTTTTCTTCTATATATGATGTAAAATTTGATCGGAAAAATTATTATTTAGAGTATATTGTTATTTATCAATAATTGAAAATTAACCTAAAAATTAAATCACCGCCATATTAAATGCGATGATATTGTAGCAAATTTGCAACTTTGTGCCTTTTTGTTTCATTGTCTTTTTTTCAATGATTAAATGAATTAAATTAAACAATTAAATTTTCTATTATCAATATTTATGATTTTGGATTTATTTTTAAAATATATTTGATGTATATTTAAAATTTCTTTAACGAAGTATAAATATTTGTTTATTGAAAAAAAAGTATTAAACAAATTTTTTGCAGTGCAGAACAATTTTTTTTGTTTTATTGAAAAAAATTTCCATAATGCATTATTGAAAGAAAAACAAAATTGGTTGAGAAGAATAAATAATATAAAGTTATTTGGGATAATAGTGAATTTACAATTTAGTTGATTACTTATTTAAACTTATGTAATAAATTATTTTATAAAGATAGAGTTGAGAATGAGGTTACAAGATTATATTTTCTTAAAATAAATTTTTATTTTCTTATCATTTTTTTAATTTTATTTTCATTCTGCAGAAAATTGTTTCGAATTTGTTTAAAAACTCTGACGTTGCTAACATAACCTTGTTAAAAGGTCATTAAACGTAAAATCTTATTAGTCTGCAGCAGGAGTCGAATCCAACCATCAAAACCTGAGATAATTTATCTAGATTTGGCAAGGGTCCTTGTAGCATATGAACTAACTAAAAAAATGCCTTTAGTTAGAAAAGGATAGACATATCTTCGTCCTTTTCTTACTAATGAGAATTTTTAGTTGGTCCACATGCCACCAGGATCATTGCCGGCAGAGTAAATTGTGAGATATTAAAAAACGTTGCAGATTAAATTGCCACCAAAAAGGATTAAAATAATCCATTTTTGGGTTATTTTTTACTATGACTTAAATTTTACTTCAAATCAAAACCAAGTCAACGATTACTAACTAACTAAGTAACAAACTAACTAATTAACAAACTAACTAATTAACAAACTAACTAATTAACTTACTAACTACCTTACTAACTAACTGACTAACTTACTAAGTAACTTACTAACTAATTTACTAACTAACTAGCTAACTAACATATAAACCTTATTACTAATTAACTTACTAATGGGGTCATTCACAAACTACGTCACGCTTTTTCGGACTGATTTTTACCCCCTGCCCCATCGTCACATTTTTTCTACACTTCGTCACACACAGCTTGACACCCCCCTCCCACCTTTAGGAGTGTGACGACCTTTATGAACGACCCCTACCTAACTTACTAACTAACTTACTTAACTTAGTTTCTTACTAACTAACTTACTTAACTTAGCTTCTAACTTACTTACTTACTTAACTTAGCTTCTAACTAACTTACTAACTTACTTAACTTAGTTTCTAACTAACTAAGTAACAAGTTTACTTAGTTACAAACTAATTTACAAACTAACTAGCTAACTAACTTGCAAACCTTATTACTAATTAACTTACTAACTTACTTACTTAACTTAGTTTCTAACTAAGTAACTAGTTAACTTAGTTACAAACTAATTTACTAACTAACTAGCTAACTAACTTACAAACCTTATTACTATTTAACTTACTAACTAACTTACTAACTTACTTAGTTAACTTAGTTTCTAACTAAGTGACTAGTTAACTTAGTTACAAACTAACTCACTAAACTATCACTGAAAAAAGTTCTGGTTGGAATTACCAGAAAACCTGTTTCTATTTAGAATTGCGTGTTAAAGTTAGTTAGTTAGTTAGTTAATATCTCTCATAAGTGTGGAATGTTTGTTTTTTATTATAATTTGACGAAAACTTTTTAATTTTTGACGCGTTAGTATGTTTACGATGTTCTAACCAAACCTAGGTATATTATTATTGTTTATTAATGAAAATAGTGCTTTTTTAGTCCTTGATAAAAAATACTGATGTGTAACTTAATTATTTAATAAAATCTTTTTAGCCTGATGAGGTTGGCAAACCCTAGCCAACGAAACGTCGCATTAACGACACACTTTTGAATTTTTTATTCAAATCTTACCTTTCCAAGATCATATATAATTTCAACATTAAAAAAGTTTGTTAGTTAGTAAGTTAGTTAGTATGTTAATCAGTAATTAAGTTTGTAAGTTAGTTAGAAAGTTAGTTAGTTAGTTAGTTAGTAATTTAGTAAGTTAATTAGTTAGAAAGTTAGTAAGTTACTTAGTAAGAAAGAAAGTTAGTCAGTATGTTAATTGGTAATTAAGTTTGTAAGTTAGTTAGTTAGATCCTTAGTTATAAAGTTTGTTAGTTAGTATGTTAATTAGTAATTAAGTTTGTAAGTTAGTTAGAAAGTTAGTTAGTATGTTAGAAACTTAGTTAACTCGTTAGTTAGTAAATTTGTTAGTTAGTAAGTTAGTTACTAACTATTGTCCCTGGTGAAGCTAAATTCGTAGAATTTTGACAAATCATTGACTTGGTGTTTGATTTAAAGTACAATTTCATTCATAGTAAAAAATAATACCAAAATTATAGAGTATTTCAATCCTTTCTGGTGTTAATTTAATCCAACAGGGATTAAACTGTTGCAGATTATTTTTAATCCATTCTGATGTAATTTTAACACCTCACAATAGGGTTTAATTTAATCTTCAATGAAAAATTCATATTTAATTTTTAAAAAAAACTGTTTCAGACGTACTGCCAAAATCAGTTTACAAACAATTGGGCGAGCAGCCCGGAGAAATATTTTCATTCATAAAAAATAATCATGGTTATCTCAGTGGTCAGCATTATGTGCAAGCTCTTAAAAAATTACAAAAAATGTCATTCAAGTCAAAAGATTTAAAAAATAACAATGACTTCGTCGAGCTTTGCAATGAATTGAAAAAACAAATAACAACACTCGACGTCTCTGAGGCTGTTCTTGCAATAAATGCATTAACAAAACTGAATGTTGAAAAAAATACGGTTATTTATGAATCACTATTGCAAATAATTCGTTCAAACATTAATTCATTGGTACTGGAGGATGTGATAACTCTTCAATTAGATTTACAAAATGCTCCTAAAACACATTTAATCAATGCCATTTTAACTGCCCTGCCGACAATATTTGAAATACAATTGCCACGCATTGAGAGGGATAATATTCACTTACTAGCATCTTGTCTTCTTTTTGTCACCAAACAACAATCGAAAAATTACAATACAATACAATTTTTGCTCGATACAATTTCTGATTATCGTAATGAGATACCATTAATATCGGCGAAATTTATTTTAAAATCTATAAGATTTCTTCCAAATTCGGAGAATACGCATAAACGACTATTGAAACGGATACAGAATGTTATTATCGGTCAAATTGATTCGGTTTCATTTAATGACGCAATGGTTATATTGAAGTCGATACAATTTCATACCAAGTGAGTATTTTCTTCTGTTTTACCGACAGAACATTTAGTCTAATTACATCTATATAGTTCTTCTCCTTCAAAAATTTTTTCTCTTCCAGAAATGTAAAGGCATTCTACAATGAACAAATGGTAGACACTCTGGTGAACGATGTGATAATTAAAAGAGACGTTGGCCTAGAGAAGGGAATTGAGGCACTCGAAAAATTAGTGATAATCGGACACGAGCAATTTGCTCTTCTCGATTACATAGCAATGAAATTTTTGGAATTATCAATGTCCACAAATTATCAATCTCTCAATATGTTGGCTTCATTTGTTTCCGCAATGGCAATGAGTGACTATAAACCAGTATTTTGGGACAAAATTCAAGAATTAATATTAGAAAACACAGCCATTGTGTCGTATGAAAATTTATTGCAAATAGTCTTCAATTTGGCAGTTCTAGATTGTTATTCCGATAAATTACTACAAAAAATTTTCGAATGCAATAAAAACGTAAGTGAGAAGAAAAAAATAAAAAAAAAAAAAAAAATTTATAACTAATAATGAAAATTACTTTTTAGATCGAATTGATGACTAGTGATCGTAAGGAGAAAATTTTAAGGTTGTATCAATTTACAAAGACACTCTATAAAAATTACGATGGTCCACGTCCATTGGAAGATAAATTTGATCTATTGGCCGATTGGGATCAATATGGTGGTCGATATCCTCACTTATATAAAGCACTGGAAATTGCCATCGGCGGTTCACAATTTATCGAGACCCGAGTGGGAACAAAGTTCGGTCATTTTATTGGTAAATGAATTTTTCAATTTTTTAAAAAAATTACTTTAGACTACCATGTTTTTCTAAATTAAATTTTTCTTTAAGATTACGTAATACTTTTGAATAAGGAAACTGCCAAACCAATGCCCATTAGTTACAAAAGTAGTCAAAAAATTGAAAAACCAACGATGGATATTATTAATCTAAAGCCAATTACATATTTAGAGGATATCTCCATTCCCGAGGATAGTCAAGTGTAAGTAATTTCTTAATTTTTAATTCTATTTTAAGAGTTTAAAAATTTGTTTTTTCAAATTTAAAGTTTAAAATTACTTAAAAGACAAATTAATTCTGTAGTTTCCAATCTATGTTCTGTCGGTAAAACAGAAGAATATTTAAGCGCCAAATTTTAAATAAATTTTTTGCAATCTTTTAGCCTCCTATTTGTGGATATTCCAATAGATGGTTTTACAATAAATACAATGCAATTGAAAGGCAGTTGGAATTCGTATATGAAAACTTTAGAGGCCATGAATTATTTAGTAATTCCAATATGTTCACACAGATGGTTACAATTGAGCGATAAGGAAAAAATCCCATACTTATTGCACGCAATGCGATTAAAGTGTGCCGTTAATCAACATCAATTGTAAAGTGAGAAAAAAAAATTAGAAACGAAAGAAAGAAAAATCAAGGTAACTTAGGTACAAAGTTAAATTTTCTGTTTTTGTTATTACTCTATAAATTGTTCTATTTTTTTCAAATATGCTCATTAACAGATTCTCAGAGTTTTATATTCATATTCATTATTCATATTGATATACAAACATATAAATATGTAAATGTTTCATTTTCGTACTTACAGTTGAATCATTTATAAATTTATAAATTTATTGATAAATTTATAAATTTAAAAGTGCCTCCTTACTTATACAATAGGTCTGCGATTTTATTTCGAAATTTTTAACATTGGACTTTCTTTTTTATTGGAAATAATTTTTATAATCGAACAGCCATCTATGTTATGTCGGTAAAGTAGAAATAAAGTGATTTCTATAAACTTTCTTTCCGCAAAAAGAAAAAAAATCTGCTAAATTTTAATTTTAAGTTCTACTTTTTTGAAAATAGTATAAAAATTAAAATTTCTTCAATTTAGAACTAATTTGTATTAATTTGCCTCTATAATCTATATAGGAAATAATTTTTGTCGAAAATAAAATTAAACTAAATAAAAAAACTTCAAAATTGAAAAAAAATTACTTTGGAAACGTTCATAAACTACGTAGCACGTCTAGGGGGAGGGGGGGGGGTCAAGCAATTGTCTACCATAAGAGGAAGAAATGGCGCTAATACATGTAATTGCGTCCACGTGGGGGGAGGTGGGGGGGTTAAAATTTCCAAAAAATTGGTCTACGTAGTTTATGGACGTTCCCTTTCGAAAGAAGGGTTTAAGTGACAAGGATGCAAGAAAAAAATTTTTTTTTTAATCTTGTATACAATTTATTTGATAGAAAAATATTTTATAACAATAACGTACATTTGATTAAAATTGTACTATATATATATAACTATATAAGCTCCATAAGTGCTTTCTGCACTGTTCAGAAAGGAAACAAGAGAGATTTTATTTTTTAAAAAAAAATATTTACCGCTTACAAAAAATATATATATTGTAAATATACAAATTAAAAAGAAAAATTGACTAAAAATAAAAATAAAGTGAAATATAACTTCATTTTTAATAAATTGATTTTAAAATACTCCTTTTCTGATCGTAAACTATTTTTTAAATGAATCACATTTTAAAGTGTTTTTAGTTTTTCTTTGAAAAAATAAAGAAAAAAATAATTAGCGATTGTGATTTTTTTTTTCATAGTGATAATCTCGTTTGTGCTTGTGAAAAAAAGTCATTTTTTTCTTGTGTGAAATCAAGATGATATGATTTCTAGTTACATTTGTTTAACTATATTTCTAAAAAATATAAATTATGCAATATGCACCAATTTTGTTTTTTTTTCACAAATTTTTTCCCTCATTGTGAGATGAATATATATTTATGATTTTGGCAAGAGCGGAAAAAATAAGTGAAAATCGAAACAAATGAGACGCGCGCTGAAGAAAGGTACCTAAGAAGTAAGGGATTTTAAGGTTATGTTTGTTATTTTTTACCTCTGAGGTTCTATTTAATTTAAAATCGGTTTCTATCGAATATTTTGCTATCAGTGAAGACCAGTGGTTTAATTTTTAAAAAAATGAACATAACCTAAAATTGATACCTTTCTTCAAGGCGCGTCACGTATTTTAAAAATAAAAAAATATGATTGTTCCACAATTACGCCTAACCTAGAAACGTTTTTTTATAGTTACAATTACCATAGCAACTGCTGTCAACAATTCCTATGGTAACGCACTTTCTCTACTTATATTCATTTTTAAATTATATTTTGAATATCAATTTCTTACGGAGGAGGAGAATTTCGCAGTTTAATAATTTTTTTCTCTAGTAACTAAACGCCCCCCCCCTTCTCCTTAACATGGAACATATAGTCTTATTAGCATAAAGCAAATCTTAGCTGCAAAAATTCATTCCGGATGAATTTACAATTTGTTCCTAAAAAAAAATTATATTTGCAAATTGATATATATAAAAGAAGCACCATTTTTTTTTTTGCGAAAGAAAACATTTATCATTGATCTAAACCGAAGAGTTTTAAGGCATTGAAGGCGGTGGCCAATGCGACCTCTTCGGGTGTTATTCGCATGAATGCGGCAACCATTTCGACCACGGCTGGCAATGCGCATGGCTCATTTCGTTGAAATGTACAATATCTTTGTAGAAATGTTAATGAACGTTCGGTGAGTGCATCCTTCACGTGTGGTGGTAATTTACTTGCTCTTGTATTTGGATACATGAACGGTGCATCAGTCTCAACGAGAAGTCTATCGAGGGGTGCTTGACCGCCTTCTAATAATTGTCGTACGCCACTGTCGGATTTATCTTTACATAAATAGCCCGTGATGCCGAGATAATAACCCTGATCGAGATAAATTTGCGCCTCCTCAGCTGTGCCAATGAATGAATGCACTAAAATCGGTGGTAATCGATCTTTATATTGATTTAATACCTCAATCACGTCCGTTTGTGCGCCACGCTCATGAATTATTAACGGTTTATTTAAACGGCACGCCAGCTCCACCTGGTGAAATAATTTTTATATATTTAATAGGACCCCTAAGAGCATATAATTTTTAAATATTTAATAAACTAAATGTTTCACAAATTGCAAATTGATTGCTATGGCAACTAACGCAATTTGTGAAATATGCTCTTAGGGGTCCTATTGAAGAAAGACCTTAAAGACCAAGAAAGAATAGATTTGCGAACGCAAAGAGGACACAAACACATCACTATCCTTTTCTATCCCACGCTTTGCGTTCCTAAACTCATTCCACATTGGTCTCTTTATAAAAATCTAAGCTTACTCTTTAGACTAACTCAAAAGTATTAAGTTTAAAAGTATTTAAAGTATTCTTGTAGTTTTATAGAATTTATCGAAAAGAAAGCGGTCACCTGTTTGTGAAAAACGGAACGTTGTGCCTCGGGTTCGGAAAAATCGCGATTATAATCCAAGCCACATTCACCAATTGCGACACACTCGGGATTAGCGGCAATTGCCTCCAATTCCTCGAGTGTATCGGGATCCTCCCATGATTTTGCATCGTGTGGATGAACACCGGCTGTCGAGTACAATGTACCTGGATAAATTCTCGTCAAACGAAGTGCCTCCTTACTTGAACGAATACCAGCACCGGTGACCATTATTTTTTGAACTCCCGCGTCCTTTGCCCTTTGGACAACACTGTCCAAATCGCGAATATATTTTTTATTGGTCAAATTTGCACCAACATCGACGAGCACATAATTCTCATAGCACTGTGACATTTTTGATGTTTCCTTTAATTCACCCGTATTCGAGGCGCTTGCGTTTTCATCCATTTTTATGTATCTTCAATCTGGAATTTGTAATATATTACATTAAATATTTATATATTAATTAATAAATAAATATTTTCTTCTACTTAAGAAGCATAATAATTTGTAGGTTATGTTCGTTACCGTTTTAGTTTGAATATTCTTTTTTAAACGCATCTAAAATGAAAAATAGTTCCTATCGAATATTTTACAGACTTAAATTAGTTTGAATTGAGACTTGACTTAAAATTTTATGAGACGATTGGCTATACTCAAAAAAGTAATTTCTAGTTCCGCCCCTGATCGTAAATGTTCGAAAAATAAAATTTATAAGTATTTCAAAACAAACCTCTGAACTTGTTCTAAATTCATCTTTTTAAGAGACTTAAATCTCTTAAAATCTTTCTTAAATCTCTTTTAAGTAAATAAAAAAAGTAAATTTAGGTAAATTTTTACAAAATTTACTTAAAAACAATTTTTTGAAAATTTAGAACTTTTTTAAATAGTGCCCCACTTATAATTAACATAAATTGTAAGTGGGTACTTCGAAATTTTTTTAAAAAGAACAAAAACTCAATAACTTAAAATTTTAAGAAAAACTATAATTAACTTTCTGGGAATACGGAAAACCTTTGGTAATTTCCACTTGTCAGTGTGTTTATATGATAGATAAGAATTTTTACAAAATTATTCAAATCTTAATTCTTAAATACAAAATTGTGCATTATATACTCAATAACCTCAATTATTTAACGAGTACAGGACCTATTGTATAACAAATTAACATTAATTATATTTCATATGAAAAAAAATTATAAGAATATTACTTACCTAACCTTAAAATACTATATATATGCACTATATAGATGGAAAACCAAGAATTTTTAAATATTGCACAAAGAAAATTTTTATAACACTAAATACACCTCATATTTAGATCATTGTATCACACAAGATTATGTCGGGGAAAAAAATTTTTATTGAAAACACCAGACGCAAAGGTCGCGGGAGAGGTTGTGAATCTTGTGAATAGCACCACTTCAGTAGCAGACACACATATACACACAGGAGTCCTAACCTTATAACCGTGAAGATTAATCTGCGCGCGGCCGCATGAGTCACGTCACGAAATAAAATATCAGGAATATCTTTTGCTCTTCCAAGACCCGGAGGCGTAATATATAGTATTGTGTATATACCTATATAACAATAACATTGAGGGGAAAAAATCTCCTTTTTCGGAGAAAACGACGATATTTTGCAATTTTAGGATTTAGTACAGTTACAGTGATAAAATTGCAACTTTCTCGCGAAAAGTATATGAATTTTATTTCGCGATGTCCCAGTAGCCGACCATTTACGATTTAAAATAATGTAAATTAATTTTTTAAAATAGTTTAATATTTCTGTCTTCGGAAGTAATATTATCAGTTTTATAATTTATATTAATAATAATCTTTTTTTATAATTGTTCTAAAATAATTATAAAATAATAGTGGACGGAAACTGGGACTTGATAGCAAATACAAAATAGATACGCGTTAATTCCAGGATTTACATTTATAGTTATTTTTAAGTTTAGTTATGTATTTGTTTTGTACAAAATGACAATTTTCATTTTACTATAAAAATAATATTATTAAATTAAAGGAAATTAATTTATCATTCGGCAGTTAAATATTAAAGGTGAAAGAAGCTATCAATTATCCGAATCAATTTTACAAATAAATTAAATATCTTAAATAAATCTCTTGATAAGCTCATGGGCTTCATATGTATCGAATTGATAGCTTCTTTCACCTTATTTAATAAAATATTATTAATATAATATTATACATTTATAATATATAAACACAAAAAATAGAATGCGTTAAATTATTATACTTGGGGCATGTCTTCAAATAGATTAACGGAAAAGGGATGTTTAAAGTAAAAAGTTTTTTATAGAAATAGCCGAGATAACTATGAGACAAAAGACAATTAATTAAAAGGGGTCAGAGATGGGTTGCAATATATGTCATCCTGGAAGATTCCGATCAGGGTTGGGGAACGCAAAATAACATCCTATAATTTTATCGTTTTATATAAACAAATCCTAATTAAAAAACTACTTGATGTATTTCATAAATTATATAGTAGAAATAAATTATTGTAAAATACAGATAATATAAATTAATATTGCATGCAGTAGGTTTGATTTCTAATTTTAAAAATAAAAACTATCTTCAAAATCGTGACTGAGGGTTGTAAATAAAATGTCACTTTCAAGGTTAAAAATACAATTATAATTGATGTTTTTTTAAACGAAAATTAATAAATAATCCCGGAAGGTCATTGGGTCATGAAATTGTTATTTTTGTCAAATGATTCCAAAACATGCGATCGCGAGGAGGAAGAATTAATTTTTTTTACCATGCGCGAAACGATAGTAGGTTTCAATTTACAAAAAGAAGGGTAAAAATTGAAAAGTTTCTGTTCTACTTTTCAAATGCGAATTTCTCTCTTATTCCTCTTCCGCAGGTATTGAACTATTCCGTCGTCAAGTAAACAATACCAATATATATATATTTTACCATTAGAATTTCGCGAAACCGGAAGGTGCATTCCTGCACTACCAGTCTTTCACTTCAAATACCAAAAGAATCATTTCGTTAGAGAATTTTAAATATTTTTTTCAAATTTTTTTCAAATTGTTTTTTTCCTAAAAATATGTTTTTACTAATTCTTCGTTCAACTCACTATCTCTATTTTAATCATCAGGTAAAATAAAATAAAAAGGATCTTTTTTGCAAAAATTATATGAAACTTATATTTCAGTTTTGGAAGATTCGGTATCGGTTGACAAAAACAAAAATAATATGAAGCAACGTCAAAAATGTTGTTCCCATTGTCCGGGCAAAATAGCAGCGTCCTTCGATCTCGAGGATCATTCTTGTCCATTGCCAACGTACATAAGTGGAAATTTAAGATTATCGTCGTTGAAAAATTATGTGCCTGGTGAAGAGGAACGCGCTGAGAGATTATCGGGAAAAACAGTGAAATCAACGGCTGAAAGATTGGACTCGTGCATGAATAGATTTGCAATTGCAAAAAAATTTCACGCCGAAAATCTTCAACATCAACCGTTACCTGATAAAGTTGATGACTCAATATTTACAAACGTCCGACCAACGAAACTAATGGAGAATTTGTGTTCAAAGTGTAAAGCCATCGAGAGGTAAGAGACGATTTTTCTTCTTCTTATCCCTTTATTCTCCTCGATGATTTTAGGAAAGAAACAATTAATAATCATTTTTATAATTTCACTCGCGAGATGTTGGGTTCACTGTATAGTTGGAGTATGCGCATTTTTCGATAGTTGTGATTCTTTTCCCAGACTCTTGATTTTTTTTGAAATATTCCAGATGCCAAAGAATAATTCCCCAGTTTAAGCGAGATGAAGCAAAACGTTTGGGGAAAAAATTCGGTCCCGTGTTGGGGTGCAAAAAGCCAGAGACCCATATGGACCTGGCGATTTGTTGGGAAACTCCAGTGAATCCGGAATACGAACCCCGACGAGCGTTGCACATTGATGGTACAGATGGGGGTCCAGCGCCTGCTGTTTTTACTCTAGTTCAACATTCGCTCACGTCCTCCGAGAAAATTGGACAACAATGTCAAGGTTGCAATCGGGAATTGAAGGTGTGGAACTTTTAGTTTTTTATAAAAATTATGGATCTTCTACGACAGACAATTTTATAATAATTTCTTTCTAGAAAGGCGAGCGCTATGCGGTAGATGAATTATTTCCCTCGGAACCGGTGGATCGTAGTTCGCCAAATGAGTTGGGAAATAATTGCGATTTGTGCACGAATTTCGATTCGATTCACATATCCGGTGGCGATGAGAAAAATATTTATTCCAAAAATACTGGATTTCGGCCAAGAGTAAAGCATGCGACTCAATTGCGGCATTGTTTGGCTTGTGATGCACTGGGAAAACCGTCGGGGAATACATATCAATCGCGATATATTCAATCGGCAAAGCATCATCGAAATTCACGGCGTAATGGAATGTCGAATAAATATCCAGTACCAAGGCCAAGAACACCATTTGCCCGTCGTTCTTTTTGTATTGACACACTGGCGCCGCCATTCAGTATTGTTCAGGGTTGTCGGGACGCCGATTATCCGGAGCACTGGCGATTGACTTCAGTTTATCAGCAGTCTTATCGTAATCCGAAAAAACAACGGGGTACGATTTTGAATTACGATCACTAGTATAGTTAAAGGGAACTACCATAAAGTAAGTGGAATTTGATTTGACAGACATTTCCCCATTTTCTTCTCCCACAAAGTAATCTTTAGCATTTATTCTTTCTTCAGTGCTGAAGAAAGCATTTATTCTTTCTTCAGTACTGAAGAAAGCGCATTTGGCATTTATTCTTTCTCCAGGACTGAAGAAAGTATTTAGCATTTGTTCTTTCTTCAGTACTGAAGAAAGCGCATTTAGCATTTATTCTTTCTTCAGTACTGATGAAAGCGCATTTAGCATCTATTCTTTCTTCAGGATTGAAGAAAGTATTTAGCATTTGTTCTTTCTTCAGGACTGAAAAAAGTATTTAGCATTTATTCTTTCTTCAGGACTGAAGAAAGCGCATTTAGCATTTATTCTTTCTTCAGTACTGAAGAAAGCGCATTAGCATTTATTTTTTCTTCAGGACTGAAGAAAACGCATTTAGCATTTATTCTTTCTTCAGTATTGAAGAAAGAAAGAAAGAATAAATGCTAAAGATTACTTCAGTCCCCGAAGGCCCGAATCATCAAATTTAGATTTGCTGATACATTGTTATGTAAAATTAAATTAGAAAAGAAGTATATAGTAGAAATAAATTAAATATTAGAAATTTTATACTGCAGAGGTAACAATTTAACAAAGCTGTATATGATTATACTTTCGTCTAACTGAATAATCCTCGAGAACCTCTAATATTACTGATGTTAACACTCTTCATTGGAAATGAAGTTTGTTCTGTATTAGTTGATTCTTCGGGCAAATTCATAAATTCCAATGTTTGTAGTGCAACTTTTTGCAAACGGTTCAAAAGACCTGGATAATTATTTATTGCTTGGAGAAAATTGTCACGAGATAATACAAACATTTCGCAAATTTCTATTGCATAAACACTTGCAATGCGCGTCTCGTTCTTCATTACCAATGAAATATCACCGAAATAACAACCGTCGTCTAAATGACATATCTAAAATATAAAATAGTTGTTGTATACAATTGTTAATTCTATGCGAATATCTAATTATTGTATAATGTAGTTAAATACTTTGTAGTGATTTTTAAAAAATTGTTAAATATGTTGTTTTCTTTGGAAATTGTAGAGAGAATTTGAATTTAAAATAAACTGAATTGACTTTATTGTTAGGAATTAATTGAAGGATCTCAATACCTGTTAGACGCCATTTCATAAATTTTACCTCTTTTCCTTTACTCGAATAAACGGCGACAGTTCCGGAAACAATATAAAAGAATAGTTCGCCAGGAGTATTTGCTTTAACAATTTCATCATCAGGCAAATAAATTTTCGGTTCAATGGATTCTGCAACTTTGATTTTAATTTCCTGCGGTAGATGTTGAAAGAGAACAACAGTGTCGAACAGTTTTTTACACCTATGCAGAATCAGTTCCTATAAGTATCGAAATATTAAATAATAAGTTAAATCAAACAAGTTTAGATATAGAAAATTTATGTCGCAAACTATAATTATAATTGAATCCCACAAGCAAAAATTTTGTTTTCAACACCTGACGAAGATGTGGAGTGACTTGGGAGAAGATAATTTTTTCTCTATCAAAATTTCGTTTATTATAATAATCATAATAGGCGAGGAGACGATTTTGCGTGTTTTCTGGTAATTCTTTCATTTTCATGAATTCACGTAATTGTCGAAGATGTTTGCTTCTTTTTTTAGTGGATGAATAATAGAGATTCGATATTTCAACGAACTTAACTAAAATTATCAATAAGAGATATATAGTATTTTACTTTTAAAATGAAATTACTCACTTTTTAACCCTCTGTCTACTCATGAGACCGTTATTGACTGAAATCGTCTATTTTGGATAACATATGGGGATTATGAAATTTTCATTTAATTTTTATTTTATTTATTTAGAATAGGTTCCTAGGGCTACATAGCTCTTCGAGCTAAATAGTTAGGATAAGTTAGCGTAGGTAGAGGGTTAAGAAATTTAGTTATATATTAATTTTTTTTTAGAAAATATTGAGAAGAAGATAATTTGCGTACATAATAAATATATAAATCCAAGTCTCCCAAACATTGATAATACCAAATTTAAAATCATGTCCTCTAGGGTAAAGACTGGTAAAATGTGCGAGGAGGAAACTAAAGCCGTTGTTGCTCGTTGTAAGGAAAATATATATTTTTGTATTCTACTTGTTTTACTTAACATCACCTCACTTAATATCCAGGAGCTGAAAATTAAATTTAATAATTATTTCTAAGCTACTGACCGCATGAAAAAAAGGCATTCGGAAAGAAATATTTTTTGAAAAAACTATTGGGGGTTGAAACTTTCAAATTTTTAAAAAAATTAAATTACATATATTCAGCTTTAAATATATATATTATATTTAAAAAATAAATTACTTTTTGCGTCCTGGGAGATTTGCAGATTTGTGAATGGCTTGTGGCACGTAATACTCCAAACAAGCGGACCAATGAATTGTTATTGAAACAATAAGCGTCAGTTTAATTATTTCGTAGTTTTTTATAGAGACTCGAAATGTCTGCAAATAATAAATTTTTGGATAAACAAGATTATGTTATTAGATAAATAAAATTCATCATATTTTATTTACATCTAAGAAACTCTGTCCCAACCCTATGAAACAATGTCATTTATATCTTCTCATTTGATTGATAATTATTTACCTTCTTCAAATATTCCGTACCTTTCATAATATTACGAAGTGTAATAATTTTCATAAAATTAAAAATTGGAATGTACCATTTAGTGTTTTCCATACCACATACAAGATAGTCTATGAGTTCTTCTGGAAATATTGTCAACAAATCAAGAAAAAAGTAGCTTCCAAAATATTTTCTGTTGCAGGGATTTTGAATTAAAAATTTATTTATTATATAATTATCATATTATATTATTATATTATATTATATAATTATATTATATTATACAATTATATTATATTATATTATATTATATTATATAATTATATTATGTTATATTATATAAATAAAAATTTAGATTAATGAATTTCAAGACTTACTGAGCGACAATTTTCATGTCAAAAATAACATTTCTCGTCTGTATATCATAATAACCGGTGAGAAAATTGAGTATTATATCAAGAAGAAAAATAATATCGATAAAAATTGTTATTGGATACCAATCTTTTTGCATTTCGAAATAAAATGCATTTAGAACTGGAATTACAAATAGGGCAAGAATAGTAAACGTAACAAGAAACATAACCCAACATACTCTGAAAGAAAAATAAAATTAAAATTAATTTTTTAATTTTTATTAAATATTTTTTGAAAATTTTTACAATCCCACAATTTGTATACCTAAATCTAGAAAAAGGATGTATCATGTAAGGATAGAATTTAATTTGTCGATTAATTTCGTAATTAACAGCAGCAGTGCTTTTTAGAATATTCCTTGCGAATGGAAGTTTTCTTGACATAATAAATAAATTTCTAATCCATTGTCGCATATCAGTAAACAATCCATTTGTTAAGAAAATATTTCTCTTTTCATTTTGATTTATAAAATTGCACTTGTGATCAATAATCGATGGCTTATTCTAAATAATAAGATTATTAATAATAATATTAATAAATATTATTATTATTATTTTTATTAATTACGAATTTTATAAAAAAGTTACTATTATTTTGAAAAATGGATTTTTTGTTATAAAAAAAAAAGAATTTTGTAGAAACATTACCTGATTATCGTTAGGAGGATTGACTACTTCAGGAATGAATGCTAATAACTCCATTTTTTAATTTTGTAAATTATTCAAAAATTAGTTGGTAAAATTCAGCGTCTCATCTATGGAAAAACAATAAATAAAATGTTTCTCTGAAGCAGCTTGAAGTTTTCCCAGTAAACGAAAACTAATTGAAATGAATTAAAAAGAATTCACAAAGAGCTTTCGTGAATCCCGCTTTGTGACAAATACAAATTGGAGCCATGATGCAATTTTCCTGAATTCGTGAAACTGTATTGAACTTCCGAACCTTCTATCCGTACCAATTCACTGGACAAGTTTTGAGCCTTTAATTTTTTTTCAATTCGTTAGCACGAATTCAATGCATTCCTTGGCCATTTCTTTCGAATGCGAATTCGTTTGGACAAATTGGTACATATTGAAATAAATTCAATTGAATATACAAAGAGCTTGAGTGAATCCCGCTTTGTGACAAATACGAATTGGAGCCTACCAAAAATGTTAATTCGTTTCAATTCATTTGAATTAGTTTTTTTTTACTGGGTTCTTTGAACTGTTATTATTATTTTAATTGTTATTTATTAATAAATGGAAATTTCAAAGTTTTCTATTTTTTGTAATTTGAAATTCGCGGGTGATCTATGGCACATGCGCAACGAGGAAAGTAGTAATAATACAGATTCAGGCCGCAGAAGTGTGGTACGAAATTTCAGGATGTGAAAGAAAATAGAAGGTATAATAAAGTTAATGCTAATTAATTATTTAATAAATTAAGTGGTTATTTTACAAAGTGAAGATTAATAATTGTTTTTCTTTTATAATTATCAAACGACAATGATGCTGAGAATAAAATTGTACTCTGCAGTTTAAAGTTTACTTCCTATTTTTCTTTTTTTAACCAAGAATATATAGTTTAATGTTTTTTTAAATTTTAAGAGGAAAAAATTATGTTTTCTATTTATAATAAAAAAAATTGTTTAGTTTTAGTAATTAGTCAATAACTAACATTTGTGGTAAAAAAAATACGAAAATAAAAAGTAATCGTTACGCTCTCAGCGGTCGATTTCTGAAGTTGTATTTTACTCGAATAGAAGGCAAGAACTTTCAATGCCCCCACCACTACAGTTTCATTCCATCCAAAACTATGGAGCAAAAAGACTATAGAGACTATGGAGATCTGATGGAGATGAAAACGGTTTTTTAAACACCACGAACACCACAGAAACAGTAGAAACATTTTGTTCTAAACGATGAGAAAAAATTCGATTTATACGTGAGACGTATATTTAAACCTTCATTACATTCAAACAATGCAATATTTTTCATTTTACAAAATTAAAAAAAATCCCTTATTTTCATGGTAAGAAGGGGAAAAAGGGACAATAAACATAACCTATAAAATTTTGCTTCTTAGATCCCTTTCTTTGTGACGCATGACATTATTTTTTTTTTATTTTTGTAATGAGCAGGAGAGTATAAAATATAGGAAGGATCCTTTATACACGATAGAAACATTTTGTTCTAAACGATGAGAAAAAATTCCATTCATTAAAAATAATGCAATATGAAATTTCCTGAAGAGGAAATCCGTCGACTTCGAAACGTTGCGGAGTAACATTATTCGTATAAATAAAAATTCTTTTGTATAAAATATTTTTTAAAATCAATTTCGAACCATTGAAATTCGGTAAATTAAATTCGAGAATAAATTCTAAAATAATTTGACAAATATATACTAATGAGTACTAAATAAATATCCAAAACCTGAAGTTTAAAAATAAAAAATTAACTATATAACAAATTTTTCTAAAATAAAACACTTGTTTAAGTTAATAAATTTTTCCGAATAATTCCGGTAAATTAAAGAATATAATTAAACATAAATTTCGTTAAATTTTGTTGAAATGAAAATTTTGTATTAAATAAATTCGGTAAATGAAAAACAAATAAAATATTGTCAAAATATTTCTTTTGCAGATAATTATCTTTTTTGTTGAATAAATATAATTCTCTTGCAAAACCAAACGTGTTGAGACGAGTCTTAAATTTTTTTTTCAACGCCTGTGTTGGTAATGTAGCGAATTTCTTTAAGGCCACGTTGCGGCAAGTGTATTAAAGTGTGCGTCCTGTCGTTTAAGTGCGGCATCGAGATAATTTTTATTCTTTTTGTAAATAAACTAGATTTATCGAAAATAATAAATCATTCTATCAATAACTACATAGGGAATTTATTTTTCTATATCTGAATTTAATCTCGTTTTTAGGTAATTTTTCATATTTTTCGGATTAAAAGAGAGAAAAGAAAAAACCGTAATTTTTAAGGTTGGCTTGAATGATATTATAATATTTCCAAATAGGGTAGTAGACGTTAGATTATATTCTATCTGTATTTTTTTTCAAGCGTGGGTGTTAAAATTACGCCAGTGAAAGTTATAACTGTGGTATTTTTAAAATAAAAATTCAATGAAGTTACAATTTTAGGAGAATTTTTTTTATTAAGAAACTTCATGTGTTAGAACCTACCTCTGGAAAAATGTAAGTATATATTTTTTTTCCTTTTAAGGATATTTTTCTATTTCTTTTTGGTTTGAGTGCATTTTTTTGTTCGAATTTTAGAATTTCCTGAAATTTATAAATTCTTTGAAGATTTTTTTTCTTAGGCCTCAAAATTATTCACAGAATGTAAATTTTTTTTTAATGCAATATTAGTGAATTTTTTCCTTATAAATAAAATTCAATATTTATTTTGTATTTATCAATATTTATAAAATAAACAATAAATAATCGTTCTTAACACCTGAAGTTTGTTTTTGTTCGTTTACACTTGAAGTGAGCCTTACTTGCATAAGCTTCTTGATTTTTTACAATTTTAAAAAAAATTTAAGATTTAAAAAGTTAATAAGATTAAATAAGATTGAAAGTTTTAATTTAGTTCAATTTTTATAAATTAATTTAATATTTAATATAATAAATAATTTATTTATTTTTATTATTAAAGCTTTTAAATTTTTAAATAATATTTTTTTAAAATAAAATAAAATTTTATAACCCTGATACTATTAATAATTTTTTTTTTTTAATTGAAATTTTATACTTAATTAATTGTTAAAGTGTTCAATAATAAAATACATAAAATTAAATTTAAAATATTTATTATCAAACCTTAAATTAACTAGTTTTTTAAATTATTTTTTTTATTTAAGAAATTCGTTTCCTAAGGTTTGAAAATTTGTTTTATAATATAAAAGTTATTTAATCCCTTAATTTTCATTTACGTTTAAAAAATTTATTTTTTTTTGCTGTTTTTTATAATTTTCTATTTCAATTTTAAACGTATTGTCTTCTTTTTTTTACAGGCAAACGACAATTTTTCTTTTTTTACTGACTAATTGTCTTGTATGGGGCGATGATTTTTACGAGCTTTTGGGCTTACAAAGGACAGCCGATCAACGAGAGATTAGACAAGCATTCAAAAAACTCGCCGTTACTCAACATCCGGATAAAAATACAGTAAATAAAAATAATAAAAAAAAAAGTTAATAAAAATAAATAAAATAAAAGTTAACTTCTGTTAACTTTTTTTTATTTATTTTAAATTATTTTAAATAAAAAAAGTAAACTAAAGTTAACATTTTTAAATTTATTTTCATTAACTTTTTTTTTATTTTTATGTTTCTTTTTATTTACTTATTTTTTTTATTTATTTATATATGTTTACTTAATTTTGTTTTTTAATTTTTTTTACTTCTATATTTTTATTTATTGTTCATTTAATTTTTATTTTTAAACAAAAAAAAATTTCTGTTTTTTAAAGGACGATCCAAAGGCACATGATAATTTCGTGAAACTCACTAGAGCCTATGAAGTATTAAAGGATCCGGATTTAAGGAAAAAATACGATATTCACGGCGAAGATGGACTCGACAATAATCATAACCGAAATCAATATCATTCATGGAATTATTATCAGAATAATTTTGGAATTTATGATGATGATCCACAAATTATGACTCTGAACAGAAACGATTATTGTACGTTTTTAAAATTTAAAATTTTACCTTTAAGCTTTTTTTTTTTTTTTTAAATAATAATAGTAATTTGCGTATTTTTCAGTCGAAAGTGTAATGGACTCGGAAAAAATGTGGTTGGTGAATTTTTATTCGCCAATGTGTAGTCATTGTCATCATTTGGCGCCAGTTTGGCGTCGAGTAGCCAAAGAACTCGAGGGTGTGATTCGCGTTGGCGCCGTGAATTGCGAGGACGATTGGCAACTATGCAATCAAATTGGAATTCAATCGTATCCAACGATAATGCACTATCCAAAGGTTTAACAAAAAAAAAATTTTTAATTCAACAAAAATGTTCTCTTTCAATTTTTTTTTACAAAAAGAAAGTCTCTTTTGTTTATAATTAATTTTCATTATATTTAATTTCAAGAAAAAAAAACTTTGAATCTTAACTAAATTCAAGTAAAAAAAATTTTTGTAGTTTTCAAAAAGGTTAAATTGGCATTAATTTAGTTAATTTAATTAATCCAATCAATTTAATTCTTAATTAATTATTTAAGAAAAATATTAAGAATATATTCATAATTTATGATTTTTTTCAGAATTCAAATCATGGCGTTCGTTACACGAGTGAAAAATCGCACGAGGAAATTTTACAATTTGTCTTGGATCGTCTCGATGCAAAAATTGAGAAAATAACGAAAAAAATATGGAATCATTTATTAAAAGGACTTGAAACATCAGAAAAGCCGACATTAGTTTTTGTCTGCAATAATAATCGTAATTGTTTTACGTCCGACGAAAGACTTAAAGTTGCCGCAATATTTGTGAGTAACAGTATTTATTTTATATTTATTATTAAAATTGTTATTATTATTATTAACATAATTAATTTTTACCTTCTTTTCTTAAAATTTTTTTTTTTAATTTCAGGATAAAATGATAAATGTAAGAATTTTTCAATGCGAAAATGATTGCGATGGTAAATTTTCCGAAGATAGTGGCGTTATTTATTTCCCGCCAAAAAATGAAGATAATTGGAAACCAATTTCTTTGGAAGACGCAGCCGATGTTGATGAATTAGTGAAAAATATTCTCGATCAATTGCCCGAGCCGCAAGATATCAGCGATTTGGATTTTGAGGTGGGAATTTATGATTTTCCATTTTATTTGTAATTTATAATTCATAATTTATAAAATTGAAAATAAAATGAAAAATTTTGGAAAAAAAATTTAATTTCCAATTTAAATATTTTAGTTAATATTTTATAATTATGGCATTTATTAAATTTACTTAATATTTTAATTAATTTTTGTATTATTAAATTTTGAATTTATTTTTTTTACAAATTTATATTTTCTCTCTTTTTTTGCAGAAAGTGCAAAAAAATTTTGAATCTCAGAATGAAGACGGTTGGTTAATTTGTTTCTACATGGGACACGCGACCGAATTGGATGTTCAATTGAAAAAATTACCAAGCATCATTCAAGGAATGAATTTAGGTGAATTTTCATCAATTTACCATTTTTTTTTGTTGAAATTATTGTTTTTTTATTATTTTCTTTTTTTCTTTTTAAATTAACAAATTTTTTTTTTCAATTTGATTCTTATCTATTTTTTTAAATTTGATTCTTTATCTATTTTATTCTCTTCATTTGATTTTGTTTATGAAATTTTTTAAAAAACTTTTGCATTATTTTTCAGGTAAAATAAATTGCGTGAAATATGGAAATTTGTGTAGGGATTTGAACGTGAATCACTATCCTTCGTGGGGTGTTTTAAAACCGGGCGGCGCTTTTGAATTGAATCATGGTAAAAATACAATTAACGATATTTCCCGATTCGCAAAAAATAGTGTTAAAGCAAAAAATGTCTGGGCACTATCGGCGGAAAAAATACTCTCAATTCTTAAGAGAGAAAACGGTGAGTTTTTTTTATTGAAATTAAATTTTTTAATGCGTAATTTTATTTTTTAATTAAATTACATTTCTTAATATTTAATTTTATTTTCTACTTTAATTTAGTTCTGTATTTAATGTTATTTTCTAATTAAATTTAATTTTAAATTTTTAACAGGAAATGAAGCCTGGTTTGTCGATTGGTACGCGCCCTGGTGTCCACCGTGTTTAGAATTCTTGCCGGAAGTAAGAAAAGCCTCTTTGGAATTTGATTCATCGTCTGTGCATTTTGGGACAGTCGATTGTACAGTTCATTCAAATATTTGTAGACAATATAACATTCGATCGTATCCAACTGCAATGTTAATTAATGGCACAGAAACGATTCAATTTACGGTGCAAAAAACCGCCTCGAATATCGTTCAATTCATTCACGAGGCTATGAATCCCTCAGGTGAGAGTGAAATGAAAATTATTTTTCTTTTCTTTCTTCACTAGATGTAATTTTTCTTTTCTTTCTTCACTAAATGTAATTTTTTCTTTCTTTCTTCATTAGATGTAATTTTTCCTTTCTTTCTTCACTAGATGTAATTTTACCTTTCTTTCTTCACTAGATGTAATTGTTCCTTTCTTTCTTCATTAGATGTAATTTTTCCCTTTTTTTCCCCAGTCATAGAAATTACGTCGAAAAATTTCAATCAGAGATTAGTGAAGAAGAAAAGTAAACTTCTATGGGTAGTGGACTATTTTGCCCCATGGTGTGGTCCTTGTCAACAATTGGCATCCGAATGGACTTCAGTTGCAAAGGCATTGAGACCATTGAATTTTGTGAAGATAGCAAAAATTAATTGTGACGCCGAATCGAGTCTCTGTAGAACGCAGGGAATTCAAAGTTATCCAACAATTAGACTTTATCCCGAGGGAAGTGAAGGACTCAATACAGTTGCGTAAGTAATTAAAAACGAGTTTTTATAATTTTTTCCACCTTTCTTCAACTTTCAATTACTAATCATTTTTTAATTTTCTATAAACAATTATGTTAAAAATTAAGAAAACCCCCGAGTAACAAGTTTTAAGCAAATAGGACAAAATTTTTTAAAAGCCTTCCATTCTTCCATATTGTCCTCCATATTGAATCCGCCATTTTGAATTTTTAAAAATTCGACCATAGATTCGTATTCAGCGACCCTGAAAACCCCCGAGTAACAAATTTTAAGCAAATATATCAAAATTTTTAAAGTCTTCCATTTTGAATTTTTTAAATTTGACTACAAATTTATATTCAGCGGTTCCAACATTTAAAAATTACTCTATCTTTATTCCTTAGTTTTAGAAAATTTTGTTTATATTGTTTGGTTCGTGAAAGTTTATTATCGTTTGTTATTATTATTATTATTATTATTATTATTATTATTATTATTATTATTATTAGTAAAAAATGATATTTTGCATTTCTAAAAGCGTCGCCATATTAAATTTCGCTTTTGCCACTATTTTTCTTTTATTAAATAGAATCAATAAAGTAATTAGATTAATTTAATTCATTAATTAAATAAAGTCAATTAAGTACTTATAATTTAATTACATAAAAGAATTTTTCAATTCGAAAAAGGTTTAATAGTTTATTTTTATACTTTTATGTTATTAGAATTAGTTTTGTAACTTTTAGTAATTCTAATATTTTTGAATTTTACCGGCACTCTAGTAAAAACTGCTGGAGTCATAAAACGATTATTTGAATTTGAAGGAATAGTTTCTTTGTGACTCCAGTAGTATTACCTCCCCTCCACCCTGCGTCCCGTTCCCTTGTCCACCTTCCACCATTCTTTATTCATTCCTGGTAGACGCCGGTCACACAAAGCACGCTTCAACACGTTCAATCAAACAGTTTTATTTTAACATCCAACAAAATCGTTGTAATCATTCAATAAAAATGTGTTTTCCCGGTGAAATAATGAAGGGATTGTGCGATACTTTTGATCATTCGTGTAAGTTTTTGATTATTTTTATTTTCTTTCAATTTTTTCTATTAGGAAAACTTTCCTTCCCGTGGCTTCTTTTTTTTTCTGGATAAATTTTCATTTGTGATGTTTAGTTCCATTGTTTACTATGATATTTATTTAAAATATTTAAAATTTATACTATTTGAAACGATTAATTAGTAGATTTGAAGAATTAAATAACAATTCTAGATATTTAATTTCTAAAATCCGGCGAAATTGTATAAAACTAATATGGCCGTTAGAAGTACGCATCTTTTGTTGCCAAGGGTGGCAAATTTATTTCTTTTTTCCCTCTTAAAAGTTGTTCTATTAACTAACTCTTAACATAATTCTCAATTCCTAATTATTTCAATTTTTAACTCGGCAAAAAAATTAATTATAATAAATTTATCACTCGGTCGAATTATTATAATTTCAATAAATAAACTTTTTAGTTTTCCATAACCAAACATAATAATAAACATATTTAGTTTAATAGTTTTGGGAGACTTAACAGAATTTTTTAACTACAAGATAAATTTTTTGGTATTTAAAATTTGTACTATAAACTATATGAGAATGTGAAGGTAGATAAACTTACGTAGATTAACATATTTTTAGAAAATACCAACTCGAAGGAATATAAATAAAAAATTATTATATTAATAATAAACCAAGTTGAAGTAATAATTTTCTGCAAGAAATATATAAAAATGTTGTTGATTTGAGCTTTTCGTAATAATAAAAATTCGAGTTAAAAATACATGAGGTTGGCATTTTTAGAAGAATCACCCAATTAATAACAAATTAATTTCTTTTAACTTCAATCTTTAATATTTGAGGTGAAATAATTTTTCTTTTTGAATATAGATTATACAATGGACAAAGAGATTCCTCATCGATGTTACTCTGGATTACTGGATTTTTCCCAGTCAAAGTCAAAGAGCTGACCTCCAATTCATTTCAAAAGGAAGTTCTAAAAGGAAATGAACTCTACTTGGTAGATTTTTACGCACCATGGTGCGGACATTGCCAAAGACTGGAGCCTCACTATAATATTGCTGCCCAGGTTCGTAAAGTATTCTTTTTTTAGTTTTAATAAATTATTCTCAAATAAAAAATTGATTCATTTAAAAAAATAAATTTTATAAAATATCTAATTTTTTAAACAAAATCTAATTTTTTAAAAATTAATTTTTTGAATTGCTTTTCTTAGAGTTTTACATTTTTTTGCTATTGTTAAAAAGAATACTAAAATTATACCCAAATAATTTATAATTCTTAATTATTATTATAGCTTCTTGAGGGAAAAATTCGAGTAGCGCGACTCAATTGTGAAATGTATAGATCACAATGCTCGCAATCTGGAATTCAAGCTTATCCAACTCTAATGCTTTATGGACGAAAATCAAGTTACAGAATAGATGGTTTCAAAGCTGAGGAAATACAGAGTAATGTTTTGAAAATGTTAAAACTCAAAACAGAAGAAAAACACGATGAACTGTAATTATCGTTGAATCAAGTAGGTGCCTTGTGATCTATTTTATAAAAACGGAAAATTAACAATTTTATGATATTCAATTGATAAAATTGTTATTTTAAATTGACCGACTGTTGTTAATGGTCAATTGAATACAAAGAGAATTAATTTGTAATCTTTGTAGCAAAATTTAGTCAATTTAATTTATTAGTTAAAAGAAATTGTCAAACGGAATCTTTGTGTAAAATCAAAGAGAATTTTTACCAATGTTACTGATTCTAATCTAGGTTAGAATTTTCTATTTATTAGTTAATTTTTTTGCAATTTAATAATTAAATTTAGTACAAGAATGTAAGGAATTATGGTGCTTAGTAAGTCGGGTATCGATATTTTTTTAAATATAAAATAATTTAGAACGAAAGCAATACTTTAAAAATCATTCCTTTAAGTATCAAATATCTGAACTAGATTTGAACTAAAGAATATCGATATCCGAATAATTTTTTATAATTTTCATAAACTAATTAAGTAAGTTACGATCTGCGATGTGATAAAATTCGAATTCGTATTTTTTTTATCAAATTTTAAATTTACTTACATTTGTATGTACTTTAAATAATATTTCACAGATGATTTTTTAATATTTATTATTAGAATTATTATAGAGTAAAAAAATTGAATTTTTAATGTATCGATGTGGAAAGGTGTACAATTAGACAGAAACTATTTTTAAAAAAATTTCGATAATTTTCTTAATGTGGCAAATTTTATAAACTGATTCATTGCAGGTAGAATTTACGTCTACTTAATAAAAATTCATTTTTAATTTTAATTAAAATTAATATATAGTAGAAACTTTACCTATATTAACTCGATCATTTAATTTCTTTGTAAAGTAACTTTTAAAACATTTTCCATTTTTATCCAAACACTAATCACCACTGCACATGTGGTAATCCACGTTTTTGATATTCAACAACATAAACATAAGGTTGAACTTTATCAAAAAGTTTCATTTCTAATTTGAAAAAATGCGAAGGATAGGTTTCCTGTGTCAAATCACAACTATTGACAATTACTGTCAAATAACTTTATTAACTAACAACTTTGGAAACACATAATTTATAATATTCGACTTAGTTTATCCGCAAAGTTTATTATAAAAATTTTGTTAACAAAGAATTTCCGATAAAATTTTGTCAAAATAATGTTTCGACAATTTTTTAAAAATTTGTGGGTCAAAAGAACCTTATATGTAAAATATACTATTGTATATTTTGATAACATTAAATTTCCGATACAAGCGTAATTCTGATACAATTTGTGCGTAAAGAAAACCTGCACAACTGTTTAGACAAAAAATATCATTGCATTTCCAATACAAGCGTAATTCTCCTACAATTTGTGCTAAAAAAAGAACCTAGTGTAATAGGTTTTTATAAACTTAATATCATTGAATTTCCGATATAAGCGTAATTCTCCTACAATTTGTGCGAAAAAACCTACTGTAATATAGGTTTTAGTAAATGTAATATCATTGAATTTCCGATAGCGTAATTCTTCTACAATTTGTGCGAAAAACGAATTTTCTGCATAAATGCATTAATTCGAAACTAAATTTATAAACTTATAAAAAACTAAAAATGATTGACCATTAAATTTAATTCTACTTTACACAATTAATATTCTCATATTTCGATACTATTAAATCTTTAATAGTAGCGTAATGAATTGTTAAATATTCAAATTTTAAAAATGGTTGGTTATTAAGAATTTGTGAACATTACTTCAATTACACACTGTGTGAGAAGTAAAATAATTTGTATACTATATACTTGGGAATAGTGAGATGAGTTAGGAAAAACACCATATTTAAAAATTTTTTCAATTAATTATCTTCATCATTTTTCATAAAAAAAATTCATCGTTATTTTAAATAAAAAATAACTAACAACTTCATTTAACATTCATTTTCTAGGCTCTAAATTCTAATTGTATTGCAAATTAGATGGGAAACTAGTAATAACTTAGGAAAAAACACCAAGAAAATAAAATTTTTAAAAATTTATAATTATGTTTCATCATTTTTAATAGAAAATTCATCATTAATTAAATAGAAATAACTGAAAGTTTTTCTATTTGTTAAATTTCATTTTTTCATACTAAGCGATGAGTTTACTGTTACTTTGTCACTGACAAATAAAGAGGGGGAATGAATTAGGAAAAACACCAATGAAATAAAATTTTTTTGGTAAACTTAGAATTTCCTTAAAAATCATTAACTTTCATCATTTTTAAACAAATTATTCAATTCAAACATTTATTTCATATATTATATCACTACTTTCATATTCGAAATTATTTATAAAATAATTTTCTGTCAAATATTGCACACCTTTCGTAAAATGAAATAAAAATCATGTTCTTTACAGATTTTAAAATATTTATATTTGAATATGTACTTCGATATTCATGGATTGAAATGTTTTGTAATAAATATTATTTTCGATGTTTAAGACTTTGTTCTATTATCCGTAGAATCTGAGAAAAATATCATCTTAAATATGATTTTTTCTTTTATTTGTAAAATATATTTTAAATATTAAGTATTGTTGATAATTTATTTAAGCGTATAGTTTAAATTTATTAATATTGCTGCAATATTGTTTACGAAACTATATACAGATATTTTTTATATTTGTAAAACATGTTTTAAATTGCAGATACAACTTTTGAAAATGTAAATTAAATAATGACTTCGAAATAATAGGTTACAACACTTTTGTAGATAAATATTATATGAATTTGATAAAAATAAGTTTTTTGAAATAAATGTTTCTATTTATTTGAGAGTAATTACATATATTATACCATATATTTATGCTATTTTAAAAACCAATAATTTATAAGATTCTTCCAAGTAAAAGCTATCAATTTTTTTTAATAAAGAATTTTCTGTATAAGCGTAATTCTTCTATAATTTGTGTTTAAGAGAAACCTTCTGTACTATTGTAAATTTTAATAACATTGAACTGGTTACTAACATTAATTTCTACATAAATAAAAAAATTAATGAAGATAAAAATAGGTAAGTAATAAATAAAAATAATAAAAGTAAAATTGAAAAAAGAAGTAATATAAAAAAATATAAATAAAAATAAGAAAGTATGTAATATGAATTCAAGTGAAGTAAGACAAGTGCACTTGATGGACGGACACGTTAAAGTTGAACAAACTAAGGAAAAAAAAATTTTCTCGACCTTTCGGTACCCCAAGAAGTTCAATGGGACCCAAGTCCCCGTTCTCTCTTTTATGTGTATGTGTTTGTATCAGTGCTTTCATCCTCCCACCTCGCTGCTCTTTGTCCACCTTCTCCTTTTACCTGCGGGATTGCACTTCAATTCCCCTTCTCTTTTTCTCGATTCCTTCAATTCCAGTTCGTGGCAAGTCTTTCCTTTTTCTCAATAAGCCAGTTTGCTACACGAGAGCGGCCATTTTACCAGGTTCTCGTGTGTGTCCCCCTTTTTTTCTTATTATTCTTCATCCTTTTTATGTATATCAAGAAAATTATTATTTTCAAAGTGTTTAAAAAAATTCACTCCTTTTTGTTCTGCCACTAAAAGACGAGGAATTTAAAAATAGAAAATTGTGCCAAAGAAATATACAACTCTGAAAGAATGTGAAGAAAATTTCAGTGAGTGTAAAATTATTTTTGTATTTTTAATCATCTAAAGTAACACTATGGTTACTAAATGTGGTAAAATGGAAGTAGAGAAATAAAGAATGTTGATAAATTGAAAAAAAGGATTAGTTATCGGTTAGTGACTCTCATTAATAAGGGAAATGAGAAAGAAATATTGCAGATTATTAAAGAAATGTTATAATCATTTCCGGATGAATGTGAAAAAAGTGATGATGTAAACGAAAACGCAACTTGTTTAATAATCTGATTTCTGATGTGTGGGAAAATGTTTAATAGTCGTGAAAAGAAATGAATCGCGAATTTTAATTATTGCAACTGTTTCTTTATCTTTATCGTTCTTTTCTTCATTCTTTTCCAACTCTTTTTTTTCTTGTGTAAATAATAATAATTACTTTAAATAGTAATATTTTTTTTATTTATACATTGTTATATCAATGTTTATTATTACTTTTTACATATAAACAAATTAAAATGTAATATTTAATTTTCTTCAAATCTTAGGCTTACAAATTTTTTAAATTATCAAATTTTGTGTTATCGAAATACGATATTTATCGAAAATCGCATTGAATGTAAATTTATTTTTATTGAAGATATCTTTTGCAATCGGAATGTCTGAGTAATGTAATTTTTGAAATGAAACACTAAGTGACGTGTATTATTAAAAGAAAACATTTTTTTTTAATTATACATTTAAAGACTTGTCGGAATCACTTTATTTTCAACTTTCTTTCAAATTCTAAAATAAAAGTAGTAAAACTCGTTAATATATCTAAACATTAGGTTTCTGAACCGTTGTTAAACTATGATTTTAAAATATAATTAATTTTTTCTATTATTAAATAATGACAAATTATTACAGTAATGACAATTGTTATTTTTATTTAATATTTAATTTTCTCCTTTTTTCAAAATATAATATATTTTATAATTTTAATTTTCTTAAGTTTGATTTATCAAACTCTATATTAAATTTTCACCTGCATAATTTTTTTCTTTTTAATACAGTTTAAATGAATATTTAAACGAATATTTTATAATTTATATAGGAACAATTAAGTCGAAAAAGAAATAGTTGTAAATTCTGCAAATATCTTATCAATATTTCGAGGACAAGTAACCCAAGTAATTTTTTATTTCCTATATTGTAAATTATTGCAACTTTGTCCTGGAGTAATTGTAAATTATTCCACGTGCGCTTATAGTTTATAGAAATTATCTAAAACAGTAAAAAATTTAATGACAAATAAATTTACTTATAATTAGAAATTAAATAATAATTTACAGCTCTGACAATTCTTATTTCAAAACTAATTAATAATTATTAAAAAATTAAACATTAATTATTCATTAATTAAAGAAATATGAAAAATATTTAAGAATTAATTTAAAAACAAATGTAATGTAAAATTTGTTAGAATAATAAAAATAATTCTAAATGTTTTAGATTGGATTTGGTGGAAGCGAAAAATAAAAGGAAGAAATGGGTTCGAAGGTCGAGTACGTTGAGTCGTCGCATATGTATGCGACAAATTATATTCGTAATTCAAAAGCAATTGGTGTTTTGTGGGGAATTTTTACAATATGTTACGCGATAATTGGTACAGTGGCATTTATCACTCCCGAATGGTTAGGTGATTTGGAACACGAGAATCCAGGAAAATTTGGCCTCTGGTCGCGATGCAGTTTTGGCGGAAATGGTAAAAAAAATATTATAATTTAATATAATGTACCTCTTAATTTTAAAATTAAATTACCCAAGTAGAACAACATTGCAAAAATATTCATAAATAAACGAGTGTTTTAAGAATTTAGAAGTACTTGTACTTTTAAATAATTTTAAAGTGCTATCTTAAACTCGCCGCACGTTCACCGTAAAAACTCAATAGACCGTTAAAGGAAAAATAAAAAAATTATTGATAACCATGACATGAAAAAAGTTTTAGAAAATAAAAAACGTAATACAATATTTTTATGAGTAACTAAAAGATTGAAAAGATTCTTGAAAATTTAGTTGATAATTATTGAATCAAGAAAAGAAAATAAATTTGGGAAATAGACTACAATAATAAATATTTGTATATTGTAATCAGTGAGTAAGAAATTCTTGGTAATTTAGTTGATAATTATAAAATCACGAAGAGAAAATTGTCTTAGGAAAAACAACAATTATTGTGAATACTTTTATTATAACCTGTCACCAAGTGATTCACTGGATGACAGATGTTTACTCAGTGACCGCGTCCACTCTAAACTTTGTTGCTGTGCCCGCGGCGAGACTGGTTGTTTCCACTTTTCGCCGTGGCGCTGATCACTTGAATAATTTTTGGTAATTTAGTTGATAATTATAGAAACACGAAGAGAAAAATGTATTAGAAGAAAATACTGTAATATTTTTGTATTTTAATCAGTGACTAAGAGATTCTTGGTAATTTAGTTAATATCGAAAATATTTCGAAAAAAAAAGTTTTCATTTTTCCTCATTTTCGCCAAACAAGATTTTTCTTCAAATAAAATTAAGCCACCTTTACAATAATGCAAGTTAATTTCTGTCCATTCGATTCCGTGGTATTTTTTAAAGTTGACCCAACGTTTTGATAAGTATTTTTTCCATTTCAGGAGAATTGGTGGAGGGATGCATTGGACGTTTGGACGATTTTTCGACAATTGCCAATGTTCCATTTAAAGCGAGTACAATACTCATTGGTTTGGCAGTAATAATTGCAATTTTGTCAATTTGTGCCATGCTTCTATTCTTCTTTTGTCACAGCACGACTGTTTATTACCTTTGTGCTTGGATGCAAGTTATATCAGGTAAGATACAACATTTTCAAACAAATTTTCTCAGTATTAAAACAAATTTATTCACAAAGTAGTTTTGAATTTTCAATTCAAGTCTTATAATGAAATGCGATTTCGTTATAAACGGCGAAAGGTTTTACAAGTGATTTGCCCTATGAAAGTGAAAGTAAAACGAATTGCTAATTACAAAATTAGAACATGAACTGTCCAACGTTACCGTATTACGTTGCGAACCTAAAACTAAAATTTTCCACTTTGAAGAGTAAAAATTATTTACAAATTAACATTTTTTAATTAACATTAAAATGCTAACTAAAAAATTTTACAAACATTAAGAAAGGAAAATTCAGTGTCAAAATTTTCCAACCTCTTGGAAATTAAATAAAAAAAATTTAAGAAAACGAGATAAGAATAAATTTATTATATCATTTAATAATTATGTAAACGTATTTTTCTCAATGTAATCGTCAGGGAAATAAAATAGTAATGCAATCATTATAGCTATTCAAAGCGTGAAGAAGTGAGTTATCGTTGTTCCTCTTTCTAGAAAGTGAGCAGAACAAATTCTCATTAATAAAAATTCCGTATAATAAATTACAGCGATTTATTAAATAGTAATATATTTAATTAATCGATGCACTAACAAAGCATGACAATAAACCGCAATCTCATTATTTTTTTCACACATAATTCCTTTTATTTTAATTACAAATTTATCATTTTTATACTTTTAATGACTGTTTACGGTTTTTAACCATTTTTTAAAAAATACAATATCCTGCAAGTAAAATAATATTTTCCGAATATTTTATAAATATTAAAATGCAATTCAATTTAAGAATTATATTTCAATTAGAGACTGAAAGATTCTTGGCAATTTAGTTGATAATTATAGAATTACGAAGAGAAAACAGTTTTACGAAAAACTGTGTAATAAAGTTTTTTTTTTTAAATTTAATCCCTGACTTGAACATTCTTGGTAATTTAGTTGATAATTATAGAATTACGAAGAGAAAATAGTTTTAGGAAAAACACCATATTATGAAAACTTTTATTATAATATGTCACGTATGTCACCAAGTTGTTCATCAGGTGTCGAATGATTACTTTGTTCGTGTTCACTATACTTTTTGTGTATTGTGTCTGGCCCCGCGGCGAGACACAATAAAAAATGGTTGCTTCGTTAGTTTGCCGCGGCGCTACTTGTCTTCTTCTTTTTAAAATTTTTTTTTAAAACTGCACACTTGACTCTAATTTACATATTTCTAATTAATTTATGCTCCATAGAAATAAGTCACAAAATATAAATTAAATAAAAAATACAATTTTTAAAAAATTTCTTTAAATATTTACAAATTTATTATTATAGTAATTATCCTACTTTTCGAAAAAATTTCAGAGTAATATTCAGTCAATTTTTGTTTCAATATTCTCCAACCTAAATATTTTTTAACTATCGAAACATTGAATTCAAATTATTTACAAATAATTATAATTTTTCCCATAAAAATAAAAGTAGAAAAAATTATTATCTATTTAGAAACATAATTTTTTTTTATAAATTAAAAAGTTTTAAGGAGTTGCGTTTAACAGGATTTAATGAAAAACCGTTATAAATATACTTAATGGCGGAAACCGCTTACGAAATAAGTTGTACCACAAGTTTTATGAGATTTTTTAAAAATAAAAATGGCGAAAATGATTTATGAATGTTAGCGATCAAAACCTGCTTAATGGAAAATCAAGTAAATCAATTTAAAAAATTTTAAATTTTAAAATAATTTGAATTTTCGTTTATTTTTTGCTGTTTTTTTTACTTTTTAAACTACTTTTTATCAACCAGTGGAAAATGTATTCTGAAATACAAATTAATGCTTTGATCGGAGGAAATCGAATACACAATTGAGATATACTAGATTTCCTTCTGAGATTTCTGTTTTCTGCGGCTTTCACTCTCGATGTAAAGTTGTAGAATGTAGAGAAAGACAGCAAATTGGTCATAAATTTCCGGTAATGACCACAAATCTGTGAAAATTCACATTTTTAAAACAATTACAATTTGATTTATTTCTTTTATTTTCTTTTTCAATTACTGTCAAATTTTCTCTAATGATTTTAAAAAAATTATAATTTGGTGCAGGAATGTAAAAAAAATTATTTTTGCAAAGGAGAAGAAAATTTATGACAAAAATTCAATAAGTATTAAAAAATATTTTTTCAAGTCTCATAAACTATAGAAATTTGCAATAATTCGAGCGTAACTGATTTGGTTTTTTTATCAATATATATAGTTTTCAACAGTTGAATGAAAATATTTAGCAAATATTTATATAGGAATTGAGTTATTTATACTCTTGGCATTTGGTGTGTCTACAATATCAGTGTACCGTAAATTTACAGTTAGAAAAGCAATGTTTCAGATTCCTTTCACTGAGCGGCCTCGCCTCTAACCTTGCATAATGTGGGGGGAATTGACGTTTTTCTATAATAAAAAATCTAATTTTAGAATTTAAATTTTAATCGAACAATTTAGATTTAAATAATCGAATTAGGAACTAAAAAATTATTTTAGTACTAGTAAAAAAAGATTTAACAAAATAATTAATTAACTGTAAGACAATTTTTAGAAAGTTTATGAATAAAAAGAACATTAAAATAGTAATTAAAAAAATTAAAAAAAATTTTTTTTTTTTTAAATTAATATAATTTAATTTAAAATAATTAAAAATTGTAACTATTATTTTACAGCAATTTGCATGGCAGTTGGCGTTTGTGTTTATCCTCTCGGCTGGGATTCACCTTTAATTCGAGCAGTTTGCGGCGCATCAGCCTCAAGGTAGAACAGTAACGTTATTTTTAATATATTTTATAAATAAGGAGAAAACAAGAAACAAACAATATTTGTTTTTTAATTAAATTGTGGCATAGAAAATATTTTTTATTTTGAATTCAAGAACCTTTTTTCTCTACTTTTTATAATACACGGAGAGACCGAGATTACTAATTTTTGTATAAAATCACACTAGAATTTACTATTTTCACATTGCAACCACCGGAAATAAGGGGACTTTTTGTATTTTTTACTATTTTCTACACTAAGTCACTAATCCCGACAAATGTTCACCAAATTAGCAAAGTTTCTTACTATTTCGTCCAATAGTTCCAAACAACTGTAGTAAACTCAGAAGTATTGTGTACGTAAAATTACTACAGTCGTTTGTAAATGCAGAAAGAAAGAGTGAAAGAAAAAATACGGATTTTTGTCGCCGGTTTCCCGTCAATTCTTGACTAATGGAGACAAACTGGAAGGATTTTTACATACACAGACACACACACACTTATATATTTGAAGACACACACATGTTTATTTCACTTATATATATATAGACGCGGTTAATTAATACACTAATACACAACTGCACGCACGACAACGAATTTCACTGAAAGTATACATCTTTGTTTCCTTATATATTGAATGATGAAAATTTACAGCACTTACGAGAAAGCAGTTTACTTTTAACAACTTATTATAAGACATAGTTCTTGGGACAGGAATAAATGCAAAGTTTATTAATTTATAATGGTCAATTTCTGAGATACCGAACGACCTACGTTTCACTTTATATTTAATTATTGTAGATAATATCCAAATTTATTTTACATACGCGAAACATAGTCACTGTCAATGATCGGATGGCATCGGCTCATTTACGGAGATTGACGAAGTTAGCAACCAATAGAAATGCAGGCGCCATATGACTGCACTCGCTAGCCACACTTGCTCACCAAAAATTACTACAGTGGATAGAAGGTTTTAGTGGAAAATGTTTTCATTTGTCAGATTTTGTCTAATTAAATTAGAGAAAACTATAATCAATTTTTGCTACATTTACAACTCTTACAAAAAATATTAAAACTTGCTATTTCAATGTAGCAAATTTATCTATTTCTTTTGTAAATTTATCTAATTCTGTAGCACATTATGCTAAAAGTCCCCTTATTTCCGGTCATTGCAACCATTTTTAGTAATTTTTACGAATGTGGGTCTCTCCGTGTATTTATACAATTTTTAGAAATATTTATATATATTGTCAAAATCATTTCAGATTTTATAAAAAATAAAAATTCTGTATTGTTAGTAATTTTGTTACTATTTAAAAAAAATTTCTTTGTTTATTTATACGTATAGAAGAGTACCGAACTTTCCCATTAGTTCATTCGTACTGAACTAGTAATTAAAGATAAGATAAAGAAAAGTTAAATAAATAATTAAAAGTAAAATCGTCCTCAGTCTTTAGTTTTGGATTTTGTAAAAACTTTTTGGACTAAATAAGATAATTCTTTAAAAATAAATTTAAAAAAGAATTTTTTTAAACTTTGTCTTTAAAAAAAACGTTTATGACAAAACAAATTTGATAATTCTAATTTAGATGAGAATTATAATACTACGAAAAGAAAAGAAATTTCGAAAAGACACTATAATAAATATTTTTATATTGCAATTAGATTTTTGGTAATTTAGTTGATAATTATGGAATCACGAAAAGAAAATAAATTTGGGATAGTCACTACAATAATGTTTACATATTGTAATAAGTGACTAAGATTCTTGGTAATTTAGTTGATAATTATAGAATCACGAAAAGAAAATAAATTTGGAATAGTCACTACAATAATAAATATTTTTCTTCTCGATATTGTAATAAGTGACTAATTCTTGGTAATTTAGTTGATAATTATAGAATCACGAAGAGAAAATAGTTTTTAGAAAAACACCATTGAAAACTTATTATAATCTGTCACCAAGTGATTAGTTGCGTGACATATGTTTACTCGGTGCCGGTGATCGACTCCACTCTGCAACTTTGTCTTTGGGTCGGCGGCGCGACTGATTGTTTTGATATTCCGCCGTGGCGCTGCTTATCTGAATGGACTGCAAAGCATCAGCTAAAGAAAGACAAACATTTTGTTTTCCTTTTCTGTCTCTTGCTTTGCATTCGTTACTATGTATTTTGTAAATAATAATAAATTAAATTAATAAATTCACATTTTCTTTTAATTTTATTTAATTTACTTACCATTTTTACAGATACAATCCAGGAGCTTGTGCAATCAGATGGGCCATTCCTTTGGCGGGAATTGCGGCATTGGACGCAATAACATTAGCAGCTCTCGCTTTTATTTTAGCGTCGCGGCATGTAAGATTACAAGCCGAACCATTCAATAATGGTTCTTTATATAAAGGTAAGATTTTTATTATTAAATTTTATTTTTAATTTAAAAAATTTGTATTAATATTAAATTTTATTAAAATTTTTTAAATCTTTTTATTTAAAAAATTGTTATTTTCATCTAAAAAAATTATTTTTTTTTCTTAGGGGAAGTGAATCCAGCTTATGTGAATGAAGCCCAAAGTGTTGCTGGCTCAAGAAAGTCCCTATCATTAAGGCCAGTACTTTTGGTGGCGCCACCAGAACAGGATAGATATTCAGAAATTTCTCGTGCAAAATCACATTCACATCATAGTCTTTACGCAGCGTCACCTGGACATCCGGTTCATACATTATCCACAAACACTCTAAATCGTTCTCAACATAATTTTCAATTTTAAAAAGGGAAAAAAAGAGAGAGAGAAAAGGAAACATGAAAATTCTAAGGCCATAATTTTTTCAAATAGGAGATCAAATCAAATTATTTTTCATGTTCTTTTTCTCTAGTATGTATGTGTGCGCAAATTTGTTGCCATCGCCTTAAAACGTATCTAATTGTCCCTTATTTTTTCTAAATATAATAAGAAATTTTTTCATAATTAAATTATAATTCTACGACTAAGATCTGATAGAAAAAAAGACTCGTTATTTTAAAAATGTAATTAATATACTGCAATTTTTTTAATGGAAAAACAATCTTAAAAAATGTCAGTAAATTAATTATATTAGAAATAAAATCAAATTATCGTTTTTTTAAAATTCATGATTTGATTTTCTTTCGTTTTATATCAATGAGAATTATAATTTACAAGGGAGTCTATTAATATTAAATTAATTTTTTTTTAAATCATGTTTGTGATTTTTATAACAAAAATAAGAGATTATCATTTTTTAAATTATAATATTTTTAATTAAGGATCTTTAACTAGCCATAATTTTTTCAAAATAAAATTTTAGTCTATTTTGTATTTTATAACTAATTTTTTATAAAACCTGAAAAATCAAAAGGTTGAATTGTGTTATTTTATTGTTCTATGTGTTACATATGTTATTGTAACATTGTCGACAGACTGAAAAAATAAAGAGATTGTTGAAATAAATATTTTTCCTATTATTACAAATTTAATTTTAGTTAAAGAATTTATTCTGTTTTTACTTTATTAAACTCAAGTAGCATGCGATTTTTCTATCCTCGCTTTTTTCTATGAAAACTAGTAAGAATAATAATAAAAATAATTCATTATTGGGATCTCTTGTACCGTGAGACGCTCTCTGTTAAAAATTTTTGTAACCTTTGACAGTAAGTCGTTTTGTCTAAACTGAGAGTAGGTCAAATTATTAGGCCACGCCCCCAAAAGAGATCCCAATAGAATCTCGAATAAAAAATAGTAAATTGTCTAAAATAACCGAACTATATTTTTTCCTAACACCATTATGTATTATTTTTAACGCCTTTATGTTTAAAATATTTGCAATGAAATAATCATTTGAATACTTTATCAATATTTGCTGTTTAAAAATTGTAAATGATGGACTTTAAATAAAAAATGTATAAAACAAAATGTGACAAGGTTAGGTTAAAAGCACAGTTCGGTTATTTTAAAAAGATTCTTGGAAATTTAGTTGATAATTATAGAATCATGAAGAAAAAATATATTAAGGGATTATTTTAATAATAATTTTATATTCTAGTCAGTGGATAAGAGATTCTTGGTAATTTAGTTGATAATTATTGAATCACGAAGAGAAAATTTTTTTTGAAAAGTCTCTACAATATAATAAATATTTACATAAAATTGTAATTAGAAACTAAGATTCTTGGTAATTTAGTTGATAATTATAGAATCACGAAGAAAAAATAGGTTTAGGAAAAACACCATATTTAGAAATTTTTATTATAATCTGTCACCAAGTGATTAACTGCGTGACAGATATTTACTCGGTGATCGACTCCACTCTGCAATTTTAATTCTGGGCCCGCAGTGAGTGTGGTTGTTTCGACTTTCCGCCGTGGCGCTGATCACCTAAATGATTCTTGGTAATTTAGTTAATAATTACAGAATGACGAATTATAATAATTAATTAGGAATATGAATTATGCATTTAATTAAAAAAGACGAATGATCTATTTTGACTAGTATATTTAAGGTTATATGATACAGGACAATTTTTTTTTACCTAATAATTATGTTTATTCGACAACTAAATTTACTTTTGTTGCTGTTTGAATTTAAATCTGCTTGAATTAAAATCTGAATTTTTGATTAAAAAATACATCAATCTGTGTGAGATTTGTTTCAAGACAGAAATTGTGTTTTTAACACTCAAAACAAAAATAACTTTTTTTACAATGCTTATTTTTTTAATAACAAAGATCATTTTTCCCTTATTAACTATACATAATCAACGAAACAGAAAAATTATTAACAAAATAATTTAAAATTTATTCTGTTGATGAATTTTAGAAAAAAATAATAATTTACAGAAAAATGAAGATAATTTTTGTAAAATATTTGTAAACAAAGTAGTAATATGAAAAATATTTCTTAAGTTAAAAATAATTTCATAAATGTTCCGTTACTTTTACACTAGTGAAAATTTTAAATTAATATCAATAATTCTTTTTTGCAAAAATTTTCTTTTAACGTAATACTCTCGCACAATTATATCACAATGTCATTATTAAATTATCATCGTTTTATATTTTCTAGGTGTTTTAAAATTTCACAACGATGGACTTTCTAATCTAATTATTTTTCTTTTTGCTATAATTTATATTTTTACATTAAGCAAGACTTTTCTTTTACTCTTTTCTTTGAAGTAATGACAATATTTATTAAATTAAAAGAAATGTTTGAAATTTAATTTTAATATTCCCTCCTTTATCTACATTACCGACGGAGCATAGATTGGAATCATGAACATTTTTTTTGTAGTTTGAGAAAAATGTAACTGTCACAGAAAATCTCTAAAATATTTCATAAAATATTATCGTATTTTTTCTTATAATTTTTGATAATAAAGAAAATAGTCTTACTAGACTAAATTAAGAGCTAAATTTAAGTTACAATTATTTATACATTATGCTTATGACATTTTTAGTGGGATTTAATTTTTTATTATGAAAAATTCTTAGAAAATTGTTTTTTGGTTTAGGTATAGGCTTTTTGGAATTTAATTTTTCTTATAGTTATGAAAGTTTATACTACGAATTCCACTTTGGACAATTTTTATGTACGTCTAAAAAGGTTAGCCTAGTCTTATAGGTTGGACGCCTTATGAGAATTGAATCAAAATTTTTTAATTTGCAGTAGTTATAATATGTCTCGTTAGATTCAAATTATTTAGATTCACCAACAGTAAAGTGGATAAAAGAAGAAGGAAAAATATTTTTGCCACATGTTCACAGAAATAAATTTACCGTACCTACTTTACCGACAGAACACAGATTGGAAACTAAATCTCCTTACCATATATTCAAAGAAATATTTTTTTTAACATTAAGGTAACCCTCAAGAAAGTAAATATTCTGAGATTTTTTGGACAGCGACAGAGAAAAAAATGCAAATTGTGGAAAATTAGTTTTCATGTTTTAACGACCCACCTTTGCCTACATAGTATTAGAATAAAATTTAATTGTAGAAACACCTTAATGAGAGTAAGAAGACTAGAAAGGAGGTTCTTTTCTATCTCATATACTTTGTATTCTCCCACCACTTTACTTATTACTCGGAAACACTAGTCTTATTAAAGGTGGTTCTACAATGGACTGACGCTACACTTTCGAATGCAATGCGTTTGCAAAATCTGTGTTTAAAGAGGGACCGAAAGTGGAAGCAATATTAATAATAAAAATAAAAAATGGCGGAATAAATAAATGGCAGATGTCCTTATACAAACGAGGACAATAAAACTTGTTCTATCACAAATTCTCCCCTACCCCGAAATTTGCCTTACATAACCTCCAAATAGAAGCATTTTGCATACGAAACGCATTAGGCATTGAGGGGATTATCTAAAAAAATAAGAGACTCCAGGATTTATTTTAACCATCTTTCTTCACACCTCCAGCGATTTTGCGAACTTAATAACAAACAACTTTGAGTTCTCCCGTTCAGACATCCTTACCAACGACAATACCACAGGGCTGGACAACTCCAGTGTTTAGTAGTCTGGGCCTTTTGTAAATGTCCTTGCTCTCGTCTTTCTTCAACAATTCCTCTATCGAATAGGGATTCTTCTTCTTTCTTGGTGGCAATTGATTTTCCTCGCTACGACTCACATTTGGATTTTGCTCCATCTCAGGAAGATTTCTCAAATTATTCTCCATTGGCGACGAGGGATTTCGGGAGGTGGAATTTTCATTTTTTTGTATCATTCCATGACGTACAAATGCGCTTCGCTCGCTACCGACCTTTTGACCCAATTCGAGAATAATTGGCGATCTTTGGTAAGTTTTGTAATGATCCTGAGATTCGGCAGTGTCGTCCAAGTCACTTTTATCGAGGGAATCGTCACTTCCGGCCATTGAACTCGAACTTGATTTCAACTCGACTTGAGATTGACTCTCCTGTCTGTCTGCCAGTCGATCCGAATCCAGGGACGACCTAAAGTAAAAGTTTTTCAAATTAAGTCAGAACTTTTATATAGAAAAAAATTCATAAACATATTTCTTCAGTTCTATAACAATTGTTATGGTTCAGATTTTCAGAAATTGTAAACGGGCCTTAAGGGGAACCCCCATGCCTCTAGAGGCCAGGGATAGAAAAAGACAAAGATATGCGCATGTTCTTTTTCCTCTCATACTTTGCGCATTCTTTATTAAAACTATAATAAACATAACCTATAATTTTTGTCTTTCAGAAATATTTTAAAACTATATTCAAATGATGGACAATGATAATTCGACTTACTGTGAATTGTGATGCAAGTGCAAAGTCGTAGCTTGATAAAGAGATGAATAAAAATTTGGATTCCATGTTGGTGTTCCGGAACTTCCGGAAGTTGTGGTAACATGTAACGGTCCCAAAGCACCAGGATAGAAAAATTGATAGTCTCCACGAAGAAGAGGTTCTGAAATAAAACAAAATTGTAAAAAATATAATATAATATTACAATTAATATCGTATAAAATATGTAAATATTTCAAAAAAGGGTTAAAACTAAAAATTTTATTGCGAATGAAGATAAAGGTAATTAAAATAAAAACCTTTTCGAGTCTTTGCTATTGGACTTAGAGAAAAATTTCTTGTTTTGTGAATTTAGGGGGAAAAAAAATTATAGATGGCAAAGGAGCGAAATGAGATCCAAGAAATCAGCAAAATTGACTCGTCAGGCTGGATTTCGTTTCGACACGCAACCTAGAGAAAAATTTAAAAATTTCGAAACATCTCAGTCCCCCCTGCAATTTGTGACTACTTTACGAATTCCTAGGGACCTAGGGAGTACATTTTAAAAATTTTCTCCTATAAAATAAAAAGTTGAAAATTTCCCTAAAGTTACAAATTTTTAACTCTAAGAAAAAGAGGAAGGAGGATTATTTATTTCTTTTTTTGAAAAAAAATAGTAGGATCATATATTTTACCTCTGACGCCTCCTATGTTGGATGGCATTTGCGGTTGGTAAGCGGTAGAAGATCCACCCTCAATCCCCGGATGTTCAGTTTGTAAACCGCCACCACGGAGAATTCGGTTCACCGAAGACACGGAAGGTAAGCTCTGAGGATCGCAAGCCCCCTGTCGAGCCAATTCCTCCCTTATCTCCCAGGCAAACATGGTTGGATGTTCCTGCTTCATCCGCAGGATTTTCTTCACAACACTCGGCGTTGCTACTTGCTGAAAGAAAAAATTCAAACCATTTTATTTATTTAAAAGAAAAAAGAAAAATAACATAAACATCTAAAATCCAGTTTTAAACAGAAGCTTATACTGCAAGTTTCCTGCAAGCTAGCAGAAAGTTAATTGAGTAGTTTTTTTTGTTGGTTACATGGCTTGTTGCATAGTAATTGAGTAGTTCGAAATTAATAGAAATAGAGAACAATCAATTAAACCGAGTGTAAAGACAATGATAGAGAGGATTATGAATTTTAGGGGAGGGGTGAGGATGAGAATGAGCCTAACCGTTGGACTTGCTTATCAGCCCTCTAACCGACATGTCAAAGCGACCCTTTGCAGCCCTTCCGATAATTATTATTAGCCGCACTGTAAGGTCAACCTGTTCAACAGTTCGGGTTATCTAACGTTTATAGAACCAGATGACGGAACTCCGATTCACCCCTCTTCCCCCCTTATTCCCCTTACACCCTAAAATGGGAAACCAACAATTTCCTCGTGTTCAATGGTCAACTATAACATGACTCGACGATACTCCCAAGTGTTGTGACATTAGTAGATATCCAACACCCCTGGTAATAATTGCCCCGACGACGGAAGTGTCAGATTAGAATCTGAGATGCTCCCTTTGAATGCACGCGATGCCCCCTAACCCTCAACGAAAACTATTAGCCAGTAACGTTCACAGGACACTTATTTGTATATATATATAAATTTCTCAGGGTTGAAATAGTTCAGTGGTGCATTCTTTCTATGATGTGCTCTACAAGTTGAAAGAGTAATTAATTATCATATATGGTTTCTGCTAGAGTTTCTTACTAAACTTGTTTTTTATAATATTTCATACAGCAATTATTAGGACTCATTGTTCGACTCATTTTCTACTATGATTTCGATTGCCTTTCAGTTCAAGAATCCAGATTTTTCCTAATTCAATTATCTTTCAATTTTAAGGTTAATCTTTCAATTTTAAGATTATGTTACTTTAGCAAAAGTTAAATTTAGAGTCAAAACAATTAGAAATTCCTATAATCGAAGAAAGGAAAAGAATATAGCCGTAGACCTCCATGAAAAGAAAATCAAAGTCTCAAGTTTGTTCACGTGCCAAGATAAAATGGGGGGATCACTCGATCTTGAAATCTGTCGGTTTGAATAACATTTCCATCGTGTTAGCATAAAATTATCGGTGCGAAGTTTTAAAAACTTCATTAGCAATTCAAATTGGATTTTTTTCCAAGAGAAAAAGAGAGAGAGAGAAAGATTGAGAACCACTGAGTGTTATGAGGAATAAGGGAGTTAAAATAACGCAAAAGGGAGGCGCGCAGATGACGTTGATCCCTATAACCAGGTTAAACTGAAATAAAGTGTATATGCGCTGCCTACCCACCTGAGCAGCACTATCTTATTGCCCATCTCTTCACCTGTGGATAGAATGCATGTGCAAGTTTAGAGGTGTGCGAATTTTCGTCAACTGTCGTGTAAAATAACTTCCTCTTTCTTTTTTTTCGCAGTACCATATATTCCCAAAAAACGGAACTTTGCACCTTTCTAACCTCTAAACCTAACGTTATTTTTTTCTAACACGATCAGTTTATATTTCTACTGAATTATCAATGTATTTTAATTCGGAACTTTCGGTTTTTATTTTATTTTTTTTTCATCGATGTGAAAAACGATCCATTTTATTTCACCCATTTTTTAAATCCTATTGTTTCTTGATCAATCTAGATCCTTTCTTTACCTCCCTAGGGATCATCTTTCTTCACCCCAGGGAATAATGTTAGAATCTGAGGTTATTCCAATTACACGGTTGGGTAGGTTAGAATTTATATCTAAAAAAAAACTTTCTACAATAAAAAATTCCAAAACATTTTAATTTCATTAGAATTCAATAAATAAAATTCCTGGTAGAATAAAAAATTGAAAGAAGAAATATTATTTTAAAGGTTATTCAGAGAAATATTGACATATTTCTTTCTCTGTAATTTCATTTAACTGATGACACGGCATAAGGTTCGATAAATAAATAATGGCACAAGTCGATCGAAAATGAATGGGATGGTAAGAGGGGGGAAAGGGGTGGATCAAGTGCTAGTTTGCCGTTCCGTCACATTTCCACCGCAATGACGTATATACGAACCATCGCATCGCTAAATCATGCATCGAAAAACAAACCCGCAACAATTCAGGTATTCCTCACCGAGATCTTAATTGCACGATAACGAGTCTGGGAATCGTGACTGTATTTACACGCTAAACAAAAAGAAAAAAAAGAAACGATAAAAAAGCGTAGAAAGAATTATGAAGCAATTGCTATGATGTCGTCATTTTTAAACCAATCAAAATTCCAGTAAGCATCGCTCATTGGTTCGTTGAGAATGAGACATTTTAAAGAGCCAATCAGATGGTAAGAAAACCATAAAAGTGCAGAGATAGTGAGTCAATGAAATAGTGTCATGACGCCATCGATAGAGGGCCACAAGGCGGGAAATTCAAACAAAAACTAATAATTAGCCAAAAAGTACAAGAAAAAAAAGCAAATGACAAAATAAAAGAAGAGAAAATATAAAAAAGGAACAAAATAAAAAACAAAGTAAATTTACAATAAAAAAATGAAAAAAAAAATAATTAATATCAAGAAATTGATGCAATTTGCCTGGGGAAATGAGTCACAAGTAATTACAAAATTTCCTTCTTGCCGCTCGGGGTAAACATTTCAACTGAAATTAACGAGCGTAAAGGATATCAATTGTGTGGATCGTAAATTATAAATATAAACGGAGAAACCGCGCGCGTTGTGCTAGAGTGAAGCTTTTAATATTTAAAAAAAAAAAATAAATGTACATCGAAACAATTTCACTTGTCGTGACAACTGTTCATTATATCAGTGATGATTATACAAAAGAAATGCAAATATACATACATCAGTTTGAAAAATTTTTTAATACACAAGCACCGTGCGGTGTATACATGCGCAACAAAGAGTAAACAATACGACAATTTATAGGTCATTTATAATTAGACGTTTGTTTTTAATAATTAATCAATTACTCAACCTAGAGCGTCATACTTCACTCCTTTCAATGTCCCTTTTAATTACTATTTTAAATTATTTTTCCGTCTCCTTCGAGTCAGTATATGTATAGAGAAAACTTCGAAAAAAGGATTAAAAAAAAAAAAATTGCGAGAAGATTTGAACCCGGGTCAACAAATTAAAAATCCGGTATTGTAACCACTAGACCGTTGCAAATTTTTTTTTTCACACTTTTTTATATATGAAAAATATGAAATTATGTTTTATATTTAGTTGCGCGTTAATAGCCTGTAAATGATGGCAATCTGATGTTTTATTGTGAGGGAATCCGTGAAATAGTAAAAGCAATGACGACAAGGACGGACACACGCGTTTTTTACCATTTAGTTAAGAGAGAGAAAGAGAGAGAGGGAATTTATTGCCGGTAATAATGGCGCGTTAAAGATATTTTAAAAGGATTCGTCAAGTCGTAAGTTGCGCATGGCTTTGGAATTTCTCGTGTAATTTTAAGGGTTTTCAGTATATTATAAGAAACCGCCCAAGATGCAATTATTCGAAACACCTTTTCGTGTGGTAATGAAATTTTTTTTTTGCAACTTAATGAAAATTTTGTTTCAACAAGAGATCTAAATTGTAGTGAATTATTAATTTATAGCATTTTTCTAAAAAACTATCTTTGAACTGCTTTTAAATTTTAAACTATTTAAACTAAAAAAAATTTTATATATAATTAAAATGTGATCTTATGTATTATAGGAACTTATAGGATCCCATACAGGAAATTAGATGGGCCACCATATAAATTCTAATTTGGGTTTCTATAGGTTCTTATAGGAACCCATTAGTTAATCTAATATAGGTTTTTATAGGTTCTTATAGGAACCCATATGTAAATCTAACATGAGTTTCTATAGATTCTTACAGAAACCCATATAAATTATAATACGGGTTTCTATAGGTTCTTACAGGAATCTATACAAATTCTAACATGGGTTTCTATAGGTTCTTATAGGAACCCATATAAATTCTAATGTGGGTTTCTATAACTTCTTATAGGAACCCATATCAATTCTAATGTGGGTTTCTATAACTTCTTATAGGAACCCATAAGTGAATCTAATATATGCTCTTACAGGAACCCATATAACTTTTAATGTGGGTTTCAATAGGTTCTTATAGGGACCCATAAGTGAATATAATAGTTTTTTATATAGGTTCTTATAGGAACCCATATGTGAATCTTACGTGGGTTTCTATAAGATTCTTACAGGAACCCATATGTTAATCTATATAATATGAGGGTTATTTTTTAAGTAAATTTTCGTTATTACCTTTGTTTTGCTGCCGCCAATGCTTCCAGGACGAATGCTTCCTGTTTCGTAGAATCTAGTTAAAATTTTCGAGACGCAACCGTGAGATACCAATAATTGTCGGGAAATGTCGCAAGGTCTCACACCAACGAGTGCAAGTTGAACAATTCTTTGCCTCACACAGTCAGGAAGTGGTCTGCCATTCACGAAAACACCCCCCAATTGATTAACTCCAGCTTGACCTGAAAAATTAATTTGAAAATTTGGTGAAAAATTTCATAAAAATTTTAATTTAACTTATAGGATCCTGTGTTCTGTTAACGAAAGTGCATGAACCCACATGGGTGCTAATTTTTAATTTTTTTAATAATACACCAAATATAATCATCCATATATGGGAACTCCTATGACCCAGGTGCGAATTTAGGTTGGCCGCCACAGTTTGAAGGTTGGCCCAAGGTTGGCCTAACTTTGGCAAGCAAAGTTTTGGTTGCCAGAGTTTGCCCAACTTTAGCAAGTACTTGTGCCCACAGTTGGCCCGACTTTGCAAGCCAACCATTAAATGCAGAGTTTAACCAACCGTCGGGCCAACTTTGGCGACAAAGGTTGGCACAACTTATCCAAACGTAGTTTAAAAGACTTTCAGTTTCGGTTGGCCGAACTCTGGGGCACGGTTGGCCCAACAGTTGGCAAAACTATGTGAAACGCAGTTTAATTGACTTAAACTTTCTTGGTTGGCCGAACTCTGGGCCACGGTTGGCCCAACGGTTTGCAAAACTCTGTGAAACGCAGTTTAATTGACTTGATTTATCTTGGTTGGCCGAACTCTGGGCAACGGTTGGCCCAACGGTTGGCAAAACTCTAGAAACGCAGTTTAAATGACTTAAACTTTCTTGGTTGGCCGAACTCTGGGCCACGGTTGGCCCAACGGTTGGCAAAACTATGTGAAACACAGTTTAATTGACTTAAACTTTCTTGGTTGGCCGAACTTTGGGCCACGGTTGGCCCGACGGTGGGCAAAACTTTGTGAAACGCAGTTTAATTGACTTGATTTTTCTTGGTTGGCCGAACTCTGGGCCACGGTTGGCCCAACGGTTGGCAAAACTCTGTGAAACGCAGTTTAATTGACTTAAACTTTCTTGGTCGGCCGAACTTTTGCCACGGTTGGCCCGACGGTGGGCAAAACTTTGTGAAACGCAGTTTAATTGACTTGATTTTTCTTGGTTGGCCGAACTCTGGGCCACGGTTGGCCCAACGGTTGGCAAAACTTTGTCAAATGCGGTTTAAATGACTTAAACTTTCTTGGTTGGCCGAACTCTGGGCCACGGTTGGCCCAACGGTTGACAAAACTCTAGAAACGCAGTTTCATTGACTTAAACTTTCTTGGTCGGCCGAACTTTGGGCCACGGTTGGCCCGACGGTGGGCAAAACTTTGTGAAACACAGTTTAATTGACTTAAACTTTCTTGGTTGGAAGAACTCTGGGCCACGGTTGGCCCAACGGTTGGCAAAACTCTGTGAAACGCAGTTTAATTGACTTGATTTTTCTTGGTTGGCCGAACTCTGGGCAACGGTTGGCCCAACGGATGGCAAAACTCTAGAAACGCAGTTTAAATGACTTAAACTTTCTTGGTTGGCCGAACTCTGGGCCACGGTTGGCCCAACGGTTGGCAAAACTATGTGAAACGCAGTTTAATTGACTTGATTTTTCTTGGTTGGCCGAACTCTGGGCAACGGTTGGCCCAACGGTTGGCAAAACTCTAGAAACGCAGTTTAATTGACTTACATTATTTTGGTTGGCCGAACTCTGGGCCACGGTTGGCCCGACGGTTGGCAAAACTTTGTCAAATGCGGTTTAAATGACTTAAACTTTCTTGGTTGGCCGAACTCTGGGCCACGGTTGGCCCGACTGTTGCAGCTTAAATATACATTTTGCGTTATGCACTCCCATGTGAGCGTAGCGTAGTGGTCTGTGTATAAGTCTTCGGTGCGTTAGGTTAGGGGTTCGATCCCAGCGAGCGATAGATATTTTCGAAAATGTATGTATGAGATTGTGTTTAATAATAATAGGTAAAGGTTATATCTGATGTTCCCGCTAATAATAACGTGTTAATTGTTTAAATAATGTAGTTTTTTAATAATTTTTTACCTTTGGCTGTTGAAGTTGGCCAAACTTTGAAAATTGTGGTTGGCCCAACTTACGCATCTAAAGTTGTGCCAACTTTGGCGTCAGTCTTTGGACCAACCATTGAAATGTATAGTTGGCACAACATATGCATTGTAAGTTGGGCCAACTTCCTTATGTGTTGTCGGGCCAACCATCGTCGCCATTAGACGGTCGCCGTTATCATCTGTATGGTTGGCCCAACCTCTGGCACGAGAAGTTGGACCGACTTTGTAAAAGTTGGCCCAACTATGGGCCGACCAAAAAATCGCACCTGGGGAGAGCTTGTATATGGGATCACACATCTTATTTAAATATATATAATAATCGATTTTGCTTTTCATTTAAATTATATAATTGAAATATGAAAAACTACACTGTTAGAAAATTCTGTTGTGATTTTACAGCAAAAGTACAAGAAACAATTATCCATCAAAATAATATTGTAATTTTACTTCACTAAAGTGCTGTAAATTTACAGTATACCATGTATTTCAAAAATATTCCCTACTATTAATTCGGAAATTCTATCATTTGAATATTTACATAAAAAATCAAAACTGTTTATATTGTTTTCTGATAAGTTATAATAAAAGTAAATTAACTAAAAAAAAAGTTTTATTAGCATTTTATTATCATTATTACGGAAATGCGACGCCACGATTTGAACCCTTAGTCGTATATAGTGTTGTCTATCTTGTATGGAGCCATCAACCTTGGGAGCTGCGCCTAGACGCGCTCGACCAAGGGAGGCTATGAAAGTCTCTTGCAAAGTATTATGTATATATTGTCCCGACGCGAAATAGTCATTATAATAATCAAATTATTTATTATATGAATGTTGAATGACTTTTCTTCGATCGACAGTTAAAAATGAATTAATTTAATGTAATAATCGCAAATTAATAAGGAATAAAATATTATCTTTTTGTCAAATTATAAAAATTAATGTTATATTTATTAAAATTATACATCTCCGAACTAAAGTAAAGTTAAATTAAAATTTTGCATAAGACAAAAAATAAAAATAAACTAAATTTGTTACAGTATCAAATATAAGAAACATGTGTACCATACTCTATTCTTCTTTTCAGTCCAAAATTATTCACTAATACTAAAATGCAATATAATTAAAAAATAGTTTTTATTGAAACTATTTTTAAGCTTAAAAAATGATTCAGCTATACTTTTAGGACTTAAAATCATATTCTTAAGGTTAAAATTCAGTCAATGCTATAGTTATAATGTAAAAAACCTCAGCTAAAATCACAAAATGAATATCTGTAAAATTCTTTGAGTTTTATACTGTGATTTCGCAAACAATTTACTGTAAATAAAAAGTACAATTTTTTTTTGCTGTGAATTATTCAAATACAATGAAATTTTGCTGTATTTGTAAGGTTTTACTGTAAAAATTACAACATTTTTGTGAATTTACTACATTTATGTGTTATTACAGCAAAAACTGTAAATTCACAGTATGTTTGTACTGTAAAGTTGCTGTAAAATTACAGAAATTTCTAACAGTGTATATAAAGTCCTATATGGGTTTCCATATGTGTTCCTATTAGGAAATTTTAAAGCTAATACGGGGACACATATAGGTTCCTATTTGCAAATATAAGAAAACCATATAAGAACCTATACATATGGGTTTTGTATTTCAAGTGTATAATTTAAATGGGAACCCATATAGGATCCCATGTGGGTTTATTATATTTGCAAAAGGGAACCTATGTGTGTTCCCATATTAGATTTGAAACTTCATAATTGTGAACACATATATATAAGAACCTATGTAGGCTTTTATATTTTAAATTATATTGGCCACCATATAAATTCTAATATGGGTTTCTATAGGTTCTTATGTAGGAACCCATAAGTGAATATAATATGGGTTTATATAGGTTCTTACATAGGAACCCATAAGTGAATCTAATATCTAATATCTTATTTAAGTTAATCTAATATGGGTTTCTATAGGTTTTTATATGGGAATCTATAAGTGAATCTAATATGTGTTTCTATATAGGCTTTTACAGGAACATATATTAATCTAAAATATAGGTTTCTATAGGTTCTTATAGTGAATCTAGTATGGGTTCCTATAGATTCTCATAGGAACCCATATGTGAATCTAGTATGGGTTCTTATATAGGGACCCATATGTGAATCTAGTATGGGTTCCTATAGATTCTTATAGGAACTCATATGCGAATTTTTAATAGAGTATAGCTGAAAATTTATTAAAAATTGATCGAGTTTACTTGAAAACTGATTGTCGTCAGGTATAAATATAAACCAAACACAGCTGTCAACAAAGAAGTATAGATGATAAATTGTTTTATAGTAAAATGTGGGGTAACTGTGAAAATTCTGAGGTGAATGGTTCATTCATCACTAAAGGGATAATAGTCATAATTTCCCAACTAAAAGATGAAAATAATGGGTCAATATGTGTCTCATAGTAGGACAGGTGCTTTCGAAGTGGTTTGACATCCTAATGACAACACTTGCCATCAATGAGCTTCTTCAGATGATCTCGAGTTCACGTGCCACCCAAGACGACAAGAAATGTATAATTATTGCCAATTTGACAAAGTGAGATCACATAATTCGTATAGTTTCAGTTACTCTATTATTATTATTATTATTACTATATAGTTAATATTATTACTGTAGTTAATATTATAATAATTATTATTATATATTATTATTATTATTATTATTATTATTATTATTATTATATTATTAAATTATTATTATTATTATTATTAATTTATTATTGTATGTTTTAGATTTGCCATAAAAAATGGACTTTATAACCTAAACAAACAAAAATTAATGAAATAAAAAATCGATTTTCATTTTCACATTTTTTTTGTATAAACTTTCTAAATGCATGTTTGCTTGTAATTTCTCCAAGTTGTATTATTTTTAACATAATCGAAAGATATATATGTGTTATTATAACTGTGGAGAAATTTCTAAATGTTTTTTTATTATTGTTAATTCATGATTATTTTCAAGTGACTCGAATAATTAAGTTAATGACGTAATTAACCACGAGGAGTCATGAATGGTAATTTGCACTTTACTTGCCATTATTCTCTCATCCGCTGAAGAGATTCGTATATACGTGAAGACGCGTGGCTGCAATTTATAAAGAAGGGAGAGTAAGTAGAAGGTATGTTAAATTTTTTATTTTTATATTATTTATTAAAATCTTCTCTCCCTACATTGTAACGTATTATTATTATTATTATTATTATTTTATTTTCATTAATTATTATTTATTATTTCTTTGAAAAATAACGTATTCCAATGTTTACGCATGCGCAATCTTTTAGCCTCGTATATTTGCGCATGAGCAACGTAGCACGCATGCGCAATAATTTATTTGCTAGTTTTTAGACATGCGCAGTAACATTAATGTAATCATTGCGCATGCCTGTATTTTTTCAGTTGCGCAATCGATTATTCGTTTTATTATTGAAACTAAAATATTTTTCGAATAAAATATTTTTTAAAAAAACAAAATTTTCTATTTCTATTATGTTTTTTTTTTAAATTCTGATTTATATTTTTCGTTTTTTTTTTGCAATCATATATTATTATTTAATGTCATTGTGCACCTTGTAAGAGTGGCACCAGTGGCACGTGCTTTAAAACTCAAGGAAATGATTCTTGCAAAGAGAGAAGGAGAGGGGAAAAAAGAGATTAGTCCCAAATTGACTTCTGCAAAATGCAGAAAGATGCCCTCCAGGGTCACTCCCACCCCGAAAATTGTACAACATTTACGAGTAAATTTTCCCTCTCTTTAAAGTCTTTGACCGTTTGGTTAAAAGTGCTTGCAGACATTTATATATATATATAGATGAGAGACACACCTACAACAACTGGACAACACTCTCCTTCTCTCTTTCTCGTTCACCTGCCGTACACTCCACTATTATATAGAGAGAGAATGGGCCACCAATGTCAAGGGCCCGCCCGCGGGGTGAAAAAGACAATTAGCATCGGATTGCAACTTGTAAATGGCACGAGGCAAATGGACATCGATTATTATCTCTAATGGTAGCGAGAGAGAGAGAGAGAGAGAAAAAAAAAAGAAATTCGACACGACGACAAATAATTAAATGACCAAAATTTCCACCTTCATATTTTTTTTCCCCTTTTTTAATGACCTCCTGAAAAATTACCTTAATTAGGTGAAAATATCTATATTTAAGTATATGGGAAATTGACATATTATTTTTTAACTAACTTGACATCTGTGTAAAGTAGTCTTGTCTTAAGATCATTGGTCGAGGAAAAAGAATTTTTTTCGTCAAAGTTAAAAATCAAAAGTTTTCAAATTTTTAACTTTTAAATAATATAATAAATAATATATATATAATATATAATATAAATAGTAAATAATTTCGCACTTTTGCGAAATATATATATATATATATATATATATATATAAATTTTTAATTTTTCAAAATATAATATTTTTTTGAGTCAAAGAATGAAAAATTAAAGAAAAAAAATTCGTTCATTCCGTTAATTTTAGGCACACATATTTTTGTGAGGAATTTAAGATTTAACGGACAAGGCTAAATTATTATTACAGCAAAAACAGACGAATGATGCACTTTTATCTCCCGTGCGAATCAAGTGTTAATATGAACACAAAACATTAAGGTGTATCTTAAAAATGTTTCACTTCCCCTTCAAAAAAAGGACGATTTTTTAAAAATATGTTTATACTTAGTTGCTATATTATTATTAATTAATTACTTATTAATTATTATTAAATAAAAAAAAATCTTTTCTCTAATATTAAATAATAGTTATTAATAAAAAGTAATTAATAATTTAATTAATTTAATGTAATTTTATTATTATTATTATTATTATTATTAATATATTATTATTTTTATTATATTAGTGTTTTTATTATTTGGTTTGATTCATATTATTATTTTTTACAATAATTATTAACTTATTTCATATTTATTTTTATTAAAATTTACGATACATACTTATAATATAGATATCGTAAATTTTAATAAAAAGATTTCTTCAAAGATTATTAAGCATTGTTCATTTTTTTTAATAATAAGAAAAAAAATAATATAAGAAAAAAATTAGGGGTCAGAATATGTGTTATGTTTGGGGTGATAATAGTTGGTTTAGAATTAGCCATCTAAATGGGATGCGTAGATAGGTATCGAGTTGGCTATTTGAAAAAAAAGTGGTACACCTGCTTTTATACCTGCAACCAAGGGCCTATATAAATGCTTTTTACACAGATTCGTTAGTTTTTTTGTTCATTTTTTTTTTGTAGTGTGTATATATAATGTATAATCCACCTCGTTTCAATGCATGGCACGCGACAAAAAATTTTTTTTCTGCTTTATTTTTCAAAGTGTGAAAATTTTTATATTTACAAAGAATAAGTTTTTATTAGTTTTATTTATAATTATAAAAACTTATAAATTATAAATTTTTTTAATTATAACTTTTTTTTATAATTATAATGTTTTTTTATGATTATAGATATTTATAAATTATCAATTTTTATAGTTATAAATTATAAATTTTTATAATTATAAGTTATAAATTATGAATTTTTATAACTAATATAATATATTAATAAAATAAATAAAAACAAAAGTTATGTTATTCATATTATTTTATTATTTAAGGGGGTTTGAACCAATATGACGTTACAGTTTAAAAACAAATGCTTTGCATCAATTGTGACGTCATAATCGTTCAAATCCTGTTAAGTAAAAAAAACTTTTTTATTTTTTTACAAAATTATAAATAAAATAAAAAATATCCACTTACCCGTGTGAGGCATTTCGTTTGACACAGCGAGTCTTTCTGTAAAAATAATTAATTTTTTGTTAATTAACAATGCAATAAAAACAATGTTTCTTTATTTAATTATTAATTATTATTTAATAATAATAATAATAATAATAATAAATTAATATTTAATTAATCAATTTATAACTAATTTTCTAATTTCTAATTTGTTTATAATAAATTTATGAATTTATAATTACAATTATAAAATATAATATTAAACACTAGATTTTAGTGAATAAACATTTAATTTATTTCAAAAAAAATTAAAATTTGAACATATTGCTCACTGCTGCGCTGGTAAAGTATAAATTTAGGTTTGTAACGCTTAAATCCGAGTGTAATTAATTTAAATTTATTCAAAGGGCAAGTTGTTAGTGACTGACGACCCTTAAATATGCGACTACCCTGATAAGCGCAAAGGTTAATCAAAGGTAATACGACATACAACCGTGACTTTTTATTTTAAAAATAACTAATTACCATCATCAAAGTTATATAGTTTGGGAATTCTTCATCTTTATTATTATTATTTTCTTTATTAATAATTAATAAATAATTAATGTATATCTCTATCCTTTTCTATCTCATGCATTTCGTTCGCAAGTCAGTTGCGCTTAGGCGACTTTATTGTAACATGACCTTAATTTTTAGGTTATGTTCTGTCTCTTGAATGGCCTAATTAGACAGTTAGACATTTTTTTTGCAAAATAGAAAAATTCCTTAACGCAGAGGAGTTTAATTTTTCTTTCCTTTTTTTTAATGTTCATAAAATAGACGCTAATAATTTCTGAAAAGTTTTTAATAAAAATGTCAAATGCATTACAAGAGAGTGGTTGAGGGATTGTAATATATGAAAGCAATAAAGTACAATATAAAGAAAGGCGACAAATAGTGAGAAATTGGTGTAGTTAGAAAAGTTAGAGCGGAAAAAAAGTGTTATACGAGAATAAGGAGTGCGTATAGCGTGGAGGGCGATAGCGTAGCGTGTACTTTGTGATGCAAATTAATGCACGATTACCAAAGTTCCTTCTACCCCCGCGTGACCCACACTTGCTCATTCTGATTTTCTCTCCTTCTCTCTCTCTCTCTCTCTCTCTCTCTCGTGCCTTATTTTCATTCGCCCTTTTTTTTTAATATACACATATATATTTTGCTCCTTCTTTCTCAAAATACTTGACCGCAACAACGATACAGGTCTATAAGTAGCCGTCGCGCATTTACGGACATATTTCCTTTACGTGTGTTCCGTATATTACAATAATATCAAGCATGAAACAGGAGAAAAGATATGTTAAAAAAAATAATGTATAGAGGGTATACATAACTTTAACACGATGGCTTTTTATACCCTTACATTAGTCCCTCTCTCTCTCTCTCTCTTTTTCTCTTTGCGCTTACACGCTCAAGACACGAGGGGGCGCGCGTTCTTAATCTTGATTTAATTATTACGCATTATGAACTTTTCAGTCAAAACACTATTTTGCATATATGCGTTTCGTTGAAATTCATTCATATTCTTTGCCCCTTCTCCTTTCACCCTACCACTTCTCTTTCTCTCTCTTTCTTGTGTATTATTTTAACAACATTGTGAACATAACTAGTCACGTGATTATACGTATATGTCTAATTAATTTAATTAATGGTTCAATTCGTGTATTTTCTACTGTCTAGAGTAAAGAAGAAGGAAAAATAAATGATTATCGTGGAGTAACATATGTATCAACCACTTAAAAACACTTCAACAATTGTTAATGATAACAACAATGAAGAAATGAGAAAAGTAAGATAACAAATTTTTTTAAAATGAAAATGTATTTTTGGCCAAAAAGGAAACTATTCATATTTACTTGAATTCTCTTATGAAGATTTTAAAAAATAAAATTATTTATTTCTAATAAATAATTAAATAATAATTAAAAATTTAAATTTAAATTATTATTTATAAATAATAATTTAAGATATACAAATATAAAAAATTAATTTCAATATCAAAATTTGATTTATATATTAAAATGTGACATATTTTTTAATATCGTAAAAAAAATTCATTATTCATCGCGGTTTCTATATTTATTAATTTATTCACAATTCAATTCCAAATTCATTGCTCGCATCGCTTCTGTGCTATAATTTACAATATGACAGAAAAGATTTTACGCGATCACAGCGAATCGAAATTTTCGATTCCGTCGTAATATTAAAAAAAAAAATTCAACTCTCGCAGTTCTAAGATGAAAATGAAAAAATTAACTATTAATAAGCTTAAATTCGCGGAATTCGATTTTTAAAAAAGGCCAAGCTCCCATAAAAAGTAGTATAATAATAATATTTTTAAATTATAAGTATAGGTAGTAAATTCAATAACATAAAAAATTTGGATTATTCAAAAGTTGTTAAATTCATATCTTTGTTATTGTTATTACTGCCATTATTATTATTTCAAACTTTTTCAAAAATTATTTTTTTGGGATTCATCCATAGTTACATTATAATTTATAATTAAACTCAAGATTTCCTGGATTATTCTTATTTCAATTAAAATAATCCAAGAAATCTTGACTTTTATTATAAATTAGTATTATTATTTTATAATTATTATAACTATTTTTGTTATTATTGATATTATTTATAGATAAATAAAGTGCATAAAAATTAAATTACTAATTATTGAAAGTTGGAAAAAACGTTAAAGGGACATTTTTGCCCCGGATCAGTCACATTTACCCCGTTTCTATATATAAATATTTCTATATATATAAACTTTTTCGTGCGTATACACACGATTCATGGGAAAATGTGAAAATATTTATTGTATCGTCGCACCCCCCTTCCTCACCTACCCCCCACACCCACCACTTTCGTTTCAATTTCAAGTTGATCGTCATCTCACGTCGCACGAAAATTACTAAATTACACAGAATTTTAAAAGTAGTCACTCGAATGTATTTCGCAATGTCATTCCGTGACTCCTTTTTGAAGCTGTATAAACTTTTTCCGAACCGTTGCAAGAGAGGAGAGAGAGAGATCTTCCGATCAAAAAGAGAGAAACGATACATATATATATATGTAATGATGTGAGGATTGAGCGATTATTATAAATCAAACGACTTTGTCATTTTAAACGACTGCGAGAGCGATCACCACATTGTTTGCGTGCCATTGGTTTTGCTAAAGTTACTCTTGTCGACACACACACACACACACACACACACACTTAGTATACTTTCATATAAATGCTCACGTTAAGTTGTATACTGCATTCAAGGGATCTGTACATATCGGTTGCAATTTTAGGAATTGGGTCGACAATATTGACACTTTTCTATATATATATATAACAAAAAAAAATTCAGTATTCAGCGACCTTAAACATTTCCGAGGAACAAATTTTCACTCGCATTCTATATAAGTTAAAAAAAATTCTCTTTTTTTTAATTTTGACTTGAAATTCGTAATCAGCATCCTCAAAAACCCCCGAGTGACAAGTTTCAAGCGAATTTAAGAAATTTACCAAAAAATTTGTCCGCCATATTGGAACCGCCATTTTGAATTTTCAAAATCCGATGCGAAATTCGTATTCAGCGATCCCAAAAACCCCCGAGTGACAAGTTTCAAGCGAATTTAAGAAGTTTACCAAAAATATGTCCGCCATATTGGAACTGCCATTTTGAATTTTTAAAATCCGATGCGAAATTCGTATTCAGCGAACCCAAAAACCCCCGAGTGACAAGTTTCAAGCGAATTTAAGAAGTTTACCAAAAATATGTCCGCCATATTGGAACCGCCATTTTGAATTTTTAAAATTAACTTGTCATAACTCTTCTTTGACCTGCAATTATAATATTTATGTTGAATAACTTAAACTTTAAGTTTATGGCTATATTTCATCTTTAATTTGACTATAAGTTATTATAATTAAACTTTTAGGTCAATGTGTAACTTTTGACCTATAAAGTTGACCTAAAATTTTAAGTTTGCCACACATTTTTGTGATCTCTTATATCTAATTTTAGAAGGCTATGTTCGACTTAGTTATTGACCTAGACGTTCAAAAAATTATTCTAATTTCAGTATTAAACCTCAAATAAAAAGGGAAGCGCATTTTATTCGAATATAATCTTTCCGGTGATTTCGATGCCAAGAATCTTGCGTCGCGCCGGGTACGCCATATTCTTCGCGCAACACGAATAAAACGCGTGTTTCTAAGAAAATTTTCAAATTATTTCCCTTCAAGAAAATTCTTCCAAATTTTCAATTTTCTTTTTTTAAAGATCAAAAAAGGACAAAATAAAAAAATATTTGAATATATTTATTTTGTTTTTTTTTATATTATTTTAAATTTTAAATATTTTTATATTCTTGAGATTTTCAATATAATCAAAGGACAAAAAAAGTATAAAAATATTAACTGCTACTACAGTAAATTTTCTTTTCTTTTTGATTGAATTTTTTTATTTAAATTCTTGAAATAACTTCTGCGAGGGTAAATTCTGCGCGAGTTAATTGTAAAGTGTACGCGCGGGTGGATATATGTATATATTATGTATATATATAATATAAAAGGTCACGCTTTCACGTACGTGTAAAAGACGGTAAGGGAAATTTAGTTTTTGTTTATTCATTAGGCTACTGCGCTTTAAGTGGCACGTACAGAGACCCTAAGGTAAAGGGTAGGCCCCATATCTCCGATACGCCGACAGCTATAAAAATCTGAATACATTAGACCTACATGCGAGCAAAGTCTCGCGCCGATCGTGTACACACTTTACTCCGATAATCTTCACCTCCTTAGGGAAAAAAAGCAAAATGGAAAAAAATGAGCAAAAGAAGCTTCAATTTTTAAAATAAATACGTTTTATGTATATATTATATATTATAATCTTTAATTGATTCAACTCAATTAATCGTCATTTTGGAAAGGGTTCAATCTAAGTATTAAAGGGTTTATAAAGGGTTCAAACCCCTATACTTTTAAATAAATAAAATTTTAAATAAATAAAGTTATAAATATA